GCTAAGACAAACAAGTTTGTCTACATTTATGGGAGATATTGTTGACTGCTTCTTATTTACAATGTCACCTGAAAGTGAGAACAGGCATTCACATGGCACTTCTGTAGCTGGTGTAGCAAAATATTTACGTGCCAGATATGCTAAACATTCATATGCTCCTTCATGGTTAGGCCCCATTCCAGAGGACATGCTTCCATGCTGATGATGCTCATTAAAAAAATAATGTGTTAATTAAATTTGTGACTGAACTCTTTGGGGGAGAATTGTATGTCTTCTGTTCTGTTTTACCCACATTCTGCATATATTTCATGTTATACCAGTCTCGGATGATGACCCAGCACATGTTCGTTTGAAGAACACTTGCACAGCAGATTTGACAAAATGCAAAGAAGATACCAATGTGAAATTTCTAAGGATAGATACAGCACTCGACCCAAGGTTTAAGAATCTGAAGTGCCATCCAAAATCTGAGAAGGATGAGGTGTGGAGCATGCTTTCAGATGTCTTAAAAGAGCAACACTCTGGTGTGGAAACTACAGAACCCGAACCACCAAAGAAGAAAATCAACCTTCTGCTGGTGGCATCTGACTCAGATGATGAAAATGAACATGCATTGGTCCGCTCTGCTTTGGATTAGTATCGAGCAGAACCCATCATCAGAATGGACACTGAAGCATGAATGGACATATGAATCTTTAGTGCATCTGGCACGTAAATATCTTGCAATGCCGGCTACAACAGTGCCATGCGAATGCCTGTTCTCACTTTCAGGTGACATTGTAAACAAGATGTGGGCAGCATTATCTCCTGCAAATTGTAACTAACCTTGTTTGTCTGAGCGATTGGCTGAAGTAGGACTGAGTGGACTTGTAGGTTTTAAAGTTTTACACTGTTTTATTTTTGAATGCAGTTATATTTTGTACATAATTCTATGTTTGTAAGTTCAACTTTCATTGAAAGGGACTGCATGACAGTATTTGTATTAGGTGAATTGAAATATACTTTTTTTGTTTTTTAAACAAAAACAGTGCAAATATTTGTAATAAAAAATAAATATAAACTGAGCACTGCACACTTTGTATTCTGTGTTATAATTGAAATCAATATATTTGAAAATGTAGAAAACATCCACAAATATTTAAATAAATGATATTCTATTATTGTTTAACAATGCAATTAATCGTGATTAATTTTTTTAATTGGGCAATTAATCGCGATTAATTTTTTTAATTGCTTGACAGTCCTAATCTTAAAATATGAGAACAGTGTCCCTCTTATATAGGAAGTCAGGAAACCCAGCTGTACTCTTTATACCCTCTAACCTGAGTGTTATTTATAGAGTGCTGTTGGTATGCATGGCACTCCACAGGCCAAAATACAAACAAAAATGGTTAAATTAATCCTTGGTGAAAGCTGATTGAAGACCTACCCCCAAGGAATATACAAACCAACAACATCACCTAATTCTTTTTTGTTTCTGTGATATATCACTATGCTTTGTTATGCTGGAATTTAATCATAATAAAATTATTAGGATTGTTCTATTACAATATCACTTGATAAATGTAAACCGAGAGTAATATATACATAAACACATACACACTTAAGAATTCAAAATAAATATCCAAGGATTTTTTTTAAAAATAAGAGCACATTATTTCCATTCTGGTTGCCTTTACAACAAAGCACTTACATTTCTGATGCACAGTTAATAATAAAATGTCCATGCTTTAGTACACTTCTTCCCATATAATAACTTAGCCAGACAATAGACTTGTATTGGACTACACTTGCTTTCAACCTACACAACAGGACTGGAGAGTCTTTGCTGCAAGGTATGACACCCAAGTTGCCAAGAAATGCAATTTTTCCCATCTGTTTTCTAATGAAGAAATCTCATTTAAAAATTGAGTTGGATTTGTAGGAGATAAAGGCAAAGAGGCTGGATATGAGTCAATAATGTGCCCTTTATTGGGCTGCATTAGTAGGAGCATTGCCAGCAGATCGAGGGAAATGATTATTCCCCTCTATTTGGCACGGGTGAGGCCACATCTGGAGTACTGCGTCCAGTTTCCCCCCCCGCACACAAAAAAAGGATGTGGACAAATTGGAGAGAGCCCAGCAGAGGGCAACGAAAATGATTAGGAGGCTGGGGCACATGACTTATGAGGAGAGGCTAAGGGAACTGGGCTTATTTAGTCTTCAGAAGAGAAGACTGAGGGGGGATTTGATAGCAGCCTTCAACTACCTGAAGGGGGGTTCCAAAGAGGACAGAGCTAGGCTGTTCTCAGTGGTGGCAGATGACAGAACATGGAGCAATAGTCTCAAGTTGCAGTGGGGGAGGTCTAGGTTGGATATTAGGAAAAACTATTTCACTAGAAGGGTGGTGAAGCAGTGGAATGGATTACCTAGGGAGGTGGTGGAATCTCCATCCTTAGAGGTTTTTAAGGCCCGCCTTGACAAAGCCTTGGCTGGGATAATTTAGTTGGGATTGGTCCTGCTTTGAGCAGGGGGTTGGACTAGATGATCTTCTGAGGTCTCTTCTAACCCTAATTTTCTATGATTCTATGAAAATGCCGAGCATAAACATTATATGGCTTCCAACAAGTACAATATATTTCAAAGCAGGAAAACTTATACCCAAGGGCCCATCTGAACCAATGGGAACCATATAATAATAATAATACTTTACACTTGTATAGCATCTCGTATCTGAGGATCTCAATGTGCTTTGCAAACTTAGCTTCATAATATACATCTACTTCACAGGCACGTTATCACCTCCATTTTACAAATGTAGAACATCAGAGGCTCACACAGGAAATCTGGGGTAAAAAATGAACAGAACCCCAAATTCATGACACCTAGGTAAGTCTTCACCACAAGATGCTGCTTCAGCATTGAACACTGAAGTACATTGTTACAGCCCCTAGAGCCCCGGCCTTCCTCAAACTATAAGAATGTGCATACCTTTTGGCATATTCCATACCAGCTCCTCTAAAGCTTGGGCAAATAAGCACACATCTAGGATCAATGATGGCTACCTTCATATGAACACCAAATGGCCGAGCAGTGGAAACAATAGCCCTTGAAGTGCTAAAGCACTCTCTTTACTAGAGAACAGTTAAAAGGTGTGTTTAAGAAGAAAAAAAACTTTTGTTTGATGACATCATGCTGAGAAATGCAGAGACCCATCTTAGATTGTTTAGTCCTGAGCCTCCACTCTCCTGCTCACCCAGAAATATTAATAGATTTCAAGGCCAGAAGGGACCATTGTGATCATCTAGTCCGGTGGTTCTCAAGCTGGGGTATGCGTATCCGTGGAGGAACGCAGAGATCGTCCGGGGGTACATCAACTCATCTAGATATTTGCCTAGTTTTACAACGGACTACATAAAAAGCACTAGCAAAGTCAAGAGAAACTAAAATTGCATATGGACAATGACTTGTTTATACTGCTCTATTTACTATACACTGACATGTAAGTACAATATTTATATTCCAATTATTTATTTTATAATTGTATAGTAAAAATGAGAAAGTGAGCAATTTTTCAGTAATAGTGTGCTGTGACACTTTTCTATTTTTATGTCTGATTTTGTAAGCAAGTAGTTTTTATCTGAGGTGTAACTTGGGGTATGCAAGAGAAATCAGACTCTGGAAAAATATACAGTAGTCAGGAAAGGTTGAACGCCACTGATCTCATCTGACATCCTATAACACAAGTCACAAAACTTCCCCAAAAATAATTCCTAGAGCACAGCATTTAGAAAAACATCCAATTTTGATTTGAAAATTGTCAGTGATGGATAATCTACCACAATCCTTGGTAAATTGTTCCAATGGTTAATTTATCTGTTAAAAAGTTACACCTTATTTCCAGTCTGAATTTTTCTAACTTCAACTTCCAGCCATTAGATCATATTATATTTTTGTCTACTAGACTGAAGAGCCCATTATAAAATATTTGTTCCCCCAGTAGGTGCTTATAGACTGTAATCAAGTACCTGGTAACCTTCTCTTTGTTAAACTAAATAGATTGAGCTCCTTGACATATTGTCTAATCCTTTAATCATTCTAATGGCTCTTCTCTGAACTCGCTCCAATTTTTTAACATCCTTCTTAAATTGTGGGCCCCCGAACTAGACAGACTATTCCAGCAGTGATCACACCAGTGCCAAATACAGAGGTAAAATAACCTCTCTACTCCTACTCAAGATTCCCATTTATGCATCCAAGGACTGCATTAGCCCTTTTGGCCACAGCATCAATCGCACTGGGAGCTCACGTTCAACTGATTATCCACCAGTAGCCCCAAATCTTTTTTAGAGTCACTGCTTCCCAGGATAGCAAGTACAGTTGCAGTACCTAATCTGAGGTCAGGTCAGGAGATGTTCAGCTTCAGAATGATAAGCAGTACAATTTACAATGGAGGAAATTGGCCCATTGTGCTTTACTGATAAGAAAAGATTACATCCTTGAGAAATAACTCCTTCAGCAACAGACTTTGCACTATTCACATTTTAATAATTAACGTGAATGTAATTAAATTACTATTAAATGGTAGGTATATATAACAAAAATATTTGTATGTTCTGTATAAAGATGTAGGATCTGAATTTCAGAGGTGCTGAGCACCTACAGCTTGCATTGACTTGGGTTGTGGGGGCACAGGTATTTAAGTAATATGACAATTAAGTCACTGCTATTGTGTAATACCCAAAACTACCACAAGGTGCCATAAGGCATTAGCTATCTGGGAAAAGAAACTGGCATCTATCTCTCTTTTAGCTGAATTCCAAAGTTAAAATAAACATCGAAACAGTTATAGCATGCTTTGTCCTTGTATTAAATTACCCAGCAAAAACGGAGACCTGGTAGGTGTATGATGGTCCTGCCTTAACAATCATGTCTCATCACCAAAAAAATTACCACCAATTTAAGAAGTTTTGTATGAAATTTCAGAACAAATGAATCTGATGTAAATGCAAATACTTTACCTCCAGTAGCTCATTTTGTTCCTTGGTCATTTTTTCTAACATTTTCAGTTCTTTCACAAGTTGAGCTGTTCTTCTGAAGACTGAGAGAGGTTGCATTCTCATTCCTGGTAACCTAAGACCTTCTTTGTAGCCCTGTATCTCAGCAAGGGTCTTCTGCAAGGGACTGATGTGGCCAAGTATAACCTAAAAATGTAAATATAACCAGAATACACTATGAAGAAGAAACAATGATCAATTTTGTCACGCAGTTAAAAGGTCTCTTATGTAAATTCTGCAGGACTGATTTTAGACCTTCTCTCAGTTTACCTTCTGAGAACTTTTACCTCAGAATGTTTTCAAAAAATATATGATGAGACTGTACAAACAAGAGGAGTGTGTCATGACACATGCAGGACAGGGGCCATTAGGACTATTTCTGTCCATCTTGTGGATCTGAGGCATATGGTGGAAATACTGCACATTACTGAAAACACATATGCAATTAGCACAGAACATTCTACCTGATAAATAAATGCCGACAGAAAGTCATGTCTAATGTACTATAGTTTTACTGAGTGGTTGGGTAATTTTAACATTTCAATGAACTCCATCAATTTCTGATGAAATCTGCATGACTCTGTGTAAAGGTTGCTGGACCTGTTTGTTACCTTATCTCAGTCACACTGATTTCATCAGAGATTGATGGAGCTCATTGAAACATTAAAATTACCCAAGCACTAGACTTGCTTTCAGCAGGTTTCACTAAAATGGTTGTGAAAATGGGTCTAACTAGCAAGACCCTATCTACATTATGGTTCGCAAGTGTTCAGATCAGTGGGAACTTTTTGTATATTTCTCTAATATGGACAAAGGCTACAATTCGGAAAGGAAGAATACTGTTTTCAAGGTGAAATATTTCTTCACAATATTACTCACTTCTCCATATACTGTAACAGCTACAACAAGTGCCCTTTGGGTAACAGAACACCAAACATGACCAAACTTTCAGCTTTCCTCTTAAACTAAATCCACAAATTTTGCATGTAGGTGAACTGAAAATGTGGCTTGTAGACACAGGGAAAAAATAAATAGAAAATATCTTTAATACTTTGATTTATTGTACCCAGGGATGGAAGGCAGAACATCCTGGCCAAAATATCCTTGCAATGAAGTCTTGAATTGATAAATAATCATGAAATTATAGAAATGTAAGACTGGAAGGGACTTGGATAATAAGACTTTGCACATATATACAGGTTTCCATCCAACTATCTTCAAGTGTTTTGTAAAAAACAAATGAATTTGCCCTTTTGAGGTAATATAATCACCTTCATTTCACAAAATGAGGACAATAAGGTACAGAGAAATTAATATCAACTTTTGCCTCAACTTTGAGTGTCCAACCTGAAACCTAGGACCTGATTTTTCAAAGTGCCAGTTGCCTGCAGTTTATGTTGATATTATCTAGCGTTTGGGTCATCATGACCTCTGAAAATTGGGCCATAAAGTTTCCAGAAATAGAGACATCAAAAATTAATGTGCACTTCTGAAAATTTAAGCATAAACAACTTGCCCAAGGTCACATAGGAAATCTGCTGCAGAGAGAAACAGAACACAGATGTTCCAACCCGTAGTCTCACGCATTAACCACAAGGCCACTTAATACAATTGTGAAAAAGTTCCTTCAGCCTTTGGATTATGAGAATTACAGCCACAATTCCCATAGTATACCTACTCCTGGACAATATTTTACAGTTATTGCTCTCAAAAGCAAATCATGCATCATAATAATTTGTTTTCATTAATCAACCATCTTCATATCTGTGAAATGTGTTGATTTATTTATTTAATGTAAGAAAAAATGGTTTAATAAGATACATACACACCTGTCCATGTCTAAGATGCTCCTTAGGAGAAAAATCTAATATATCTTCTGTTGACAAGATCGTCTTAATTTTGGCAACATCCTTCCCTATCACTTTCACTTCAGATTCAATGGCATCCACCTCCTAGATGTTTTGAAATATCCAAAATATTTGGGGCTATGAAATTTCATTTTACAGCCACTTGAATTGTTATTGTGCCTATTATTGTTGTTATCTTAATAAATACCAAATAAATTAATGAATTACCAGGTCTAAATTTTATCTAAATTCTAAATACATTGTACTCCAATAATTTAATAGGAAGTACATTTTCTTCTAATGCAAATTAGAACTCCAAAATGTATGGCTTTCATTTAAATGTTTCATATTAATAACAAATATTTTCAGGCTGCCCTTCAAACATAAATAAATAAATAAAACAATCTGTATTATACAATATTTTTTGACCGGAAACATATCAGAAAGAGGTATTAAACAGAACCTTAGTAAAAAAGTAATAATAATGTACAATATCAGAGATTGAATGCTGCTGCATTTACAATACATTCAACTGGTATTGCTGATCCAGAAGCTAGTTGCTATCAATCGCACTGTCTTTCACAGGCTCCTTGTCATAACTCACATAGGGAATTAGGTATTAGTGGTCAGCTGGAAAGGATATAGCTTTAATCCCTGAGTAGGGAATCAAAATAACGTTGAAGTCACACATGAACTACTCTTGGGCTTGTATACATGGGGAAGTTTACTGGCTGAACTATTCTGATATAATTATACCAGTACAGCACCCTGTGTGGACACTGATAGTCTAGTATAAGATTGACTTTTTTCCAAATTTAGCTTATGTTGCTTTGAAACTGGATGAGCTAAACCAGAAAAAGGCACTCTTATATTGGTATAACTCCCCACGTAATTATATACCAGTATAGTTCTGCTGTCAAATTTCTCTGTGGAGACAAGCCCTTTGAATAAGCTAGTAATAAGCATTGTATTTCTCCTCCTCAAAGACAGAAGGCACACCCCCAAATTATTTTGCCATTTCTCTTGAATTTTACAGCTTAATTAACACATTGGGATTTTTTTTAAATGATGCATTTACCTATATGTTATTCCTATTATTAAAACAAGAATGCTTGCATTCTATTGGCAAATAATGTATACGATCTAATGAAACACCAATAAAAAGCTATTTTTTCAGACTACCCAGACTTACATCAGCCATGTGCTGGATCTGTGGAAGAATTTCCACTATCTTTTGCTGTAAAGATGTTACTTGACCATTTACTTCATTAATCTGTTGCACTATATTTTCTGTTTCAAAGATTATTGATAACTCATCCAGTTGTGAATAGATGTTATGTAGAAGATTCTGCTTTTGTTCCGAATCTTCCAGTGCCATCTGGAAAAAAACAACACCACATCAGCATGTTCAAGGCACTTAGATTGCCTGATTCACTGATGCACCTCGGCTCAGATACAAACCTCTGTTGCATTCTCAAATACTTCGGCCTTCCAGCCCAAAACACACTAATGTTCCAAACTGTAAAGACTTTGTTTAAATACAATAATCTAATCCTTGGATTAACAGGAGTCAGTGAAACTTTCACACAATTTTGCATTCATATTCCCCCCCGTGGCAGATTATAATATATAACAACCTACCACGAAAGGCTACAATACCACTAGTAAAATCCTAGGAACAGCAATGACATTCGTGATTACTTTTTATATAAAAGTCATGTCCTGAGCGCAAACGATTCTTCTGGGCTAAATTCATGCCTTCTCTTGCCAAAACTCAGATTTCACATACAGAAAGCAGTCTTTGCACCACTCTTCCCATGGCATCAAATTCCCTCTGATAATGTTACAAAAACCTGACACTTGAAATAACTTACCACAATCCACTTTAAAGTGCATAAGGAAACTGATTTATGAATTACAATTCACCTCAAAATGCTTTAACAAATGCACAAGAACCAAAAAACGGATCTACTAATTCTACATCAATACACTGTTTACTAAAAACAGCAGCATGACCTGTAAAATCTGTTCAACTGTAAAGCAGTTCAACAAGTAGACAAAGGCCAGGACACAAAGTTTACCGTTTTCTGAGAAAGATCTATCCCCTATTAAAACGTACCCGTCATATTGTTATATGGCTGCTGACATTTTTTATCACTATGGTCATTTTTCACTGAAGTTCAGATTTTCAGTGGACTTCCTTATTTGTGCCTAAAAAATCTGTTTGTGCAAAATCCATACCTGCATGAGCTGGAGGTACTTAGAATAGGCTACACAGTTTTTGTAATTTGGACTCCCGGTACAGAAATTTTGTATATACACTTACTTGAAGGGCATTGGCATGTTTACTCAGGGCTTTTGCAGAGTCATTTTCAGCCTCCATGGTTAACAAACGATTGGTGGTTTCTATCCATAACTGCATGCTCTTCAAGAGTTCCTCATATTCCTCCATCTTATTAGTGGCCTATAAAAAAATACTCAAATATATGTTCTGTAACACCCTAAGTTAACATCCCTTATAAATGAAAGACTAGCTGTATTTATTCCTAAATTCTGAATTATGAAGTATTATTCTGCTCAAATCAGGGTTAACATATTTGACTGAGAAACAGAAAATCTGAATTTAATCCCCAGCTCTGCCACATTTTGTGTGTGTCCTTGGGCAAGTCACTTAATTTACCACAGGTCTATCTTTAAAATGAGACTGGTACTCTCCCACTTCTTAAGAGTGTCGTGAGAATAAACCCATTAAGGAGTGTGAGGATCATATGGGTACTTAGATAGAGAGAAATCCCTAACTGTGAGAGATGGAAGGCTTAATTCTCCACTGGCATCCACTGAACTCATAAGGACTTACATCAACAGAGTTTGGCCCTATTAGCTGAATGACTTTTTAGCTATATTTTGAACAGAAACAGTTAAGGGGGAAAATTAAAGAACACTCTATATATTTTTGTGGAGTTTGGTGACATTAACCTTGCTATGAAATAAAGAAGCAGGATAAAATGATCAAAAACACTTGAGTGATTTAGGAGCTTAATTCCCATTTTCTTAAGTGTTTTAGGCACTTAGGCCAAGATCTTCAAAAATATTTAGGCATTTAACTCACATTGACAGCAGTGGGAGTTAGGCACTTAAATACCTTTGAGGATCTGGGCTTAGGAAGCCTAAATCCCACTGAGACCTCAATGACACTTAGGCTCCTATGCCACGTAGGCACTATTGACATTTTAACCATAGTCTCTTTTTTAATGTCTGATCCTTTATTAAGCCAAGACACTTGTAGCTTTGCTTTTACCTTGTTTAAGAGTGTGGTTCTGCGCTCAGCGTGTTGTGCGACCTGCTGGTACTGCTGCAAAGGAATCATTAAAGTGTCCATCCATTCCTGTGCGTGACATGGATCCTGTTCTGCTATATCCTGCACTTCTGAGTCCAGTTCATTCAGTTTGTAATGCCAAAGGTCTAGCACATCCCAGATTGTCTACATGTGGGAATATGGTAAAAACAAAAAACATTACGGTCAAACCTTATTCTGACAGGATACATATCTAATTTATGTTTCCTGTATGGGGCATGTGAGTTTTGAATTTGCAAAGGTTCATGAACTGATATGACTAGTACAGAATTTTCTGTATCTACCCTGGGTCACTCATGCCCAAGGCAAATGAGAAAAAAAATCTTTTGCTGTGAGCAGAAAGGTTTTGAAAGTAGTAATCAAGTAGATGCTTCTGCGTATGCAGGCAAACACAACGGAAGATCCCTTGACAGTCTTCTAAATCAGATTCAGTAACTGGACCCATGGTCTTCAGACTCAGAAAATGGAATTTTGAGACATTACCTTTTGAATTTCCTTGGCTTTTGCAATGTTTTCACTCTTGTGTTGTAACATCTTTTCAACAGCTTGCAGGCCATTGTTAATATTCTCTACTTTTTTATTCATCACATAATGAGGAGAGCTCTGCAAGATTTTGGTGCTAACCTGTCATAGTAAAGGGAAAAGTTATGCAGGTAACAAAAATCTGTTTGTTTATTCATAATGTCTCACAAAAAGTTTCAGAATTCTTTGTATTACTTCCTTGACAAGTCACATAAGACTATAAGCCAGAATTAGATTTTCTGTGAGAAGCAACAGTAATATGGTGTTGAGTTCATGGGTCATTCAATAGTTTCATCCCACTAAAATGACAGGTGGAACACTGCTTTAAATACAAATCAATGTAATATACTACAATATTGGGTCACTTCTGCTGGTTTCTGTTCTGGCCAGTATGTAAGAGATACAACCTGTACTAGGGAAAAGACACACTCCAGCTCCTCACTCTGAAAAATCAAAACTGAAATATAATCTGCCAGCTGATAGCACTGTTTTGCCTGAGAAATAAAAATCAAGGTTTTACACGTTTCCACTATATTAATGCTCAGACTGACTACAAAAATAAATTACTTTAAAGCCCCAAAACAATCAAGTGCAGAATCTCTCTCAGCAGAACTCCACAAGAACAAGAAATAGGGATACTGAGTACCATGATTTTGGTGTAAGTTGTGGCAAAATTTTCAAAATTGCCTAACTGATTTAGGAACCTAAGCCCAATTTTTTAAAGGGACTTCGGCATTTAGGACTAGTCTGCACACAAAAATTGTACTACATTAATTATACCGCTGTAGTTAAAGCAGTACACCGCCCTTAATGTGGATGCAGGTATACTGGTATAAAGATGCTTACACTAACCAGCACAACCTACAGGAGTATAACTTACACCAGTATAACAGCATCCTCACTAGAGGGATGTATTGGTATAGCTATTACAGTAAAAAAACATGCTCCTATTCCAAAATACCTATACTGATACGTATCAGACCTTGGGTTTCCAAATGCCTTAGTCACTTCTGAAAATAGGACTGAGATGCCTTAATCACTGGGGAGCATGAAAGCACTGTGCACCAGAGAGGATACATTTTGTTCTTTTTCACCCCTTTTATTAGAATCAGTAAAAATGAATAAACAACAATAATTCTATGCTTCCAAGTTAGAATTTTATCTCAAACTTAATGGACCAGTCTGATTCTCTTTTTCTTCTTGTTTCACACCCTGCAGTCCCTCTTAAAACTTTGACAGCTTTGCTCTAGATAAATAGATATTTCATTTATTCTGTATGTATTATACTTAGGGAATACTGAAAATACTGAGACAGTGTTAGTTACCTAAATTAGACAATGTTAGTTATCTAAATTAACTGGCAAGTTTTTTAGGGCACCACTGTGCACCAGGGGTTGCTATAAAGAATTATGTCACTAATAATACCCTGCCATGTGTGCAGCTCTGTTTATAAAAGTATTTGTTGAACTTCTTGATGGCTTTGAAATGCCCACAAAACAAAGAAATACGTTTTGAACATATCATCCATCTGTGTATGATACCATGATGAGGTTTCACACTTATTGGGAAACAGAGGATAAAAAACACTATTGGTCAAGTTTAAGAATAAGATTGAAGGGAAAGAGAACAGTGGTGTTCTGAAAGGTATAAAAGAATGTATATACATCTTAGCCTTACTGAATCTGCCATTTCTTCTTGTAGCTTAATTAAAATAAATTTTATGCCCTAATTTGTTGATTGCTATAATATTTTAAAAGGATACAGAGGTAACACATGCAATTTATCTGTAGTTTATACATTTTTACTAAGTGTGGAATGCAATAAAATTAGCATTTATACCAACTAACATTTTCAGTTGACACTTGTACTTATAGCAATAATATAGTGTGAAAACATTCCAAATAAATAAAAATGTGAATTTCACACATTATTACCTTCTCTTCTAGGTCTTGTAATGTTTTCTTGCAGTCTTCCAACTGTGTTTCAATATCTGCAGGAACTATTGTATACATTTCTGAATACTTGATTCGTAGTTTCTCCATAATATCCGTAATTGTTTGATTCTCTCTGTTAATTATACTCCGAATCTCCTAAAAAACATTTCAGAGGTTTCAGTACTTATAAAACACTAAAAACTTAGACTCAGTAGGAACTAAGTGAGTCTTCTACCATGATGATGATTTAAATAAGTTGTTTTCACATTACAAAACCTCACTTGACAACCTATGCAAGCAGATTAAACCTGAGATATATTCACTGGTTTAGACAAATGATGCTTTTCAATCTGTAAGAATTAATTAAACTTGATACCACCCAATGTCAAACTATTGTTCCAGTAATACTTATTGACAGAAATAATTTATGGTTAAAATGTTAAAGTGCTTCTGTGATTTAATGTTCAGCTTTGTGACATTCCTATTATAAATACTAGATTTTTACTTTCAAAGAAGTTTTACATTATTTTAACAGCTACATTATTATAACAACACAAAGACCGCTAAAAGCAACAGCCTCGAAGCTGAAGTGTCTGCTTTCATGTAATTATGTAGAACTGCAGAGCACAGCTCCTTTCAAAACAGTAGGTTCCAGTCCTGTGTAAGGAATGTAGGTTTTGTGAGACAAAAGAAACCTGAACAACTGTCTACAGCCTGTGGCCTAGAAACAAAACCTGAACTAAGTCCTCTCACAGAAAGAAACTTGTTTGTTAGGCTTTCTAAAATTTCAAGTTGCAAAATTTCTTGTTTTTACAGTTACTTTCCCCTACTCTCCGCCATTTTTGTGTGGTGTCAAATTTTAAATAAGTTATTGGGCAAAGTGATAAATTCCTATTATGCAGTGAGAACTTTTTATTTTACTGTTAGACTATGGGGTGATGATTTTTATAAAGTTTAACCATTCCCCTTTAAATCCTAACCTCCATTTGGGAATCCTGTCCCACACCTAAGTACAATGCAGAGAAAGACTGTATCAATGGATGAAATAAAGTTTTCTTTCCCATTTTGCTATGACAACTGGGTCCAACTGTAAAGAACATAAAACATCTGTACACCTAATACACCACAAAGAAGCTTACTGTAACAGTGCCACAATTAAGGCTGTGCCAGTAGTGATGGGCTCCCAAATGACCTGTATTTGAAAGAAAACAACTCTCTGACCTGCAGTAAGCAGAAAATATCACTTTGTAAAATGGACTTCCATATCCGTATATAAATATGAACATGCAGTTAATACTTTTAAGCTGTAAAACTGATATTTGAAAGCTTCCCAATATTGTCCGAAACTAAATAAAAACATGATGATTATTATTGTTTGTATTACTCTAGCACCTAAGAGCACTAGTCATGGACCAGATCTCCACAGGGTTAGGTGCTGTATAAACAATACAAAAAGATGGTCCCTATCCCAAGGGGCAACATAACATTACCTCACTATCTGCAGCTTTATCCTACATGGGTGCTACTTTAAAACTTGCCAACTGCCTTAGATAGATAAATAAGTACTGCAGTTCATTTTTGTCAGTATTTCATAGAACAGAATCATAGAAATGTAGATCTTGAAGTCTCTCCCCCTGCACTGAAGCAGGATTAAGAACCTAATTGCAGCAGCCAAGGTGTTTCTCCTATTAAACATAGGAAAGAGAGTATTGCACATATTATTCTTATATATATTTATTTTAAGTGAAATTGGAAGATTGTTCAGTACTCTCAGTAGAAGGAACACTGCAAATACTGAGGTTATGTTATTTAGTCATCTACGGGAACTGACTTTTTTTTTTTTTTTTTAAAGAGCTATTGATGATTCTTGTGCCCTCCAATTCCTGGCAGTGGTATTGGGAGCACTGTCTACACTGCTTCATTTTGCCAGGGGCACTCCTCCCAGTCAGTTTTCCACCTCTCATTCAGCTACAGCAAGCACAATGTAAGGAGTACAGCATGAATTTAGAGGCTGAAATGGTAGCCGTTTGCTCTTGGATACTATAAAAACCTCACTGACATAACAACATTAACCTGCAAGTACTTATAGAGTGAAAAACAATTCTTACAGACAAGTTGGAAAGGTTTCATCACAGTAATGCTAGCTCATGAACTCCCTAGATATGTATTTGCATATTCAACATTGTGTTAACTCCCAAAGAAATCCCCAAGCACATTATCACCATTCTCATATGTTCATATATTATTCCCTGTCCTCAACCCTTTGTCATCTTGTCTCTTCCAGACTGTAAGTTCTATGGGGCAGGGATTGTCACTCTCTGTTTGTACAGCACCCAGCACAACTGAGCCCCAGTCTTCACTGGGGCCTTCAGGGGCTACTGTAAATAAACGTATATTATAATATTAATCATCAACAACAATAATTAATCCACATAAGGGAGTTGGTTAAAGAAAACTACAGTTTAAATAAGCCACTCACGCAAGGTTAACAACAAATACATTTAAATGATATAAAGGTTTCAGAAAATGTGTTAAAACCCAGGTGTAAATCTCAGGGCTTGTCATGCATTAACGCTGTATAGACAAGCTGGGATGTAAATCTACAGCGCAATAGCTTGCCGCACACACAGTCGCCAAGTGGACCCTGCCGCTGTGCACTAAAAGCTTTGCCATGCATTTTGATCTACTGATGTTTGAAGTGGATTACGTTTGAAACAACAGTTGGTCAAAATGCACTGCAGAACTTTTAGTGCACAACAGCAAGGTCCATATGCCCAGGTAATGCGTGGCACGCTACAGCACTGTAGATTTGCACCCCAGCTTGCCATGCACAATCTCCCTCTGTATAGACATGCCCTAAAACTGATGGAGGTTGTGGTCCTGATAATGATCTAATTTACAAACATTTTACACCAGTGTAATCCATTGACTTCAGTGGAGCTACTGCCAATATACACTGCAACAGATAAGGATCAGCCCCTTTGAAGATATCCTGGGGCAGAATGGGAGGAATGAGAAGATGCATATAAGCTGAGCAGCCATTTCTAAGTGAGACAGGATTGGCTGAGCCCCTCCTTAGGATCAGAACAGGCCTCTGTAGCTGTGGCGCATGATCAAGTCGCGTAACGCTATCTGGCTCCAAGCCACATACATTATAGAGCCAAGAATTTGGTCTGCATCCCACTGTGCTTATATTTTTTGACACTGATTTGAATGGGAGCAGGCTCAAGCCCCCTGTGTCAAATTTATTATCTAGAAGCCGAGACCCATGCAATGTGACAGTCTTCTACACACCTCCAACCGTGTTGCCTTTTCAGTAGACTCTTGTGACTCTTCATCACACAACAAAAATGAGACCTTTTGTAATGAACTCCTTACAGCCTTTATTTCTTCATTAATCTTGTCTCTCTCGTGAATCTCAGACTGCACGGATTTTTTGTGTTTTTGAACCTTTTGAGATAGCCTTAAAAAAAAAAAAAGATTTGCATTGGGAAAAAATTATTTGTCTCAATATTAATTAGAAAGTGAAACATTCCAAAAAGTATTCTGCAAAACTAAATGCTGATATTTAAAAATATACATTTAGAACCAAATCTGTGCCTTAAAATGCATGTCAGTATCTTGCCATGCTTACTTTTTGGTACTTAAGTCACTTTTGACTTCACGCTCTAAGTTTCTTTAGACATGAATCTTCAGATAAAAGTAAATACAGTATGTTTAGTCAAGCAAATTGGGTAGTCAGCCATCTAATTGTCCAATTTAGGCTTGACATAGAGCTTTCACAATTACCGTTGAGGTGTAGAGACATAGGCCTTGAAAAGTAGGTGCACAAAGATTTAGACATCAGAGAGCAAGTGTGAAGAAACACAAAAGTGTACAATTTTGCTCATAAATTTGGTAACTGGGTTGAGACCCCTTTGAAAACCTGGTACATGAGGCAGTAACGATGATAAAGATAAAAATGTGTACACAAATACATAGACGGAGGCTGATTTTCACAGATGCTGAACACCTGCAACATCCCTTCCAGTCAGTGGGAGCTGCAGGTCCTCAATACCACTAAAATTCAAGATTTTACATCCTTCACATAATTTTAGCCCATATTTGAAGTCCATTAAACTTTTTGAAACATTCTCTTAGTACGAAAAAAGAAAAGGAGTACTTGTGGCACCTTAGAGACTAACCAATTTATTTGAGCATAAGCTTTCGTGAGCTACAGCTCACTTCATCGGATGCATACTGTGAGCTGTAGCTCACGAAAGCTTATGCTCAAATAAATTGGTTAGCCTCTAAGGTGCCACAAGTCCTCCTTTTCTTTTTGCGAATACAGACTAACATGGCTGCTACTCTGAAACCTGTCTTAGTACGAAGAAAATGCAAGTGAGCCGAGTAAAACATTCTGCTATTATGTAGTTCTGTGTAAGATGTTTTTGCAGGGTAGTGTCTTGCACATACTTTTTACATCGATCTTGCATTACATGTATCTCGTATCGAATGGGAACGGCTGCTTTTCTCTCCGTGCTTTCAGGCACATTCAGGATGCTTCTTATACGATGAAGTAGTAAAAGCAATAACAGTTGCTCTCTGTCCATGTTTTCCTCGTAACAGTCCACATATTCTAGCAATTCTAAAAGTGCATCCGTGGAGGCCTTCTCTTTCTCTTTAGGACTTTCCGGTAGTTCTTCCTGAAGATTATCTAGAATTATTGCTTGCCGTTCCACCTAAATAAATAATACAAGTATGAGATAAAGTGTACTTTCTTCAGCATTTCACATTACACTATGTCCTTGTCATGCATATCAAACTCGCACTAACAGCAATGGGAGCTCAGTGTGCGGACTGAAAGCTCAGGGCTTGATCCTGCAGGGTACTGAGCACTTTAGTTCTGATCCAACAAAGCACATAAGCACATGCATAGTTCAAACCCAATGAGTAGCGCAACTTAATTCAGCAGTTCAGTCTATAAATATCGCCCGTGTTTACATTAAGAAAAGGTGATAGATAATGGGACAATCAGCTGGTGTAAACTGACATATCTCCACTGACTTCAGGGGAGCTATACTGATTTTCACCAGCCAAAGATTTGGCCCCGTAATCTTCTTTAAGCGTCCTGTTTTGTTATGTTTGTTCCCAAAATATTCTACAACCTGTTAAGCCACTCACTTCTTCGTTGACAAATTTCCATCCCTGTTTTAGCTCCTCACAATTAATCTCCCATTCTTTTGCAGCCTCGAGCAAACCAAGCCACTTTCCCCACAGTGCTGACACAATCCTGACAAGCGTGCAGTCACTTCCTTTGCACATCATGCTCAGGTCTCTTGAGTCCCGTCTCAACGTCATTAGATCCTCTTCAGCCGAAAGAAGGTTAGAGACCAAAACCTTGATACAAATAATAAGCAGAACAATATTGCATATCAGGATATCTAACAAAACAATTCCTTACATGAGTAGTCTTCTAGATTAAATAACAGATACTTTGTTGTCGGATGCCTAGATACTATATAATGAGCCAATTTTATATCAGATAACATAAGACAGACTGGGGTAAACCAGACAGAGAGAATCTTGCCAAGAGTTTGGAATATATACCAATGGAAATAGTATTTGCTTATACAATATCTACAATAGAGCACCAGTCTAACCACCTTTTACTTTATCCTCATAATGACATGGTGATAGCCATCTAGCTAAGGTTGACCTTTATAAACCTGATTTTCAACCTAACTTCCCCAAAAAGAAATCAATCCACCTGAGATTTCATATGCCACATCTCATTTTGAGTAAAGTTTTTCTGGAAGTTTTAGAAAAGCTCAAAAAGAGAACGTTTACATTATTGGGTGAAATCTTGGCTCCATCTAAGACAATGGCAAAACTTCCACTGATCTTCATGGGGCTAGGATTTCACCCCCAGCATTTAAGAAATTTTCTTATATTTGACTTTTTGAACATTCTCTCTTTTTTTTTTGGATCTTTGTTTTGTTGGTCATGCAGAGAAATGCCTTTTACCAGGGATGAAGGGTGGGGGGTTGTTTTTGTTTTCCAGGGGATTTTTGGACAGGAGGAGTAATTATTGGGGAATTACAGATATAAAATATAAAAAGCCTGTGATAGGGTGTACAATACAACAGTAGGACGGAAAAGGATTAAACTAGGGGTTCTTTAACACAGGGATGCGGACAGGAGGCAGGGGAAGGGCCTTAGGGAGGTAGGAGGGAAGAAACAGCGATCCCTTTCCCTCTCCTTCCATTCCAAGGAGAAAACAAGGTCAAGAATCTTCTGGGTCTAGGCCCCAACCAAGAAGCATGGAGGAACTTGTGCTAAAAATAATACATTTGCGTGGATACAAAAATATCTGAAACACAGATAAAGTTTATTTGATAAACACTATGATATATACATCATATACGGCCTGTTTAAACCTAACCACAGGAAAACATAGGCCTACCAACTCCACTTCTACTCTTTGTGTTTCAAGACCTAATGAGTCTGTTTGGATCATTGTTTTGTACAGGGTTTTGTAGCTACTTCAGAGTCACGCTTACCTTGCTTTGTTCCAAGTACTCCAGAGCTTCCTTATAAGACGTTGGAATTTGGGACAAAGATTGTCCAAGCATCTTTTCTAGATCATTAATATTAGCATATAGCTTCTCTTTGATTTTTGTGTAGCTTCTGTATTTTTCAAAGCACCTATGAAACACAATTAGCAAACTACTCAAACTTTACCATAGCTCCTCCTTGCCTCAGTTTTAATGCACGGTGTAATCATAAATGTAACAAACAAACAAATATATCTTTTAAAGCACTACTTGCCAAATATTTTAGGTTTGATATCAGAGATACCTCAATTTTTGAGGTGTACAAAGGCCTCCAGATACCAACTGTTTTTTTTCTTTTACCCACTACTCTGTTGCAAAGAAATAATTTATATGAACATATACACACACCAATTGTGTATGTAGGACCTGAAGACTTTCATGTTCTCCTGTCGCTCAGCCAGGAAACAGCCCAGAAGAACAAGTCCTGTTCCCAGAGTAGCTTTTCACATTATTATTGACATAATCAAAGACATTAGATCACACGCAAAGAATTAAACAAACAAAAAAAGCAAAAAGATAAAATGAGCTTTCGGAACATGTCTCTGAGGGCCGGGAGCAGAAGACACTGTGGTCTGGGTGTTGATTTTGCCTTGACTATCTCCAGTTACTAAAATGGCCTCTGAAAGGGGCACATTAGGCTAACTGCTGTACCAGAGGCGAAGCCTGGGATTATGGAGGTGCTCTGTCTCTCTGTTTGATCCCTGCACCAGACTCGGTGCTGGAATCATCATAGAATCATAGAATATCAGGGTTGGAAGGGACCCCAGAAGGTCATCCAGTCCAACCCCCTGCTCAAAGCAGGACCAATTCCCAGTGGATGATACACTTATTTGAATACATTCAAAAAGAATGCTTTATACATGAATTTAAATATGCCTAGTCTAGAGTAATTTTCACACATTAGAATAGCATCTGGGAACAGTGTGTATTTGCATAGAGCCCTTTTTATTAAGGATCCATCACAGGAGAAACAAGATTCCACATTTACTGTCATAGATTCATAGATATTAAGGTCAGAAGGGACCATTATGATCATCTAGTCTGACCTCCTGCACAACGCAGGCCACAGAATCAATCGTCTTCCTTGTATCATTGCCTACATAGATCACTTAAACCTACCTCTGCATATCAGTTCTCTTCCTTTGCGCCTTCTCCCTTAGTATTGAATTCTTAGTGACTAGTTCACTTAAAGTATTTTTCAGTTGTGGTTTGGCTCTTGGTTTAATTATGTTTTCCAGTTTGGAGGTCAGATCCTCTATGTCTGCCTTTGCAGACTCAAATTCTTCTGGTTTCCAATGTAGAATTTGGCAGGACTCTTCTAGACTACCAAGGTCAACTTTTGCTGAGAGAATTCTGATTTCATATTCAGTGAGGAGATCCACAGCCCTTTGGACAGCTTTGGTATAAAGCTTAACATTCTCATGAGCTTCGTCTATGGCATTCTGAAAGCATTTAAGAGACAAAAAGATCAATCAAGAAAAACTGCAGGACACAATGGATAGCAAAACAGCCATTTCAGAGAAATGACATGAGTCGGCCTGGCAGGTGATGCTGTCAGAGGCCACTGAGGGTATGTCTATGTGGGGATAAAAACTCACAGCTGACCCAGGCCAACTGACTTGGAGTCACAGGGCTCAGGCGCCAGGGCTGAAAAATTTTTGCTCCCTGCGTGCCTCTGGAATGGCGCAAAAGAAGTGCAGCAGGCCAGAGAATCTGGCACGGTTTGATTATAATAAGTTTAACACAAATAATTTCTTTGTTCATTGGCATCATAATCTGAAAAGTAACCAATAATCCAACCACTCCTGAAACAGCTATGAAGGCTTCAATCTAATTCAGTTACTTGACTTAATAGAGTATCTACAAGCCATGAAAATATTAACACTGGAGAAAACTAGAGGATACTCCTGGACAGCTAATCAAGACTTACAAAAGGATGTACAATCTTATTTATTCTTACTAAAGATACTTACTACACGGGAAGCAATATCTGTCTTCAGCTGTATTTCAAGATCTTCCAGTTCATCTAATTTTGCTTCTACACCATCAATAAAATAAGATTTTTCTTCTTGCTTTTCTTTCTCTTTACCCATTAGATCTTTCAGGGCACAAAATTCTGCTTGCACCCTGTCTTGCATTGCTTCACAATGCATCTTTTCATACTGAATTTTTTTCATTTCCAAGTCTACCAGAAGTGGCTGCTGAAACTCAGATTTAATCTGCTTTATGGTATGTAATGTGTGTTCCAATTTGCTCTGGAAATCTTGTTTATTTATATGCTCTGCCTGAAGATCCACTATCATGTTTTGGAAAAATTGATGCAACCCATCAATATCTTCCTCCAGGCTCTTTATTTGCTGCGTCTTAGCCTCTTTGAGTGATCCATCAAAGACTTCATTTATATTTAATTGATTTACTGCCTCCTGGATTAAGTACCTGATTTGTTGAACTCTCTGGCATAAAATCTGTGCTGATATAAAATTGGTTTCTGTGGAAGAGCCAGGGTTATTTGTTAGTATTTCAGCTTCATTCTTTATACTGGATGTCATGGCCTGGATTTCATTTAGCAATGCTTGATGCCTGTCATATTTTATAACAAAGTTGTCAAAGCATTTAATCTTCTCTTCAAGTTTATTTTTAATTTCAAGAAATTGAGTTTGCAATTCATCATGGTGTGAAGTGTCCCAATTTAGGTTTATACAGTCAAATATTTCCTTGTACTTCGCTATTTGTAACAAACTAGATTGAATAGCTAAGGTTCTCTCTTTAAGCACATTGAGTTTAACCTTACCTTCCTCTTTTACACTTAATATTTCCTCTCTCTCCAGTTTCAATACATCACACCATAGATCACTAAGCTCCTGATGCAATAAAGTTATTCTTTCAGAGAGATCTGTGTAGATAGCTATCTTTTTTTCCACTGCATGGCATTTATTCTGGATTAACCTCTGTATCTTCCTAGCTCTATTCTTAAGGCATCTTAATTGGTCAGTTAAAAATAATTGTTCAAATATGTTTAGTTCCCCACGTGAGTGCTGACTCTCTTGGAGATGTGATGAGATGAGACCTTCCATCTCCTGTATTTCCTCTGAAAGCTCCTTTAAAATGACATGTAGATTGCCTAGCTCAGAGCACTTGATTGTTTGATTTATGTCGGGAATGGTCAGCGTCTCAGCACGGTGAAGCTGGCTGTGAACTCTTTCTATGTCTGCAATAAGCCTCTGCCTTTTTTCCAGTTGGAATTCTAGCTGTTGTAATCTTTGAGCTGATTTTAAAACAAGCGCCTGGTATGAATTCTGTAATTCTTGTAAAAGGGCGCTCAGATCAGTAACTTCCTCTGGATTCAAATCAGGAATGATACACTGGGTCTCATCAGCCAGTGACACAATAGCAGACTCTTTGTCTACAGCTACACTGTTCACAGCCTTGCAATTTCTGATCTGTATTTTAATATCATCTGGGGAAAGTGCTGCCTTCTGATCAAGAGAAAACAATGAACCTTTGACCCATGATATATTCTCTTTCATCCTTCTCATGATTTCATACTTCTTGGGATCAGAGCTAAGGATCTGTACATCCTCCTGAGGAGTTTGGTGCTCCAATACTTCCAACTGATTCTGCAAATCATTTATTGAATTTTCCAAAGTTTTCTTTTCTTCCTCACTCCAAATCCTTTTCATCTGCAGCTCAGTGCTTCTTTTTAACAAAGAAACACTGTGTTTAATGGCTTGTAGCTCTGAGGTCCAAAGTACTGGATATTTGTTTTTTTGTCCATCTGGGGAACTCAACCCAGCTTGTAAATGCTGCTGGTGCTCTATCAACTTTTGAATGTCCTGTGCTTTGTTCATGAGAAGGTTAAATTCATCAATTTCTGAGACAACTTGATAATGTTTCTTTTGCACTGATTGCTCTATGTGTTCCCACCATCGCTCAAGTTGTTTCACTTGACTTTCTGTTAATTCCTTATCTATGCATGTCAGATACCTAGATAAATTATCTCGTTCAGTTTTCAGCTTGTTTAAAATGTCTCTCTCCTTCTGTACTGAATCCATACATTTTTTTATTTTTTCCAGAACAGTGTTGCTCATAGGGCCCCTGTCAATAAAATTATCAAGATTTAAAACAATCTTCCAGAATTAGAATTAGAAGCATTAGACACGTTTTTAAATGATAATTTTGTTGTATACCCACCAACCAGAAAATTGTTCACTCACAAAAGTAATCAATATACATTTTCATTATTTAAAATGTTCTTACCCTGGTCATTTTATACTTTTTACAGTATACAGTTATTTCCTACATAATCCCAGGAAGAGTTGACTATCCTTTCAAATTACTGCAATAACAATAACTTCCAGTGTATGAACTGCATAGGAATAATATTCACTAACGTAATGTGTGCAGTTCTTTAGAAGAGTTATCTTGTAGCCCACTTTTAAAGCTAAACAAAAAGTAAACTTCAATAACAATTTTAAATCACTTGTGGGTAAATTAAGACTGTTGTATAGTAACCTCCAATGTAAAAATTAATGTAAAAGTTTGGAATCAATTATAAGATTCCCATTTATTGAGGTTGAATCAATCCATTTGATTCAGTCAATAAGACTTTTGCTCCTAAGACTGCTTTTGAAAATCCCACCTTAAATCCATTTAATAGCTTACATTTTAATTCAATTCTGTGCAACCACTTAAAGATAAACAAATAATTCCATAAGTAATTTCTAAAGTGTTTTCAAATAAACCGGCTCATTATTATGATTTATAGGTTAGTTCCATACCTTGAAAGCTAACTTGAAAAACATACTAAATATTGAAGTGTACTGGTTATCTTTGGCTTAGTACTGGCAGATTTCATTCTGACTACAGAAAATAACACTTTCCCTATCAGTTAAAGTTCATTTGCAGAATATGAAAATATTTCAGTAAACAGCAAATAGGTACCTGATCTCTTAATGGGTCAGATTTTTTAAAATAATACCATTTAGGAGGTTCTGGGACAAAATTGGGGATCGGTCCTGCTTTGAGCAGGGGGTTGGACTAGATGACCTTCTGAGGTCCCTTCCAACTCTAATATTCTATGAATCTATGAATCTTTTGCCTCCTATTTCTGTCATTTGTTAACAAAGAAAGATGGCAATCTGTTTTGTATCTGCCATGCCTTTGGAAAAAATATTTTAATAATACAGCACTTAGACTGTAAGTTTTTCAGGGTAGGGACCATCTGTTTGTTATGTGTCTGTAAAGCATGTAACTCAATGAAGCTGAGATCTCTAGATGCTAGCATAGCAAAAAGTAATAAATAATAATAATAGTTTTCATAGCCATTGCTACTGAAGTGCCCTAGATGCAATGTAATGTTATTACCAATATACTAATGTACTGGTTTGGACTAAACCAATTTTTGCTCCTTATATAACTTCAGTTAAATCGATACAGTGCCATATTCAGATTTTAGTTATACCAGAACACAACTGTAGTAACTTCACTTAGGTTGATTTACATCAGTTACACAGATGTAACAGAGATTGGAGTCTGGCCCCCAGAGAGTAAACTGAAAAAGTTCCTTGTACTTACGTTTTTATGTTTTCTTTTTCTGTTGATAAACTCTTCATTGAAGACTGAACAGCAGACAGATTTTCCTGATAATCGTTAACTAGATGATAATGGTGTTGCTTAACCTTCTTAATGGCTTCCAATTCTTGAAGCAATCTGTCCCAGCAAGAAACCATATATTCTGTGGTGTGCAGGTTTGATGTACTCATTTCTGTTGCATTGGGGGACACTTCTTGCCTCAGAGACAAAGCTGTGGCTCTCTGTTTTTCCAGTTCAGCGTATAAATTCTACAATCACATCCACACACAGTGAAAAAAGAAAGATAATTAAATAGAATTTTCACCATTTTTACTTCCTACTGTCTTTACAAAATATGGTTAAAATTTTCACATTTGTGTACACATGAACACATGCATGCTCAGTTACATCTGAGCATACACACAGATGCACATGCATGTACAAACACATATAATCACACATATATGTACAATTGCACATCAGCAGGCACGTATAAAGTCGGTATATTTGCATGCAAAGACAAACATTTACAGACATGTAGTTTATGCAGATGGATTTACAAAGACTATGTTTTCACACAATTGATCATAGAATCATAGAAATGTAGGGCTTAAAAGGGACCTTGAGAAGTCATCATATCCAGCCCATTGCACTGAGGCAGGACCAAGTAATCCTAGACCATCCCTGACAGATGTTTGTCCAATGGTTTATTAAAAACCTCCAATGAAGATTCCATAACTTCCATTGGAAGCCTATTCCAGAACTTAACTACCCTTACAGTTAGAAATTTTTTCCTAATATCTAGTTTAAATTGCCCTCGCTGCACATTAAGCCCATTGTTTTTGTGGGTATGGAGAACAATTAATCACTATACTCTATAAAACAGTTCTTAATATATTTGAAGATTTTTATTAGGGCTTTTCTCAAGACTAAATGTGCCCAGTTTTTTTCAACCTTTCCTCTTAGGTCAGGTTTTCTACACCTTTCATCATTTTTCTTGCTCTCCACTGGACTCTCTCCAATTTGTCCACATCCTGCCTAAACTGTGGCACCCAGAATTGGACACAGCACTGCAGGCAAGTGCCGAGTAGAGCCGGATATCCACCAATGTGATATATGCCATCATGTGCCAGCAATCATATATGTGATATATGCCATCATGTGCCAGCAATCGTATATCATATATGCCATCATGTGCCAGCAATGCCCCTCTGCCATTTACATTGGTCAAACTGGACAGTCTCCACGTAAAAGAATAAATGGACACAAATCAGATGTCAAGAATTATAACATTCATAAACCAGTCGGAGAACACTTCAATTTCTCTGGTCACGCAATCACAGACATGAAGGTCGCTATCTTAAAACAAAAAAACTTCAAATCCAGACTCCAGCGAGAAATTGCTGAATTGGAATTCATTTGCAAATTGGATACTATTAATTTAGGCTTAAATAGAGACTGGGAGTGGCTAAGTCATTATGCAAGGTAGCCTATTTCCCCTTGTTTTTTCCTACCCCCCCCCCCGCCCCAGATGTTCTGGTTTAACTTGGATTTAAACTTTGAGAGTGGTCAGTTTGGATGAGCTATTACCAGCAGGAGAGTGAGTTTGTGTGTGTATGGGGGTGGGGGGGTGAGAAAACCTGGATTTGTGCTGGAAATGGCCCACCTTGATTATCATGCACATTGTAGGGAGAGTGGTCACTTTGGATGAGCTATTACCAGCAGGATAGTGAGTTTGTGTGTGGGGTTTTTGGGAGGGGGGTGAGAGAACCTGGATTTGTGCAGGAAATGGCCCAACTTGATTATCATGCACATTGTGTAGAGAGTTGTCACTTTGGATGGGCTGTCACCAGCAGGAGAGTGAATTTGTGTGGGGGGGTGGAGGGTGAGAAAACCTGGATTTGTGCTGGAAATGGCCCAACTTGATGATCACTTTAGATAAGCTATTACCAGCAGGACAGTGGGGTGGGAGGAGGTATTGTTTCATATTCTCTGTGTGTATATAAAGTCTGCTGCAGTTTCCACGGTATGCATCCGATGAAGTGAGCTGTAGCTCACGAAAGCTCATGCTCAAATAAATTGGTTAGTCTCTAAGGTGCCACAAGTACTCCTTTTCTTTTTGCGAATACAGACTAACACGGCTGTTACTCTGAAACCTGTCAAAAAGAAAAGGAGTACTTGTGGCACCTTAGAGACTATAAGTCTCTAAGGTGCCAAAAGTACTCCTTTTCTCTTTGAGTATAGTCTTTCATCCAGTTGTGCACCCACTTCATAGTAATTTCATCTAGATCACATTTCCCTAGTTTGCTTACAAGGATGTCATGCGGAACTGTGTCATCAGTCCAATGTAGAATGGGACTACATGCAACAGTTTAATAGTTTTGTGATTATATTATACCACATTGAATAAACTCAGCTATGTAATTAGTGAGGGAATGAGTTTGCTGGCTCCATACCTCTATCTCTTTTAGTTGCTCATTTACTAACACAACATCCAATTCTGCAGTTTGATTTTTCAGCTCAGAGACCTTTTGTTCCTCCTCAATATATTCAGCATTTGCTTGGGCTTCAGGAAGAAGCTGTTTCTGGAAAACCATTTCCACATTTGAACCCTGGAATGTAAAACGGGATTTTTCATTCTGCAATATACATAACAATGTAGCATCTCTACGTTTATTCTTACTACTTAGCCCCATGTGTTCCGGCTATGCCCAAATCCTGCCACTCTTTCCTCCACAGCATCTCTATAACTCATTCCTTTATTTCTGTCCCTCCAGCTAAAATTCTCATACAGACCCTTGTCCTCTCCTGCCTGGATTAGCTCAGCCTGCTCTTCTATGGTCTCCCAGGTCATTCACTAATACAGTTCATACAAGTGCTAAGATGTTGCCCATCAGTCTGATCAAGTCATCACCACCCCCAGCTTACCCTCCTCCACTGCATCTTCTTCAGGCTATTTATCACTGTCTTCAAAGTCCTGCTTAACTCTCTCCCACCCTACTCATCTTCTCGTTTCATTTTGCTCCCAAGCCCTCTTTGTTTAGCAGTGATGCCAGCCTCAGCACATCATTGGTTTCCTTCGTCATAACCATCTCCATGCTCCCCATACATGGAATGCCCTTTCTTGACCATTTGCAAGGACACTATCTTCTCCATGAGCTGAAAGATAATGGCAAGTTTGAGGAGTATTTGCGAATAGTCTATATATTGAGGTTGATAGGGAGGATGGCCTTGTGATTAGGGCACTGGACAGGGAAAGGGGTTCAATTCATGGTACTGCCACCAACTCCTTGTATGACCTTGGGCAAATCTCCTAAATCTCTCTGTGCCTCAATTCCCCATCTGTAAAATGGAGATAATACTACTTCCCTTCCCCAACTCTTTATTTAGATTGTAAGCTCTTCAGGGCAGGGACTATCTCTGACTATGAGTATGTACAGAACCTAGCACAATGAGGCCCTGGTATCACCAGGTGGCACCATAATATAAATAATAATACAAATATCTTGTGTCAGCACAACACTGTATTACTAAGAGGTGTCCAAGTATCACCTTGGCCACCTGGTTTATCTGTTGTACTACCACCCACAACCTTCTGTCTGTCTCTGTTTATACCGTGAGCTCCTCAAGGCAGGGTCCGTGCCATCTGTTCAGTCTGGAAAGTGCCTTGCACATAAGTTACTATCAGAAATAAATAAGATAATAACAACAATAATTAACACTCTTCTTGTTACCTTTTCACTGTGAACCAAATATATCCAGTCAGAAAAATCAAATAACCAGGGAACTTTTCCATTTACCCTAACTACACAGCTACAGCAATTGTATCTACTGAGACAGAAACACCAGGTTTCATTTTAAGAGGCCCTGAAGGGCCATGAAATTGAAGGAAATGAAAAAAGTCAGCTAGCTGTCAGAGAGTCAATGGGAAGACAGCATCATCAGATGGAACAGAAGTCACAAACATGAAGAAACAAGTGAAATGAAAGTAGGAAAAATGCAGGATGGTGTTATATGGTGTACATTTCCCTTCATATGTATGTGGAGTTTCAGCTACACATGCTGAGGCCAGAGTTACTCCCCTGCACAGCAGAGTTACTGCTCCCAACATTGCAGCTTGAGCACAGCGGGGGCTGGAGCTGCAAATGCAGTACTTCCTTCACCCCCAAGAAGTTGCAGGGAAGAGGCAGAGGAGAGTAGGTCGCGGGCAGTCTTGGCTCCATTGCCAAACATACCAGCCAGCAGAGCCAAACCAGCATAAGGGTGGAAATATCCTGCGCTTATCATATAGCCCTTTTTCCTGTATGATAAGTTACTTCTCTGCAGGAGCAAGGAAGAAATGCTACCTCTCTGACTCACAATTCCTTCCCAGGACACCTCCTAAGGCCATAGAGCTACATGCCACCTCTCATACAGGGTAACGAACAAAGGCTAACTCCTGCCCTAAGGTACTTACCATATATCATGGACCATCAGTCCAACCCACTGTTTATAAAGAAAGCTCCACTCACTGCACTCAAGAAACTGTTCCAAAAGTTTACATAACGAGCAACCTTCAGGGGCTCCATCACAGTCAGTGGTAAAAAAATGGAATTGGGGGTTTGAAATGATCAGGGGGATCATTGCAGTGCCACAGCAGAGACAGTGCAAGAAACCAGTGACTTTAGAACTTTGCTTTACGGTTGTTTCCTGCCAGTTCCATATTAGGAATGTGGATGCATGATTAGTGAGCTTTTAGCACTGGTACCTTTCTAGAACTGTGTGTTTTCCAAGTCATGATTTTATTTACAGGGCATCAGTATAATGTAACTACTTAAGAAAAACTACCTGGTACCTAGGATGGCTTAACTGGTAAATACAATGCAAAGGTTCTGGGGGATTATCATGCAGTCAGACTTATTAATGACCCAATTCTGCAACTGATATACCCTAAAATTACATTTTCTTCAGTCCTACACATGGAATGAATACAGGACTGGCCCACAGTAGAAACAGAATTACAATGTATCCTACAATGCAATATTATACATAGTAATTGTGGTACTATGTAACAAAATATTCATTATTATATTATTAAAAAGTAGCTACATGATATAGTATCTGTGTCTTGTAATAAGTACTGGCTATAACCCCATTAATTTTTCATTCATTAAAAGCAAAGTGGTTTGGGGCGCTTCCAACTTCCCACTTGGTTTCTCCAACTTTGTTTGATAGCAAACCCATCGCTGCTGAAGCTTCTCCAGAAATTATCCCCAGTCAGCAATTATCCTGATTTCAGCACCAACTCTCTATCTTGGCTCATCGAGCACAAGAAACTGTGGCCTTCGTTCAAGCTACCTTTTAGTAACTAACAAATAAAAAAGGGTATTAATGATAACCTTCTAGTGACAGAAGTCCCAAAAATGTCAATTGCTTTGCAGAAAGGACTTTCTATAGTACAGATATAGAGCCAAAAAGAAGCAAAAACTTACATGGCATTTAAAAAAAATTAACTCATTCATGACACTAAATTCTTTGAAAAAGGTTGTATACACTTATTTTTGGGCCATACTGAACCCTTATGCAGTACTTATGCATAAAGAAACACAGAAGGGTATGGTATAAGAAGAAGGATAAAGTATGTACCACGTGTACTAGGCAAGAGATGTTTCCTTCTGACATCTGTGTACCCTGAAATTTCAAGAAGAAGCAGCAGTGTGACTTTAAAATCTCACTGGGAACAGGACTGATGTATGAAATGCTGACAGGGAACTTGCCAAAATCTGCATTAAGTGACTGCTACTGAAAGAGAAGTAAATAGAGAGCAGATCCTGGAATTAGAGAACCAGGGAGACCTGGAAAGTTTGGCTCAAGACTCTCTTCAGGTGTGGCTACTCTTTGGGTTCTTAACTCAGGTGTGCTCAGCCCACAGATCCTCTCTCCCTACACAGCCATGTCCATCTCTCTCAGTCAAACAGCAGAACTCATTTACCCCTTTCCTAACAAGGAACAGGGAGGATGTTTCAGGCAAACATTGTTACAAAGCATATTTACAAGTATTCCCAAAAGGAAACCTAAAATCCACCAGTCAATTTGGGCAGATCTACTCAGAATGAGTACCTGGCTAAAGATTTACCTCTTAGGGAGCAAGTATCAAAACTGGCTGTCGGTTGTAACTATGCTGGGTTAGTATCTATTATTCTCAAGGCAGAAATCTGGAGTAAGAGAACCCTAATTTAGGATTTTAAATAGAACCAGGTATAATTGAACATATATTTTCTTTAGCAACCTTGTCTATAATGAAGAGTAGGTTCTTTTAGTATTTTATCTTGTTATTCTTTCAATCCTTATTCAATTTTTCTTCCCCTCTACTTTTTTTTTAATAGAGCATTGCATTAGTGTTGGACTATAAACAAATTTCATTTTTTAATCTGCTTTCTCTTACCTGGTGGAGACTGCTTTATCTAAACTAACCATAATAATATACAAGAGAGAAGTGGGGAACGGAATCTAAAATAACACCCTCCAGCCTAGCAAATCTAAACACTACAAAATAAGGGTTAATTTGGTGGCACTGTGAACTGAATATGACTCACCCTTTATTAAAAAGATCCCCTAATGTACATTGTGTGGGGATAGCGATCACAAAATAGTTCCATATAAAATTAATTGACTGTAACATGAGAACTGCTGTCTCTTCTTTTATAATGGGTCTTCAAGCAGACTATGTAACTGAAATGTTAAAATTCAAAGATGTTTAAGAATGGAACTTGAATTAGTTGATCTTGGATTACCTCAGGATTGGAAACTGTTTCTTTGGACGATAGTCTCTCTTTTTCAGCTGCAAAGGAATTCAGCATTCGCTCCTCACTGCACAGCCATTGTTGGAACTGCTGTACATTTTCTCTGTATGCTTGATTCTTTACATCACTAGATTTCTTCTTGCGGTGTTAGGAAAAAGAAAGAAACAAATAACCCAAAGTCTTAATCAGACATGCTGACTAATAATTACAGTATTTCAAATGACAAGGTGGTGAACCTTACAATTACAAATAAATGAGGCAAACGCAACTACGACACGTAAAAGATTACACCAGGCAAGGTTATGGTAAGGAAGATGATTTACATGAAGAAGCAGAACTGTAATTTTGTCATAACAAATGTTTTGAAAAATTGCGGTTAGTGATGGATTAGCTCTCTTCTTCTGATTTACACTTTTTACAGTGCTTTACTTGTGGGATGCACTAGCTTCCTGTCAAAGCGTTGGCTTTGATCTATAAAGCCCTACCTGGTCTGGTTCTTGGATACATATGGTAAAAGACTACACTTCTCTTCCTATGTACCAATCTAATGCTTGAGATTGACTGATGCCCTTCTGTACCCTCACTGGAGTAGAATCCTGTGGAACACAAGGTATTCTCAGAGAATGGTCCCCAGCCCTGGAATTTGCCTTGTTTTGGTCCAACCAGCCTCTGTATAGTGAGGCATTTTCGGGAAGTGGATTCAACAGGGAGCTCTGCTCAGTTTTATTTATGTTTGAATGAAATTTGGACTAGATAGTGAGATTATGACCCGTAGTAAGGAGCAGCGCATTTTTGCACTGTCCCAGGAGCAGCCCAAGAGGGAAAGTCACAATCTCCCTCCCAGCTACCCAGCTGCTCCAAGGAAGGAACAAAACTCCACTGGTCTATACATCTGCCAACACATCTGTTGCAGCAAATACATTGTCCCAAGGGCAGTGGGGGGTGGGGACAGAACCAAGATTCCACACAATCCTGCACGGAGGGAGAATACGTAGGCTCCACTTCCACTCCCATGCTGCTACCCAGGGTACAGATAGCCAGAACAAGGGAGTTCAGGGCGACTTACACACCCTTATTCTTTTGCTCCAACACAAAGCACAAGCCACACTCTGGCCCTTGGTCATTACAGGTTTTTGTAACCAATCTCTGGTTACTGTACAGGTACAGTAGTAGATACTAATTACATCTGGTCAGACATTATACAGAGAGCACATGTTTTTATAAACTGAAACACAGATATACATATAAACGGGGTAAAATGCTAAAAGAACATCACAGGTGTAGATTTTATTTCCAGTGTCAAGTGGCTTGCAACACAGCGTTGTCAGCAAATCACTTCAAGGCCACACACATGGATGAAATAAATCAATTCACACATATTTCAAGTGTATCGGATAAATTCTCATTTTCATTATCATGGAGTTAGAGACATAAATCCCTGCACTCTGAGGCAAGAATACATCAGTATAACTGAATGGGATGTTTATTGCTATCATTTCCTCTGTAATTAAACTTTAAACATGTATTTTTTAGGATTCAGCTGACCCTTACCACCTTGAGTACAATTACCTCCTCTTTTTGATTAATTGCTTTTGTCATCTTGTTGTCATCATCACACAGAGTAGTCGGAAACATTTTCAGCTGTGCTCCGCTTCCCTGCATGCTACCCTGTTCAGTCACCACCTGCATCTCTATATTGTGCTTCTCCTGGCTTTTTTTTTGTTTTTTTTTTTTAAAGTTTACTATTAGTAAAGAGCTACATGCTGACACCAATACTCACACAGAGTAGTGTCCTACTTCACTCTGGTCCCACTAAAGTCAGTGGAACTGCTCGTGGAGGAAGGTCCTCACTCTTAACCCACAGCCAAAGCATCAAAATCTGCTCTTAAATGATTATTTAGAGTCAAGATGTATGATATTTATTAAACTGAGCTTTAGCCTATGAAGACATGCAGGAGAGCCACCCAAAGGGAAAGGGAACTAGCGGGCTAGCAGGACACCCGGATGATGTGAAGTCAGTGTCAGGAATGAGGGTCTGCAGCAGCACCTGCCAGTCGCCAGGCAGCAAATGAGCACACCTGGGCCATAGCAAAGACACCGGATTGGCTAAGGCAGTTGGGTGGCATGCGCTTAAATCCAACAGCTGCAGAGGATCAGCAGCTGTTCAGTGCACATGCCTCTGGTTTTCTACCTCTGTGTACTTGCCTCACTGCAAGCCCTGCTCCTGCCTTGCTGTAGCCTAGACCCTGCCCTGAACCCAGTCCTCTCCCAGCCCTGCTCCTACCCTCCTTGACTCCAGTTAATCCGGTTCTGACCTTCAGCTCTGCTTCCTGGCTCTGACTCTGTCCCGACCCTTGACTTTGGCATTCAGACTCTGACTAGAGTTCTGACCTTGGGCGCTGGCTCCTGAGCCTAACTCCTGCTTTGACCACTGGGACTGTCAGCCAGCGTTTGTGGAAAATCAATGAAAAAGGCCTAAATCTATATGTAGGACAATGTAATAATGAAAGAGGCACTAGCTACCAATTCAGTACATCAAGTTGTGCCCTGAAAGCATTTTAAACAATCTAGAAGCCTGGTTCTAGAAAAGTAACTCAGACCTTGATTCTGCAAGCAGATCCCATAGAAGCTCAGCACAGGCATGAGTGTCCACCTGTGCAGATCTGCTTGTCGGATCAGGACCTTAATTTCTAACAAAGAAGTCGATGCCATTATTCCAGCAACTTCTAGTATCTGTACCATAACTTTTCCTTAAAGGTACCTGACAATCCTACAGCCCTGGTCATGTCCCTTCTTCCTTCTCCTACAGGCATCTGTATTTCTGGTTTCCACAACATTTTGGTGGTCTTTTTTCTGCCTCAGTTTTACCCATGGGCTGGGAGACAGGTTTAACGGTGGTTCTTTGAATGGTCTCTTCACATTCCACCTGTAGTATCAAGGCACCTGTGCCTTGAGCCAACCTGCACCACTGCCACATTGCATGAGGGTGAACAAGCAGAAGTCACATCAAAGAACTCTGGCCACGGACAGGTAACCTTTATTTACCCAAACAATAGTGCATGTCCCACTGTGAGCCACAAACATTACCGTTTCTTTCTTTATTCTTGACATCATGACATGTAAAGCTATGCACACACACTTTACCTTTAATTAGAACTTATTTCTCTGTTACCTGAGCTGTTTGCTCTTGCGTGTTCTTGCTTTGATGTGAATCTTTTAGAGGACTATCTGCCAATAATCTGCTTTCTTCAGAATACAGATTATTTTGTTGCTCTTTCTCTGCTACATTTCCATTTAAACCTTGACCCTAAGAGAACCAGTAAAAAAACAACATTTAAAATGAAAAATATTAAACTGTGAAACATAATTATAATCTACAGAAAGAGGTAAAAAAAAATCCTTGTACTGTGAGGTTGGCAAAAACGAAGTAGACACCTGTTGGCTTTAAAAGCCATCTCTAATTTTGTTATAAAACTACTACAAAAGAAGCTGTTTAGGATTTACTGTCAGAGAATGGTTTCAGAGTAGCAGCCGTGTTAATCTGTATTCGCAAAAAGAAAAGGAGTACTTGTGGCACCTTAGAGACTAACAAATTTATTAGAGCATAAGCTTTCGTGAGCATCCGATGAAGTGAGCTGTAGCTCACGAAAGCTTATGCTCTAATAAATTTGTTAGTCTCTAAGGTTCCACAAGTACTCCTTTTCTTTCTTTCAGAGAATGGTCACAGCATGTTTTCTCTTTTACAACCTCCTCTTCTCACTCTCCTTGAAACTCCTGACCCATAATATTCAATCTGATTATATAAAAGACAGAAACTGAAGCATGAATTGACGATTGATGTTTTAAACAGAGTGAGTATCACACTATTGTAATGTGCTGAACAGGTTTGGAGAATTCTTTTACATTCTTTAGTTTATAATTGTGCAATTTATGGAAAGTTTTATTAGGAAACTGAAAAGGTGCAATTAATTATATGCTTTTGAGAGACTGATGCCTTTTCGCCCAAAATTTCTCATTCTGGTTGTCATAAACACACATACTTACATTATTTAGTTTCCAGCATTCTTCCAGCTCTTCTGTTCTGCTGTTCTCTTCAACAGCAGTGGGAATATCAGAAAAGACCTGCTTCTCTCTCTTTATCATTGTATCTGCCTTATTCTGCGTCTTTATATCCTCAGCAAATGCATGTTTTGACTCAAGGGCGTCACTGAGAATATTCTCACCCTCTTGCTTGACATTTTTAAGTTTGTCCTTCAAATTCCTGTGTTTACACTGAAGTGTTTCCATTTCATCCCTAGTAATCTTCTGTCCCGGTGAAGAGGTGTTTTGTTCAACAGATTCTGCTAAAGCCAAAATCTTCTTTAATGTGTCTTCACATTGACTAAGAGGTGCTTGTTCCTGTAAATGAGAGGAAAACATTTTTATTGAAAAGTGTCTTGATTCAATTTACACAATGTTAAGATGACATTTGTAATAATAATTATTAATAATAATAATAATAGCAGTATACAGTGAATTACTAAAATCATTAACTTTTGTCATGAAGGGCAACGTAAGCTGCAAGATTCATGAAATATTCATGTAAGCCTGCCTACTTGACGGCTGCAGAATGTCAAATACTTCAACTGTATTTTTAAAGGCAGCTGGATGCTTTTGTGATCAGGAACAACACTTACAACAATATAAATTAATGGAACAATCACATTTTATGCCTCAGGGCATATGCTGAACTTGGCAAGGGTTTAAGAAGGAAGTCTCCTTCCTCCCCACACCTCTATTATGTACTGCATTTCATAACCTGTTGGAGGGACAATGAGGGAGTTAACTTTCTTCTGAAGCAACAGGAATTCCCCAGTATTGGAGTCAGGGTGCCTGACTTGACAAACCAATGGTCTGAGCTGGTATGTCATCCTTCAATATCTTTCTACACTCAGTGACAACAAAGATATTCCTTTGAAGAGTATTTTCACAGAATCAAAAATACCAGGTTTTTAATAAAGATTTAATACTCAAACTGGCTCGTGCAATTGTCTGGTCTGTCTCAACCTGTGCTACTCTATCCAGACAGGTTTCAGAGTACAACCGTGTTAGTCTGTATTCACAAAAAGAAAAGGAGTACTTGTGGCACCTTAGAGACTAACAAATTATTCTATCCAGACAGTCTGCATTCAGAACATTGGCTAATTTAGACACAAAAGCCATATGTTTGAGAATCACTCTCTTCCTTGTGCCCCACTGACCAGAAGTTGAGTTTAAATGATCTAAGGCCCAAGTCTGCTTCCAGTGAAGCCAACAGCAAAAGTCCCTTGACTCCACTGGGAGCAGGGTCAGGAATGCAGTTACTTCAGAAAAGGTACATCACACACACTTTACATTTTGGAGGGGGCGGTGTGGTTTAGTCAACTGGATTAATATAATTAACTCTCCTCCTTTATAAACGCAGTACTGTCTTGAAGCTCTATGATCCTGTGGCAGGGATCCATTAACAATAGTATCTAAAAACTGCATCATACCTGCAATTTCAACTGGTGTTTCTCAGCTGCTGGCTTTTCCACTGAAGTATCAGTACAATGACAAAGCTTCACAGATAGTCTCTTCAGCATGCTATTCAAGGCTACCAATGTATCCTGGAACACTTGGTGTTCTTGACCATGACCTTCCAGTGCCTGTGCAGAGCTCTAGAAGCCAATCAGTTTCTACTTTTAGTGCAGTGTTACCTCATACAAAATACAGCACATATGGATGGATGCTTACAGAAGGGTTTAAATAGCTCTGCTAGGGAATTAAAGTGTTTAGAAACTAAAAAGGTTGCCAGTTATTTGCATCTAAAACTAATGGCAACTGTACTTCACCATGATCAAACAAACAGGCAGATCCATCCCTTGGACAGTTGTATCCCTCCCATCACTGCGCTGTAAAAAACCACAGTCTTAAACGTAGTTGTACAAAAATCCCTATTTGTTATTCTCCTTCCCATAATCACTTGTCTATCTTTGTAAGCTCCTCTTACAAATGTAAGCTCCTCTGGTCAGGGGTTGTTCCTTCCTGAATGTCTGGAAAGTATCTAGCCCATTGTGGGCAACACCATAAAAAAACAATAAACAGGATGTCGGCAACATGGCCAGGGAGACCAAATTGCACAGCTGTGCTCCTCAGAGGATCCACCTTCTGTCCAAACATGAAGGATGTTTGGAGGGAGAACACCAGGGTAGGTGCAGGGGCAAAGCCAGCAGATCAACACCTACGTGGAACCAACAGTTAACCCTCATCCTCCTGCCTGAGGGAAGAGGACACAACAGTCGTGAAGGCTACAGTAGCTCTGTAGGAACAGATTAGTAAAAAGCCTCTTTCTCCTCTTCTTTGCAATTTGTAACCATATGTTCTGATTTGTTGTTTGTCATTATTTTACACTCACCTGCCCCCACTTTGTATAATCGTTTACTCCTGGGCAAAGCGCAAGGCAGTAGAGGATCAAAACCTTAAGTGACTCCCACTTCCACTCTGTGGCCTGGGGAAGGATTCTGTACCTACCAATTTGCAGAGGAACTCACCACTAACAACTATTTCGGTTTTTCCCAGTGGAGAAGATTTGGCTTTAATTATTTAACTACCAGAAACTAGTAAAGACGTTCACTTCAGTGTGTCCTCACCTTTTACCATAACATTCTGATCTGATAGCTTAATGAGATAACAAGCAAATAATGAGAACTATAAATAATTAGGTATACTAGAACTAATAATATGATAAGGAAATATGGCATGATTCCAACCTGCAACTGGCTGAGCAGACTTTCATGCAGATATTTTAGTTCTATCCGTGATTCTTCCATGAAGCAGGAATCCTCAATGCAATCCTGTAGGTAATCTCCTTGGCTTTTTAATTCATTCAATAGGAACATTAAACCTTCTGCTTTCTGCAGGAGTTTTATATAATTTGTTAACTGAGTTTGTTTCTCCTGCAAACCAGCCTGAACATCAAAATCTAATTCCTGCTGCTGCTTCTTCAGTTCAGTTAGCACTAATCTCAAATCTTCTTTCCTCTGCATGTATCGTTTGTTTTGAAGCTGAATCTGTTCTTGGTGACTTGAAGAAGGGGAAAAAATATATTAATAGAATTCAAGAATTTTGTATTATTTGTTTAGAAATATTAAACTGCAGTCATTAAATCATTAGATCCAATTATAATCATGGGTTTATTCTTTGAGTTGTAAATTACCCATAAGTAGTAAGGCAGGAATTTTCAAAGGGGCAGAAGGGAGTATAGCATCCAAATTTCATTGCATTTCAATGGTGCTTGAGTGCCTAAATCCCTTAGGCTCCTTTTAAATCTCAGTCTATGAAAATATAGTTGTTAGAATCTGAGACCTGCAGATCACGCTGTATATTTTTGCTTCTCGTTCCAATACAAGTGTTATTTTTAACTAAGTTAAACCTACTGTCTTTATGAACCTTTTGTTGGAGGGTTCTTGAAAAATGTAATATTCTGTAGAAAACACACACATTACGTTTTCATGATCATGAAAATGATTTAAATACAGTACTGTGAAAAACAGGCAACTGTAATTACTCATACGAAAGACCAGCAGCACACTCAAATTTTCTCATACGTTCATACAGTCAGTGGGTAAGTAAATACATTTTGGAGAAGGAACTTATGTGCCAATAATTGAAAATATGACCTATTATGAACAGATCAAAATAAACAGATGTAGTTAAATCCAGAGCAACAGTATTAATTTAATGTAAAACAGTGGCTAGAACCCAGAAAAGAATTGTTCTTGAAATGTGCCCACTGCAACCTTTAAGTGAGTGGGTCTGTGTCCGGCTAGGTGGAAGGGCATTGCCCCTTTAAGGACCCTTTGCAACAGGGGGGAGAGAAAGAGGAAAGCTTACAGGGAAGGGCACAATGCACTTGGGGTGAGGTCAAGACCACTGCATTGCCCTTCCTGCTCACTGGAAGAGTGGAAGGGGTATTTACACCCCATAGAGCCACGGAGATGCCTCTACCAGGATTGGGCTGGAAGCGTCCCTTATAGGAGTTGAGTAAGGAGGGGTTGGGGGCTCCTCCATCTCATTGGGGGGGAGGTAACACCCCTTCCTTTTCCTGACCTCCTTTAAGGGAGGTGGGTGGGAGGGTTGGGGCTCCTACGTCTGAATCAGCAGGGACATGCACTCTACAACTTGTTGCCTGGTACTCCAGATATTATAAGTGAATAAGGATGCAGCCTAATTAAACCACATCCATGGCCTTCTGTCTTCCAGCATGGACAAATACTGCACGTTTCAACTCATTTAATATGAACAAGAAGAATCTCTCGCAGAGTTAGAACAAACTGGTTTCTAACAGGGTGACTTGCCCCATGGGCCAAAGAGCCTGGGACTAAGCCAATTCTGATTCCAGGATGAGCCCCACCTTAGTGGAATCAGGTAATTCCCTATAAAGGGCAGCAGGTGGCTGTAGTGAAGGGGAGCTGCTCAGAGAGTACAGCGGCTGCTAGGGGTTCGCTGGCTTGAGCAAGGCCTGGGATTTGAGACTAAGGGTATGTCTACACTACCCACTGGATCGGCGGGCAGCGATCGATCCAGCGGGGGTCGATTTATTGTCTACACACAATAAATCAACCCCCAAGCGTTCTCCCGTTGACTCCTGTACTCCACCGCCGCGAGAGGTGCAGGCAGAGTCGACAGGGGAGCGGCACCAGTCGACTCACCGCAGTGAAGACACCATGGTAAGTAGGCGTAAGTACGTCAACTTCAGCTCCGTTATTCATGGAGCTGAAGCTGCGTAACTTAGATCCCCCCACCCACCATGTAGACCAGGCCAAAGATGTCAGGCAGAAAGGACTGCGAGTAGCCTGCTAAGGCAGGAGACCCTGGGCAAGCAAGGAAAGAGTGCAAAAGCTCTCCAGGCAAGGAAGCCTGGGAGTAGGAAGAGAAATGATTGGTTGGGGGATATTAATTATAACTAATTGAGTTATTTTCTGTGAATAAACCCAGTCTCCAAGCTGAGGTATTTCTGACCTCAGAAAAACGTGTGGAGTCTGTCTAAGGAGCTATTTGAGGGAGAAATTATTAGCCTTGCACTGCAGAGGCACTCATGGCCATGAAGAGGCCCTCACTAAGCAGTCACATCGCTACATGGTCTTTTAAAAACTCTGTGCTGTTAGTGACATACAGGTTTCTTTAAATCTTAAGATTGATTCTGACACAGTGTAAATGTGTGTAAGGCCAGATCATGACTGGCCCTGGATGGGTTGCAAAGGGTACATGGACGAGCTACCATCTCAGTGGGAACAAAGAAGGCACTAGGCTAGTGCTGCCAATAGCTATTCCAAAGCTGGGGTTGGATGAACTACTCCTCTCTGCATTGCCAACTCCATCCTGGGCTCCCAGAGGAATTCTGGCTGAGCTGGCCAAAACCTTTCTACTAGGGGTTTCTGCTCTTCCTCCTCATAGCCCATACTCATGGCCAGTAGCTTAAAGCCACTATATGTCCTATCATGAATACTGCAGAAATTCAAATATTTTTCTACTTGTCATTTTCTTGTCCTGCCAAAACAAAAAGCATAGAAGCTATATACTATACTATATACAAAGCAGGAAGAGGAATTGATAGCCATAGTATGTAAAGCTACAGTGCCGGTCTCTTTGTAAGCTCCATGGTACCTTAGATATTCGGTGACTAAATGAATAGTGCACTCCCATTGATTCTGGAGATCAGAAATGGTCTGCTGAACGGCAGGATCCTTCACTCCTTCTGTACTTGTTAAGGTTTCGCCCAGAGCTATGATGTTTTGCATTTTAACATCTCCCTTATCTTTGAGAAAAACTATTTCCTGCATAAAACAAAAGAGCAGAAGCAGAACATGTAACATACTTTATTCATTTACTTGTAATTATTCTAACAAAGGGTATCACCTACAAAATGTTTTATTCTTTGTCTACTGCTGTTGAACAAAAACAATTATCACTTCTATGTCCTTCATAATTGATATTAATAATTGGATGGATAATCCAGTTTAAATGTTAGCATTCCAAAATGTACCTAAGATTTTTTAACACACACATTCCCTCATACTTCTATAGACCAGTGTTTTTTAACCAGGGGTACGCATATCCCTTGGGGTACACAGAAGTCATCCAGGGGGTACATCAACTCAGCTAGATATTCGTGTAGTCTTTCAACACGCTACATAAAAAGCATAAGTGACGTCAGTACAGATTAAAATTTCATACTTCAATGACTTGTTGATGCTGTTCTATATACTGTACACTGAAATGTAAGCATGATATTTACATTCCAATTGATTTATTTTATAATTGTATGGTAAAAATGAGAACGTAAGCAATTTTTCAGTAATAGTGTGTCATGACACTTTTGTATTTTTATGTCTGATTTTGTAAGCAAGTAGTTTTTAAGTGAGGTGTATCTTGGGAGTCCACAGGACAAATCATACTCCTGAAAGGGGTACAGTAGTCTGGAAAGATTGAGAACCACTGCTATAGGAGAACAAAACACCAATATCATTCTGATAAAATAAAGCAAAAATTTGCTTCAAATACGATGAGTCAGAGCCCAACACCCATTGCAGCCCCTTCAAGTTGCAGTGGGGGAGGTTTAGATTGGATATTAGGAAAAACTTTTTCACTAAGAGGGTGGTGAAACACTGGAATGCGTTACCTAGGGAGGTGGTAGAATCTCCTTCCTTAGAGGTTTTTAAGGTCAGGCTTGACAAAGCCCTGGCTGGGATGATTTAACTGGGATTTGGTCCTGCTTCGAGCAGGGGGTTGGACTAGATGACCTTCTGGGGTCCCTTCCAACCCTTATATTCTATGATTCTATGATTAAGCTGTGTATAAAGGCCAAAGCACCATAAAGACCCATTTCTAGCTGGGGGAGGAGTCTCCCACCCTGGGCACTGCAGAAGACAAGGGTAAGGCTTACCCTGTGAGGCCCCTCTCACAAACCTCAGCATGGGGGTAGGGGTTGGATAGGTGGGGTGTGTAAGAGGTGAGCCAACAGAACACAGCACTGCCAGTATTCCAGGCAGCACTGCAGCCTACAAGGGAGGCTATACTTTACACAGGCCCTCTGGACTGTCTAATTTATGCTGGGGATCTTTCCAGCTTCTGGAACAGTCAGGATTGGGAGAAACAAAGCCACTGTATCCCTCCCTTCCCCCTAGGCTGAGAGTTCTGTGCTGCCCAACTGCGTTTAATTAACCACACAACAACATGCTTATTTGTACACTGTAATCATCAATGACATATGGTGGGTCTAATGAGATTATTACACACCATACATTTCCCGTATATTACCCTCAGCTGGCAAAATCAGTAGTAAATGTGCTGCAGTACCTTTATTTGATGTATCCTTTCTTCCAGTGGCAACTTGCCTTCCCGTGAACTCAAGCCAATAACTGATTCTTTAAGTCTTTTTATCCAAGAAGACATGTTCTGTACAAGCGCTTCAAAATTCTGCCCTTCCATGGACTGTGTCTGAGTAATTCCTAGCGCTTCACTTACGTGTGTCTGTAGTTCCTGATACCGACTAATGAGATGACTGAATTTGGACACTGTTTCATCTCTTGTAAACCCAGACTCCCTCAAAGAATTTGCCAGCTGAGACAGGGAGTGAAATGATTCTCTAAAAAATACAACAAATGAATCACAGTGTATCTGCTACAACAAAGAGGAGTCAAGAAAGATACAAACTATCCCCACTCCCCAAGACAAGGCTACCTTTGCTTTATTAGCATTTGGTAAAAGTTTTCTAATTTTATCTTCTCATTTTTGGTCTCTGGCAATTTTTCTTCCTGAATGGTGAGCCATTCCTTCAAGCCACTGCTGTCTTCTTGAAGTCTAAAGAAAAACATAGACAAAAATGTATACCTTGGTAAGTAAGAAGTATTATATCTGTAATTACTAAAAAATATTGACAGTAACATTTCACTGTAACAGATATGAAATTATCTTGGCCGTGATTCAGCACATAACTAAGCATGTGAGTAGTCCCACTGATTACATCTGAACCACTGACAAGTTTTAAGCACATGCTCAAATACGTTGCTGAATCGGGGTCCTCATAATCTCTTTATTGTTAAGAAAACTGAAGGAGAAGTGAAACAAAACAGAAGAAAACATCAGCAGATTCCTCAGTAACACACAATTTATAATGAAAATCAGAGTTATTTATTCTTCATTATGGTTATTTAAGAATGATATCACTTTATATCATCTCTAAGTAAGCAGCTGGGAATTAATTTTAGCTCCTTACCTAATGAGTTGCTTCAGAGAAGCACGAAGTTTCTTTTCTTGTTTTTGACATTTGGAGGTTACGCTTTGTAATTCTGCTTCTTGATCTCTCACCCAGCTACTAAGCTGGTTAACACTTACTTCAGGCAAATAAGTCTTCACCTTACTCAAGAGAGATTTTACCTCTTGGATGTCACTCTCTTTGCCTTCAAAAGTTAGGAAATTCTTAATAAAAGCACAAACATGACAAATTAGGGATGCATTTAGCAAGTTTGCTGCTATATAACACATATTTATATTCTATATAAACTTCTGTTTGTGTTATCACTATAGGCTTTTTTTAAAAAATCATTAGTATCTTTTGCAAGGTATATTTACAGTGTGCTATTCATTTAAAACCCACCTCACCTAAGTGCAAAACTAAAAACTCCCTTGAAATATAAGGGGAAAGTGAAGAAGAAGAAGAGAGGACAAAGATTTTCTTCTGTGATAAAGTACACAAAGCAGAAGCATGAACCAAGCATTCACAACTTTCATATTCAAATCTCTCATTAAGACTCACTTCTTCTATCAAGCCTTCAACTGTTGATAAACTATGACTGTCTGCTCTAGCCTGCAATTTCCATTATATCAGTCAGACAGAAGAAAGGGAAGAGAAGGCAGGAATGAAAAGGTTGAGGACAAATAAGAATATTAACACTGATGGACTGGAAATCATGGAGAGGCTAAGTAACAAAGAATAAGTGTGTGATGGGCAATGCTTAAGGAGACCAGGTGATGGTCAGAGAGCGGGAACGCAGCAACAGAGAGATCAGAGAGAGACCAGTGTGTGGTGAAGATCTAGTCAAGTGAACGGCCCTTTTGGTGGGAGGGAGAGTTGAACCAAGGCTGCAGGTTGAAGGAAGACATGAAGGTAAGGAAACATGTGGCTAAGGAGTCAGATCGGTCATCAATGTGGAAGATGACATTATCGAGGATGTGTGTGGCTGATTCTGAGGAGAGGAAGAGAGGGAGCCAGGAATAAATCAGAGAGGAAAGGCTGATGGGAATGTGTATGCCTAGGGCTCCTAGGTGACTATAGAAATATAGAAATTAATAATAATAAGGGTGACATACTGGCTCCACTGAAGTCCATGTAGTTAGTACCTTCTAGCATCTGAACTTTCCTAACTATAGGTTAGAACTTTATCTCAATGTACACTTCTTAACACAATTTTATTACCCCTTCCACTAACTGCCACACTGCTTTGTGTTTTTTAAAACAAACATTCTTCACACTCAAGAAAGCCTAAATTTACAAACTACAGTAGGTGAATCAACTCCAAAGTACAGAGTCCCTTGCTAACTTGGGAGGGTGCACCCTCCTTCCAAAGCCTTACATTTTAAAATATTCTAATATCTTACCATGAGCTTCTGCAATTTTTCTTCCAATGTCTGTTTTGTTTCTGATGGGTCAAAACAATCCTTTAAAGATAGCTGAGCGCTGCCGAACCAATCATTAAAATCCTTACACTGATCTGTGGAAAGATAGAGTCTGACTTCTTTTTTTCTTATCCAGTAACAGAAAATCTCTACTCAACATGAAGATTCCAGTTAATCTCCTAATTAATAATTATATTTATCAATGCTGTCCCTCACTATGTGCAACATGACAGAAAATGCTGAAGTCCTTACTTCTTTCTTTTGGAACACAACCTTGTATGGACAGTGAACATGACATGCTGGAGGGCCCAGCTCAGAGGCCTGTTTGTGGCATTTTCTGAAAACGTTGCCTGGGATAATCTATCAACAAACATTCTGATTTACTATTACTACACTGGCTTCTATCACAAATAAATTCTACTCAGCAATTACTATTCCCAGTGACTGCAAGCTGATATTCTCTTTGGGTGAAATTCTCTGCGGGCGTAACTCCAGTAGGATTACACCAGTAGACTAAAGATACCCATCGTCCTGTGTTTGGCAACTAGAATATGTCACCTAGAACTGAAAATACAAATTTATGAATAGGCCACATCAAGAAGCTAAGCACTGTTCACACATGCATTGCAGCAGCAAAGTTCTGCTAACCTTTCCTATTGCCAGATCTCAAACGCTGATCTGAAAGGATAGAATCTTGAAGGAGTTCCTCAGACACTAAGGAACACAAAGATCTGTCATGACTCACCACACAGGGCCCAATCTACAGCCTTTATTCTAACAGAACTTCCATTTAATCCAATAGGAATTTTGTGCAAGTAAAGGTTTCAGAGTAGCAGCTGTGTTAGTCCGTATTCGCAAAAAGAAAAGGAGGACTTGTGACACCTTAGAGACTAACCAATTTATCTGAGCATAAGCTTTCGTGAGCTACAGCTCACTTCATCGGATGCATTCAGTGGAAAATACTGAATGCATCCGATGAAGTGAGCTGTAGCTCACGAAAGCTTATGCTCAAATAAATTGGTTAGTCTCTAAGGTGCCACAAGTCCTCCTTTTCTTTGTGCAAGTAAAGACTATGGGACAGAACCCAGAGCTCAGAAACAATATGGAGACTGAGGGTCAGATCCTGAGCTGGTGTAAGGAGACATGGTTACACTGAAACAAATGGAACTATTCCATCTTATGCCAGTTGAGGATCTAGCCCTCAGTTTTTACTTGCAAGTTACAACATTCAAGCACGTGCTCAACACAGATATGTATGTCAGTCTTGAAAAGTGAAACCCATTTTTGCTTACAGTTCAAAAGACTGATAAAATGATCCTGGAAAATGTGTTTCTTTGTATTAAATAAATCAGTGATACACTGAAGCTGCTTCTTTAATTCAGCCACTTCTGGAGTCAGACAACCTGTCTTTTTTTGCAGTAATTTCACATGGTGTTTTTGTTGGAGAATTTTCTGATGTAGCTCCTAAATTAAAAAAACAAACAAATTAAAAAGAAAGAGACGTATTGATATATTAAAAGGCATCTAAGGTTAAGGAGAAGGTTTCAGCATACACTGTACAAAGCTGTTTTGCGACAAATTAAATTGTTTTAAGAAGGGGTCATTTCAAAATATGTCAAAATATATTAACATTATTTATGCAACAAGTGAACAGGGATAAATACTAAGCGATGAGCAGGTGTTATTAAACACACACAGACACACTTCTGCATCACACACAACAGATAGGTGGAGGTTAAAACAATGTAACAAACTGCAGGGCCATAAATAAATAGCATTTATCATGCACCTTTGTATCACCTGCATTATGCACACTAATCCATCTCACAGGGACTTAATCCAACATTTGAAACCTCTGAGTAGTCACAAGGTTGTTGGTTTTTTAAATAAATGTTCTTCTGACAAATACATTTTTACTTCTCTCCAAAACATGGAATTTGGTATCTCTAGACCCTGCAAGGCTAGATGCAGGAGGTCAGATCCTTAGCCCTGCTCTATCCCTTCTAGTGGCGCAAATGGGGTAGAAAGTTGGCTTAAATAGCCAAGTGGGGATTCCCATGCATAGAGGAATGCCCCCGTGGCACAAAGTCAGCATAGTTGGCTCTGTATCACCAGCTCCTGGCAAACAATATAGTTCTACAATATAGCTCAACATTCTGATGTGACCCAGCCCAAAATATGCACTGGGAATTTAATACCTTTTGGGGTGGTGTATGGTTACCAAGCCCAACACAAACTACTATTTCAGGTAGCTAAAAGGACTGATTAGCTAGCTATAGTAATGTTCAGAGAAAGTATTGTTTGTGGGTAACTTTGGGAAACATTGAGAGTCAAGCTAAAATCTTTACTTCATTGTTCCACCAGCTTCAGCCCTTTTAAAATACATGGCAGAAACACATATGAAAAGCTGCCTGTGAAATAAAAGGTTATCAAAATTACAGGAGATGCATAATTTGATATACAGTACCTCTAATTTCGTAAAGATCTCTAAAGTGTCAGAGGGAAATAAAGCTTTTAAAAGTGATTCTGTCATCCCAATCTGCGTCTTGGCTAGGTCAAGGTCCCCTTTTAGCTCTGCTGAATTGCCATTGAGTTCACTGGGTCTCATCTTATTCGGTAAGTGCTTTCGTATTAGCTCCATTTTGTTCTCAACAGATGACTTGATGACCTTAAAATTGGAAATGCACAAGCAGCATAAAAAGTTTTACTGGACTAGTTTCCTACAAAATGAGGCTCAAGAGAGTTTCTTCCTTTTTATACCTAACCTTTCTACAGTAATTGCATTTTCCTCCATTCTAAACTACTGTATTTTCCTTTTTTAAATCTGATATTTAAAAAAAAAAAATCTAATCCTACACTGAGAGTGTTGCTGCTGTTTTAAATGAGTAAAGTTTATCCTTCTGACTACATTAATACTCTCAGCTGAACATGGACACTAGTCTCCGCTCCACTTCTGGGAACAACAAGGAGCCAGACCTCTCTGATCCATTCACCGACATTCTGCCCTGTCTCAGGCACCCTGTAGAACAGAGGCAGGCAAACTTTTTGGCCTGAGGGCCACATCCGGTTTCGGAAATTGTATGGAGGGCCGGTTAGTGGAGGCTCTGCCAGGCTGTGCCCCCGCCCCCAATCTACCCCCCCCTTGCTTCTCACCCCCTGACACCCCCCTCCCCCCCTCGGGACTCCTGCCCCATCCAACCCCACCTGTTACCTGATGGCCCCCGCAGGACCCCTGCCCCATCCACCCCCACCCCCTGCTCCCTGTCTGCCCCCGGAACTCCTGCCCCTGACTGCCCCCCACTGCCCCATCCAACCCCACCTCCTTCCTGACTGCCTCCACAGGACCCCTGCCCCCATTCAACCCCTCCCCGTTCCCCACCCTCTGACCGCTCCGACCCCATCCACACCCCGCCTCCGGACCACCACCCCAAACTTCCCTGCCCTCTCTCCAACTCCCCCGGCCCCCTGCCCCCTTGTCATGCAGCACAGAGCACTGGTGGCTGGCGGTAGCGTAGTAAATTGCTCCCCGCAGCTGCTACCAGTAGCACATTCCTACGCGGAGCAGTTTAATACACTACACCAGCAGCATGGCGAGCTGAGGCTGCGGGGGAGAGGGAATAGCGGGGGAGGGGCTGGGGGCCAGGAGCTCAGGGGCTGGGCAGGAGGGTTCCGTGGGCCGGATGTGGCCCACGGGCCGTAGTTTGCCCACCTCTGCTATAGAAGCATTGCCACCAGAGCGCCACATGGCTCCGCTCCAGGCTTTCAAAGACGCAGCAAGGAGGGGACGGAGACAGAAGGGAGCAGAACGAGTCCCCACCAGCTCACAAGGCAACAGGATCACTCCATGGCCTTCATAGCTGCTCTAGGCCCGCAGAAATAGCCCCACAGGGTTGCTTACAATGGTCATGTCCTCACCCCAAAACACCATCCTTGAGTGCTAAGGCACACAAGAAGCTCAGTCTGAATTGCACAGGGGTTGTAAACCCCCTACATAAACTCGCCACACTGATTCTGCTCTTTTTTGGAAATATGTGCCCATATGGGGGAGAAGGCTTTGTCCTTAACCTAGGGAATTAATGCACCAATGCAAAAACATTTATATTCACTTACTACAGAACCTACAAGAAAAAGAAAACAGTGAATACCATAGACATGTTAAAAGTACATTGTAAAGTATCTTGTTGCCTGTCTGGAGTTCCCCTTGGTGCAAAGTGGCGCTGCAATGCCCTCTACTTGGAGCAGTGGCTGAGGGCCTAGGTCCTACCCCCCTGGAAATCAATGGGCATCCATCCATTAGCTATAAAGGAAGTTGGATCAGACCCTAAATCAGGGGTAGGAAAACATTTTGGCCAAAGAGCCACATCTGGGTGGGGAAATTGTATGCAGGGCCATGAATGTAGGGCTGGGGCAGGGGGTTGGGGTGCGGGAGGGAGTGTGGGTGTGGGAGGGGTGCGGTGTGCAGGAAGGGGCTCAGGGCAAGGGGTTGGGGTGCAGGAGAGGCGCAGGGTGCAGGAGGGGGCTCAGGGCAGCAAGCTGGGATGCAGGAGGGGTGTGGCAGGGGGCTCAGGGAAGGAGGTTGGGGTCCAAGAGGGGTGTGGCAGGGAGCTCAAGGAAGGAGGTTGGGGTGCAAGGGGGTGTGGCAGGGGGCTCGGGGGCTCAGGGCAGGGGTGCAGGAGGGGTGCTGGGTGCAGGAGGGGGCTCAGAGCAGGGGGTTGGGGTGCAGAAAGGGGTGTGGAGTGTGGGAGGCAGCTCAGGGCAGGGAGTTGGGGCGCAGCAGGGGACTGAAGGCAAGGGATCAGGGCGCTCAGGGAAGGGGATTGGAGTGCAGGGTGCAGGAGGGGTTTGGGGTGCGGGCTCTGGCCCGGCGCCGCTTACCTCGAGGGGCTCCAGGATGGCAGCGGCGCGCAGTGGAGCTAAGGCAGGCTCCCTGCCTGCCCTGGCCCCGCACCACTCCCAGAAGTTGCCAGCGTGTCCGGCGGTGGCTCCTGGGGGTGGAGTGGTGCAGTGGCTCCGCCACGCGCTGCCCTTGCCTGTGGGTAACACCCCCAAAGCTCCCATTGGCCGCAGTTCCCCATTCCCAGCCAATGGGAGCTGCAGTGGGCGGTGCCTGCAAGCAAGGGCAGTGCACAGTGCCCTCTGTCCCCGCCCCCCTCCCTCGGGGCTGCAGGGACATGATGCTGGATGCTTCCAGGAGTGGTGCGGGGCCAGGACAGGCAGGGAGCACTGCCTTAGCTCCACTGCACCATGGGGCTGGCAATCCCGCGGGCTGGACTGAAAGCCCTGATGGGCCGGATCTGGCCCACGAGCTGTAGTTTGCCCTCCCCTGCCCTAAATGCCACAGTTTGATCCCAGAACAGCAGAGGACAGACTGAGCCGTTAATATTTAAAAATACTGGTTTGGTTCAGACAATTTATTTGAAAAAAGGGGCAAATTAAATGTTGATCCTAATACGCAACAGAAATATCTCCCTTGCCCATGGTCTAGGCAAACCAAAAGTAATGATTGTGATGAACAGGGCACTAGCGGCTAGATTACAATTATCAATGCTATCATGTTATCCATATAAGTCACCCCTTACCTGGAACTCCAATGGAGGCTCACTGTTATGAAGAAGATGTTCTATCTCAGCCACTTTTCGGTCAAATTCCTCTAAGTTTTGCTCTTGAACCTGTAAAGAAGTCTAAAGGGTGGGGCGGGACACCAATATATCTGTAACTACATCATTTTCTGTCAAATTTAATTTCCATTTTCCTGCTAGAGTACAATGATGATGTTACTAATTTATTGAGCCTGTGTGCTCAATTCCCTTTCAGATTTCCATGGGAGTTGTATGTGAAATGATTTCAGGACCAGTCCTATTTATGAGAAATACAATGTAGCAACTTAGAATTTTTTGTACCAGCAATAAGAAAATCTAGCCTTGGAGTTAAAAATAACAATCTAGTGCAAATGAAAAACCTAAATTATTATTTTATTTTTTCCATAGCACAGTCTTAATTTTGTACTTAATTCTTGATTGTCAAGTCAAAACATACTCTAAAATACTCTCTGAAGACACAGACTAAATCAAGAATTATTACAATCCTGATTATATTTTAAGGATAATACTTTAGGTTGATTTGTTGATATTTCATAATGCTATCTGCATCTATGTAGATTTCCAGATATATAATGGCCCAATCCAACACCTACTGAAGTCTTGGGCATTAGATTAGACTATCAAAATGTGATTGTCCAAGTTAAAATACCCTGCGTGAGCTTAAACTTGTGAAACAGGTGCGATCAGAAACATTCTACATGTCACATTCATGAATCCATGTGCCTCGTTCACTCAGGGCAAAATATTTCTTTCTATTCTCCTTCTCTACCTACTTAGCAAGTGACTCATTTCCATCCACGCACTCACTTCAGTTCGCACAAAGAGGAGTTTCCAGTTCCATGCCAACAACATAAAGAAAGTTGTGCAACTTCTTTCACATAATTTATATGGAAACCATCTTTTACATGGGCTGTAAAATATTTAATAATCTAGCTCCTGTCATGTTAAACTTTTTGGAAACATATACACTTAAAATGAGCTGTACTTAACTGCATTGCTACAATGGAGCAGCGATTAAAGATGATGGTTAATATTACATACTAAATATGTGGCAACAATTTTATTGCACAAACATTCACATAGAGATATTTCATGGCAAAGGAAAAAATGCATAAATGGCCGAGATTTCCTGGGAACTTACAGAAATCTTACACTTAATGTAACTATGCTGGATCAGTTTTCCTTCCTTGCCTGATCTCTTTTGCACTGCTGAAGCGATGCATGGGTGATGGAATCTGATTTTATTTCCCCTGCTGAAGGTTTTTCCTCACATAAGGGAATCCACATCTGGTGTGAACGCCACATAGTTCCTACACCAACCACCCCCAACCCTAGTAAAGGAGGCATGCCAGGGGTGTGGCCATGGTATACTGTGCTTCAACAATTTCTGTGTGACAAAATGGCTCTTAGGGGACAGATACCAGCTGGTGTACTTTAGAGCAGCTCTGAGGTATTCCAAACTATTCCAAGATACACAATAAAAATATGAAAATAGCAGTATATAGTGTGACGTTTCACTCCATATTCTTTATGAAAATATGCTTATGATATGAATATAATGGATATATACTTTATGCAAAATCAACAAGGAATGTGGTGGCACCTTAAAGACAAACAGATTTATTTGGGCATAAGCTTTTGTGGGTAAAAAACCCACTTGCATCTGAAAAATGCAATGCCTACATTTCAAAGAGGACTAAATCAAAGTGCATTAACGAACCATTCAGTTTCCGGATCTATATCCTAGTGAGGTACACAATTAATTCAGTGAAATTGCTACAAAATTGCAAAGAAAATTACAAATTTCAAGATTTTCTGTGTATCACTGATATTTATAACCAATATATACCTTTATATCCTACAAATCCTTAACATGTTGGAATGAGTTTGTTGTATTTAATTGACTAATATTATCTCAGTCAGTTTACCTTCAATTGTGTCACCTCCTCTTCAGTCAGCTGATGTTCTTCTATACTCCTAAGTTGTGTATTTGCCCATGTGTCAGTCTTGCTGAATAAATTAAGAAGTTTGTCCCACAAAGCCAGAGCTCTTCCCAAATTATCACAATAGTTTTCAGTTTTTTCATTGATCTACCACAAGATTTATAATAAAAAACAAATTTTAGAAAACAAAGTAACATTCTTAGCAGAAAGGCAATATGATAAAGACTAGATGAGATGGAACCACACAAACAAGGGCAGTAGGTGAAAAAAAATCTCATGTGTCTTCACTGTGCACTGGTCACAGAGAAGATATTTCAATCTCTTACTAAATATGGCTTTCAGCAATACCATATCAAACACAATGGCTTGTCTCCAGTTTAAAAACAGGTTGAGCAGCATGACTTGCTAATCACATTTTATCTACTCTCAATAAATACCATTTTATCTCAGCATCAATGCACTACTTAAACTGACACTTTTGAACACTTCAATTTCTTACCAATTGCACAGGCACCGTCATTTTCCATACTGTTTCCAAAGTCTAAACCACCATAAGTTGCCATAAAAGTTTAAAAATCCAACCAGTGAAAGCAAATATTGCCTTTTTGTATGCCCCAGAATTGCCCATTGTTGGAGTGTGCCCATGACATATATAGGCTTATATATCACAAACACTGAGGTTGAAGACATAGTCTAAGCTTTGCTTTGATAAACACTCGACTTTATCTCTTAAGAGTCTTTGACATTCTACATTTAATTTAGTCTATATATTATGCAGAAGTCAGAATCAATTAATATAATGCTTATCAGATAAGACCACTCTGATAATTTACTTTTTACATACATCCAGCCATCTGTCCACAATAATGTCAGCCTCATTCTGAAAGGGGGGCTCCTCGAAGCTTCTCATTTTATTGAGCTGGAAGTGGAGGTTTTTGCAGATCTGATTTATTTTGTCTACATCTTCAGAGCGATTGTCAAATTCTTCTTTAACCGCTTCAATCTGTGAAAAAGATAGAATGTATATTTGAAAGCATGAGCCCTGCATTTGGTCAATACCCTTGTTTATCCATCAAATCATTTTTTTGTTGTTGTCATGCTGTTCTTTTCAATTTAGAAACACAGCAGCACGAACCAAATAATCCATTTTATATAATACAGTGAGAATAAGAATCCATCCTTTGTCATTATATCCTAGTATCTGTACTACTGATCTGAACATTCCACCTGTCACTCTAACTACATCATGATACAGACTGTACATTGCTAAATGAGGAATATGAATACTGGTTTACAAATAAGTTTCTGGCTTATGAGACCCAAACAAACAAATTAATATCCACAGATATCAAAGCTGAATTACATCCATATACTGTTTCTGATGCAGAATGAAACAATAGCTGTGTAACAATAATCTGATTCACACCAAGCTCTGAGAGAGATTATTTGTGATTCTGATTCTTAATTTTATCACTGCTTGTTCCTAAAAACAGAAATTGCCATTGGTTTAAACAGCATACTGCCATTCATTTAACTTTTTATTTAATCCTAAAACAGTTTCTTGGTGTTCGAATATAATATCAATGCATATTTATAAACAATATTTAAAAATGAAGGAAATGAAATACTGACCTCTAGCGTTTGGCAATTTGACATTAATGGATCTATCTTTTCTCCAGACATTGTTCTCTTGGGGTATGTCTACACTGCAATGTAAGCCCATGGTTTGAACTCAAGCTCAAACCTAACCCCCCTTCCATTTACACACAAATTGCACTAACCCAAGGCTTGGACCCAGGACCCCATGGGTTGGAGGTTCCAAGCCTGAGTCAAGCTAGGTCCCACAGTTCAAGCCCTATTGCTCTGCTGTGTAGGTGCAGCCCCACTGGACTCGTGCTCCGGGAGTCTGCCAAAAGAATCCCATAGGCTAATTTTCTTTGTCCTCTGGACAGTCTAATCTGGGGTACATTCCAGTTTTCCCACACTGCACCACAAACAAAGAGCTAGAGTGGCCAAATCTGGGCGGGTGCTAGGAAGTCTGCAATATGGGTGTTTGGACTCGAGCCCACATAATGCTGTATACAAATGAGAGCCTCAGGGTTCAACAATTCCTAACCTGAGGTTACAGTGAGTATAGACACTCAAGCCCTAGGTTAACAAACTCAAGGTCCAATAACTCGAGTTCTACTAACCCTGGGTTTACATTGCAGTGTAGACATATTATAGACGCAGCCAGCCACTGAGAAAGAGGTTGAGGGGGAAGGTCTTGCAGTCCAGAATGAGAACAGACCTTCTGTCCTACTATTTGATGGGAAAGTAACTGTAGCAGCGCACTGGACTTGAGTGCATACCCATGTCCTGGTGCCCCTGTTACAGGCTTGGGCCCTTTAAAGCTGGAAGTTGTAGTCACAAGGCACATGATTATGAACAAGCATGTGACCTACAGAAAACTAGACAGAAGGCTTGCCACCTAGGCCTGGTGGATGGTCTGGTAGAGACTGGGCACCAGGCAAATCCCAGTGTGGGGCTGCTATGCAGTAGCAAGCCAGAGGGCTGAAAGATTACAGACCTCAGAGAGGGCTGTAAAAGCTTGCTTTGAGAGGAGAGAAAGGACTAATCCCGAAGGGGTATAGAGGATGGAGTGCCTGAACCCCTGCTGCCCTTAGAATCCTTAGAGCAGTGTTTCCCAAACTTGGGACGCCGCTTGTTCAGGGAACAATGGAGGCTGCGGGAAGCGGTGGCCGGTACGTCCCTCGGCCCACTCCACTTCCCGCAGCCCTCACTGGCCTGCAGCAGCGAACCGCAGCCAGTGGGAGCCGCGATCGGCCAAACCTGCGGATGCGGCAGGTAAACAAACCGGCCTGGCCAGCCAGGGTCTTTCCCTGGACAAGCAGCGTCCCACGTTTAGGAAATACTGCCTTAGAGGGACAGCCCAAAATCTCAACCAAGGTGTTCCAGGTATTCCTCTGAGCAAGGAAGGAAAGTGATTAGCTGAGTGATACGGAAGGACTATAATTTTGATCCTTCTGTTAGAGTACAGAGTCACAACACAAGTCTCTCTGAAGCAAGAAGCCCAAAATTATCACATTTAATATTATGTTCACTGTAGGTTGTCTACTGTGCTAAAAAGGTTGTGTCTTTACATATCTCAGCTATTTAAAATGTCCTCTTAGTAAATAACTAAACTTGCGTTACTTGTGTATTTAGAAAATGTGCAATAAAAGTCTTTAATACATAAAAATGGTGGGAAGTAGGGAGGATATTTTAAAACACCATGGCTGAAATACCGTTGACGTCACTGGGAGTTTTGTTATTGTCTTCAATATGGTCAGTATTTCACCCTCTCTCTTTATTACATATTTTTATTTTTAAAAAAGCCTCACACTTTTAAAGTGAGTTTAGTTTACTGTATAACATTAGAGATGGGCCTAACGCAAAAACCTGGTTCTGAACACCCATATACTCTGTAATAGCTTGGAGCTGAAACCAGAGCCAAGTCTCAACTTTGCAGCTCGAGCTTACATCTATAATGGGATGAACAGCCGCCCAGATCTGAACTCCCTCAAATTTTGGGAGGATCGGGTATGGATTTAACTTTCCAGCTACGGTCTCTACAGAACTCACCTTTGCTATCATCCTCTGCAGATTGTCTTTCCCCATGTAAGAAGTCTGCTGTGAGAGGACACTCTCTTGTTTCTGGATCATGCTTGTCAGACTATTTTTGCAGCTTTGATACTGCTTCAGGAGCTCCAACACCCTCACACACTGCTCCTGGCTATTAAAAAGCAGAATTATTTACTATACATGTATAAAGGAACAGCTTCAACCTCTCCTCTCTTCCACAGGTAAAAGTGACATAATATTTATAACTTACATTTATATTGCACCTTTCACTCTGAAGATCATTTCACCCACCAGTGGGATGAAACCCAACAGCTATTCAACCGCACACAGCAAAATTTCACCACAGTTTAGGGCAAGAAATTAAAAATATCACCTCCAACTGAAATTGCAGGAGGAACTCAGTACACAAAATGTATTTACGCAAACTGAAATTTGAGCAGGTCATTGGAATTAATTTACAGTAATGGACACGGGACCTTTAGGGTGGTATTTTCAAAGCTGCCTACGTGATTTGGATGTGGCATCTAAATCCTGTAGGCAGCTTTGAAAATACCATCCTTACTGTTTAGGATCTCAGTCTGGTATCTCATCTAAATGTTCAGACCTTCTGTGGCACAATGCCCCTTTCCTCATACTGGAGCATTAGTTCAGTATAGACTTAGAGGGAAGTGTCATCTCTTGACTCACCATCACTTCCATCAGGAGCTAGGTGTTTCTTAAGAGTTCCCTCATCCAAGTACTCACCATGTTCCACACTTAGCTTGATATACGATAGGGTTACAGGATTGCAATAATATCATGTTTTTTAAATGTGATTATTTGCCTAGTTCTAGTCCTATGACAGCAATGTTTTCTTTTTTTTCTGAGTATATTATTTACTTTCAAGTACCTCTGTTTAAGGCCTTTTTCCATTTGATTTTGAGAGATGTTACTACTCATATGACCTGCTTAAAATTTTCATTCTTTCCCCTTACCATTCAGCAAGTGACAGTTTTGTATCCTCCCACAACCTTTCTGTAACTGTGCACTGTTCATCTGCTTCTTCTCCTTTTGTCTCTTCAGTCTGTAGAAACTTGTTAGCAATTTCTCGTATGGATTTCATTTCAATAGCATAGCAACCCAATTCCTGTTCCAATTCAGTTAATGATTTTATCCTTTATTAGAAAAGAAATAAAATACAGCCCTATATTAAAACAGATCATAGATGTTTTTTCCAAAACGTAAGTGTGAGGTTTCTTTGAAAGTTTATTATGAACAGCATACATTGACTAACCTAACATTAAATGGGAAAGAACCTTATTAATGCAGAGTTAAGGTTGCCCGGTGATAGCTCCTGCCCTTTCAGAATGTCAAGTTCTGCATTAACTCAAACTTCTGAAAAGGAGGAAATACAGAGTTAAGATAAATGCCTATGCAACCTTAACTCTGCCCCACTGGAGCTGGCAATAGCCACTGGGAATTATCTGCATGCACTCCAGCTGCATTCCCTGTGTTAGCTGTAGCTGTATTGGAGGGTGGAAGAATAAGTTGAAGTATGTTGGAGAAGCTGTGATTTGATATGAGAACTGAGTCTGAGTCCCCCCATATTTGTTATCAAAGGGAAAAGGTGCATGTGTACCTTGATGTGCCAGTCTACATCATTTCAATACAGAATCATGTAGGTTGTCTCAGTAGCAAGGCACTGGGGCTTCTTGCTGTGGGTAATGTCAGTAGTGAGGTGGAATATCAAAGCAGCCTGTGGATTTAACCATGCATAAGGAAAAGTATAGGTTTAGGTATATTCTGTGTGCAAGTGTGGAGGGTTTGCAAAAGGGTATGAAGTGATTGTTAAAGTTTGCAAGTCTGCTGAGGGTGAGTGTAGGCTCAGTGTTTGAACCTAGGGCAAGTACAAGTACTCTCTGTCCATTACAGTGAAAAGGCAGAATGTGAGTGTGGTGTGTTGTGGGGCATGGCTCAGAGAGGGTAGAGTTAAGGTTGTGTGGTTGTTTACCTTAACTCTGCAGTTTCTGGTTTTCAGACGTTTGAGTTATGCTGAACTCCACGTTCTGAAGGGCATGAGCTATCACCAGGCAACCTTAACTCTGCATTAAAACAGTTTTTTGCCATTTAATTTCCTACTTTTTTAAAGAGAAAGATAAATGTTTGTTGGTAGGAGCTAGTGATCATTTAGATAGTTGTAAGTCTCACCTACGTGTCCAATTGATGTTTGCTACTGTGGGTAGGAAATAACCAAAAGACCTAGCTTTTATATAGTGCTTTCCCTCAGGAGATCTCAACAAACTTTTCATCATTACCCTCATTTTACAGACAGGAAACCAAGACACAGAGAGTGAAGTGACCTACCCAAGTCACTCAACGGGCCAGTGGCAAAGCTAGGAATAGTCCTGTCTCTCCATGAGGACACACAATTGATATGTGATTCTTCAGTGCTCCTCCCACTCCTGTACATTTTGTTATCGTGGAATGGAGATAATGGTCATGCTTTGAGATGTTAGCCATATGTAGTTACTAACAGGGCTGGTGAGAGAAATCTCACCCATGGGCTATGTCCCAAAACTTGAACAGTTTTATTACATGCTTGTTACAGTAACTTTAAGCATGTGAGAGAAGACTGGTGTGTCTCTCTCCTTCTCCACACCCCCAGAATACATGAAGGGGTTAGGGAGTGGAGCTCACCCCCACCCCAGAAAGGCAAGACCCCTCCAGAACCTGGCTCACATGAGGGGAGGCAAAGAAGGGGACGTCAGACTCCAATAAATGGGCAGGAGCCCCCAGATCCTGGCACACACATGGGGGGCATGAAGTGGGGTTCAGACACCACCAGTGAGGGCCGAGACTCACAGATCACATAGAATGGGTAGGGAGAGGGGCTCAGAACCCCCAGAAAAGCAAATCCCCATCCCAGCACCTGGATCACATGGGTGGAGTGAGGGGGTGAGGGTCAGACCTCCATAGATGGGCAGGGGACCTCAGATTCTAGCACACACATGGGGGAAGAGAGTGGGGCTCAGACATCACTGGAGGGCAGAGAATCCCAGACCCCAGCTCACATGTGGGGAGCAGGGAGAGGGGCTTAGATCCCCCCGAGGGCCACTGGGCCCCCAGATCCTGGCACTCACATGGGGGGAGAGGGTTCAGACATCCCTGGGGGCAGGAAACCCCAGCTCCCACAGGTGGGGCAGGAGAGGAGTTCAGACACCCCTGGAAAAGCAAGCTTTAATATGAGGAAAGCAGGGATGGTGGCCAGAGCATCACAGATAGGCAGGGGTCCCAGATACTGGCCCACTCACAGGGGGACAGAGAGTGGGGCTCAGACAGGGACCCCCAGATTCCAGCTCACCTGGGGGAGTAAGGAGAGGGGCTCAGACTCCACACACACACACAGATTCTGATGTACACACAGCAGGGGAGAATCTCGGGCTGACCGGCATGCCTGCACTGTTGTCCCCCAGGTCCTCTGCCACTCAACCCATGTCCTCTTCCCAGTATTGCTCCCCTTCCCTTCACCTGAGCCCCACAATCCCTCTCACCTTCCATACCACCCATCCTCATTTATCCCTATCCACTTGATGCAGCTCCAACCCGCTATTGCCCCTATTTTCCCCACTCTTCCACCCCTAAAATGCCCCTCTCCGTCAGCAATCATTTGCATATCTAAATTTTAAAAAAAAAAGTTACTTTGATTACATTCCCCCACCCTCCAGCAGTGACAGATTTCAGCAATAGCCTCCCAACCAAGGTGGGACTCCAACTGATGCTAGCTAGGTGAGTCAGGACTACTGCTCATGCCCTTGAGGTCTGCAGCTAGTGTGAAACTTTGCAGGCTAACAATCCTGGTAATTCCTCTGTCCCCGCATGCTCAATATCATCAATTTGACATAAAAATTGATGCAGGATGCTTATGACAAGCCAAACTGGAGAAGCAAAATCTTTTTTGAAATAACCTTTTAATTTGATTTCCCACAAAAGGCGGGTGGGTGGCATGCCCTCTGTTGGGGTGACCCTTGAGCACTGGAAATCCTTGAGCAATGATCAGAGCCCTTGTTTGATCTCTATCTGTGACCCAAAATAGCTTTGCAAGAACCTCTCAACTTTAAAAAAAGATGTTTTTTCTGGGAGCTGTATCTCAGGACCCCCTTGGTGAAATGGCCCCAAATTTGGGTCACTAGCAGTACCCCGTGAAGTACTGGTGCTAATCCAATGGAGACCCTAAGCAGGAATATTTTGCCCTCCCCCCAACACATACTAATAATTAATAGGGGGGCCCTTTGACCCATTCGGGGTCCTAAGCAATTGCTTAGGTCTACATGTTCAGAGCTGCAGTGGCACAGTTGTACTGATACAACTGCACCACTGCAGCACGTCTGGTAAAGACACTCTATGCCGATGGAAGAGAGCCCTCCCAACGGCATAAAAAAACCCACCTCTGCAAGTGGCATAACTTATGTCGGTGTAACATATGTCACTCAGTGCGGTGGAATATTCACACCCCTGAGAGACTTAAGTTTTCCCAACATAGGCTGTAGTGTAGACATAGACCCAGTCTGCTTATGCGTAGCACCGGTGACCCCTGAGGCACTCCAAATTTCAAGGCAATCCAAGTTAGCCTGTAGATTTCAGAACACTTAGAAAAGTCAAGCTTTAAACAGAAAAAAGAAAAGGAGTACTTGTGGCACCTTAGCGACTAACCAATTTATTTGAGCATAAGCTTTCGTGAGCTACAGCTCACTGTGAGCTGTAGCTCATGAAAGCTTATGCTCAAATAAATTGGTTAGTCGCTAAGGTGCCACAAGTACTCCTTTTCTTTTTGCGAATACAGACTAACACGGCTGTTACATTTAAACAGAAAGCTGGTCTTAACTTTAATTGTAGAAAGGCCAGATCCCTAGCTGGTGTAATCTGGCACAGTTCTTCAGTGGAGCTGTAACAATTTACACCATCTGAGGATCTAATCCAAAATTTCACAGGCCAATAGGTTCTATATTAATGTAGCTAATTACAGTGCCTTCAACTACTAAGTGTCACTCTGGCCAATTTAAAATCTCAGTTCATGTGCTCTATTCAATGAAAAGTGTGACAATGTATGGATTTCATGAATAAAGCAATGGATATAAATTAGTATTGATCAAAATGTATCAAATCCCTGTTTGATAAATGGTAAATGAATTTTCCTGAAGGGGAGCAGAGACCCACCTCAAATATATAAATGCCGTAAATTAACAGGAGGATATGCAGATCATTTTAGAAAAAATTCTCAGTTTGCCGTGTGTGATATGCACTGACTTTTGACACACAAAGTTTCTACAATGTATGTATCACCATTGAGCAATATTTTGTATAACGCTACTTGGTAGCATTTGTAAATGGCAACCTCACTGCCACCACAGGTGGTCACTGTAACTAATGACTCAACCCTCCCAACTCCCTCAAGCATACAAAGGGTAGTAGCATGGGGTTAAAGAAACAATATCACGGAGAAGGCTTTTCAAACAATGCAGTCTCTGATCCAACATGACAATCAGTTGACTTCAATGGGACTATGCTGATGCTTAAAGTTACACACGTTTATGTGCTTTGCTGGATTGGAGACAGAGACGAGACCAACAGAACTTACTGAAATTATTAAGTGAGGATCTAAAAAAGCTACAATAAACACACTCACCTTTGTTGAACAGCAGGAATTGTTGGGTCCTTCAAGCCTATTTTATTAATCTTATCATGTAGATCTTGAATATTTTTTAAGAGTTCATTATTTCTTGTGGAAAAAATCTCCTGTAACTCATTTTCTTGGATGAGCTCCTGCTTACTTAGATGGACAAAAGCCTTGTTTGCCTTTTCAGATAAAGCCGCAATTAGTTTTTCACAGCAAGTCTTTCCCCCACATTCAGCATCTTCCAAGTAGATATCAACCATCTGCAAGTGCTCATCCAAACATTTAGCCTTTTCTTTCATGAGAGAAACTTCTTCCTGCACAGCTTCTTTTGATGTGTTTCCTTGCACCTCAGGTTTGTCAGAAACTGAAGAGTCTGTTGCATGCTCAATAGAAAGCTTAACTCTTCTCAATGAGGCCAAAAAAGCTTCCAGTTCCTTGAGGACCGTTTCGCTGACCTGCATTTTATGATTCATTTCTTCAAACTGCCTTTTATATTTAAGCATAATCTCGCATGCTGCTTGCAAATCTATTAGGTTAAATTCATCTCCTGTTGAGCAGTCTAGGTTTTCCAGTTGTCTGCATAATTCAATCTGATTTACTATACAGCTCTGGACCTTCTGAAATTGAGAGAACCACAGCAGGGTTAGCAAAGTGAAAGAGAAATTGTATCTCATATTCTAAGCAAAACATATGGCTGTAAAAAAATGAGACTGACCCAAAATAAATCTGACAACATTAACAGCATGAAGAAGAATTTCTTTAGGGTTTTGCTGTTTGGTCTTTTCATTAAATATACCCTAAATCTTAACAGAGAACAAACATATACATAAGACCTCTTGCTTCTTCAGAAATAACACTGTGACCCAAGGATCTCTTGATGCCAACTGGCAGATGGCACAGGGTTACAGGAATCCCCTGGGTCTGATATCTACATACTTCTCCACCATAGAATGTCATGTAAGGTGTCTAATGAAAGCCTGTATCCACAGTATGCATCCGATGAAGTGAGCTGTAGCTCACGAAAGCTCATGCTCAAATAAATTGGTTAGTATCTAAGGTGCCACATGTACTCCTTTTCTTTTTACACTGGTCATCATAATCATTCCAAGGTGTTTGTATGGAAAATATGTGAGCAGTTGTGCACATATACTAAAAATTATGTTCTCTAGGTCTGTGAATTAAGCCAGGTCACCAACTGGTAATCTACATACTCCTGGAAGGTGGGGGGAAGAGATGCTTATCTCGCGCTCACTGGTCATGTGCAAATTAAGTATTGTATGGTTTCCAATGAATGCCCATTCACAGTCTGAGCAAAATACTAATCAATAGGCAGCAGAGGTTGCAGCAAAAAACAAAAGCAGCAGGGATAATCCTGTTTAGGAGTAAGATTATGAACATTTGAAACTATATCCGGGGTGCAGATGAACTCCCCCTTGGTTCCCTCAGTTGGTTCCCCTTGGAACCGTCAGTTTGTAAGGACAAGCCACCAGTGGGCTTGATCTTACAAGAAGGGATTTCAGTCAACCTAGTGTAAAACGCTGGGAAGAGGACTTGGGGAAGCTATCTTGCAGGAGATTGGGGAATGCCTTGTTAGTAAAGTGTAGGCTCTAGAACAGAGGTTCTCAAACTGTGGCCTATGGACCACCAGTGGTCCGTGAGCTCCATTCAGGTGGTCCACAGATAATTTCCTTTAAGGCGCACGCCTGGGCGGCGGCACACAAGAGAATAAAGGGCCACCCACCTAATTAGTGGAGCCGTGCAGGTGTGGCTCCACTAATTAGGTGCCTGGACCCTGGAGAAGATGCACACGTAAGGTGAGGTGGTGGCCTTGGGGGGATTAGAGGGGTGGATGGGAGGGGAGAGTGGGGTGAGAAGAGGGGATGGGGGGAATTGGGGATGTCCAGGGCTGCGGCAGCCAGAGAAAGAGGTCACTTTCCCCAACTCCAGGGCTGCGGCTGCCGGGGAGAGACGGCCCTCCTTTCCAGCCTCAGCTCTGTGGTGGGGGAGAGACCCCCCACTTCTTCCCAGCCCCAGATGGGGGCTGCCATGGTGGGGAAGAGAGGGAGAGACCCCCCTCCTTCCCAGCCCCAGCTCGGGGGCTGCCCAGCGGGGGAGAGAGGGAGAGAACCTGCTCCTTCCCAGCCCCAGCTCGGGGGCTGCCATGGCAGGGGAGAGAGGGCACACCCATCGCATTAGAAAGGTAAGACTACTGATATTAAAATATGAGTTGCGTGCTTTTATTTGCAGACCAAAACAATCATTGTTATTAAGTTTTTTTTATATAGCGCTTTTATCCAAAACGCTTTACAATAGTTAGCTAACAGTGCAAACAATATTTGGAAAGATCATTAAGTGGTCCTCCGAGACCCTCAGCAATTTTCAACTGGTCTGCGAAAAAAAAAGTTTGAGAACCACTGCTCTAGAAAGCATGTTATGATTTTGCTTCTCATGCATCCAGTTCCAATATTCTCATTCTCTATCATTTGAATCTTTGTTCTTTGGTAATAAACTTATCCTCGTTTTTTTCTCTCCCTAATACATATGTGTGTGTGTGCCGTGTGTTAAGAGGAGTGGTGATCCTGAGTTGAATTGTGCAAGCTGGTGTGTACTGTTTCTTTGGGAGTAGCGAATCTCTGTGTTTGGAAGAGGGGTTGGGCATTCCATGGGGACGCTGGGAGGACTCAGTGGATGGTGTGTGCCTATTGCTAACCTGGAGAGAGAGAGTATGGCCAGCAGATGCCTGGCAGGCACTGCTTGTGTTGCCAGAGGCTGGTAGTTTCAAGAAGCTGATCCACAGCAGGCATAGACAAGAGTTCCTCACACTCATGGTGGATGGTGATGAGGTGCCTCACAACCCAGTACTCCTGAGAAGTGTCACAAACACTCTATATTTGTGACAGTTCGGGAAAATCTGTCTATGTAAAACCCATGACTTCTAATTGATTTATAAACTCACTATGCCTCAGTGTGTATTGAATCAGCCATTTGCTGACAGAGACCCCATTATGTATCACATATCCTGTCCGGAAGCTGCTACAGGACAATCAAAAAAGTCATTAACACTGAATGACTTTGCCCTGGTAATGCAACAGGTATGTTAAATAGGGTGGCCAAGCTGCACATAACCAGTTTTTCCAGTTTGGACTTCAGGTGGGCAATAAATCAAGCAACTGATCATCTGATACGGGACTTTAGAGGGGGGCTTTGAGGATGATCAGGGTCACATGATAGAGGGGACTGGAAAGATATAACAGGACAAATGTTTTCTCTTGGTAGCTTTCTCTCATGGACCAGAACAAGAAGGCAAACTGGTCAGGAGGAGGAGAACAGGAGGATCTTGGGATCCTGACAGGACTGATCAAAACCCTGTGTCCCAGTCCGCTTAAAACAAGACAATTTCAGCTTGTTTTAAGCAGAGTTGGCTTATGATTTCTTCAAGTCACTTGCTGCTTGGTTTTGCATTTTTCTGGGTCTTTTAAGTAGCTTGTTGTTTGGTTTTGGGCTTCTCCGGGAGGGGCTGCTGCTTTTTTTTTTTTTAATTTCCAGTTGGACAGTGTGGCCAGGCCCCGGGCCCAGCCAATCAGCTCAAAAAAAAAAAGCTTTACTTGTGATTGGCTCCCAGTTGCACTGCAAGCTCTGCGGGTGAGTCCCTCCCAACCCACACAGGGAGAGGGGGGAGAGGGAAAGAGCAGCGATCGACAGGGGGAAGGGGAAAGAGGAGTGAACGGGGATGGGACCTCAGGGGAAGAGGCAGGGCAGGGGTGGGGTCTGGGGAGACAAGGCGGGGCAGGAGCAGGTCTTCAGAGGAAAGGGGCGAGGCAGGGACAGTTCTGGCACTCCTGCTGGAGTGTCCAGTTTTTATACATTACGAAGTTGGCAACCCTATACGGGGAGTCTTATAGTTTCTCTAAAAGTAAAATGTGGGTGTGCTGAGAAATCCCACTGCAGAGTCTGTTACTTGGTTACAGTATCATGCACTTCCTCAAGAATAAAACAGTAAAACAGAGGGTCCACAGCTTTGGTAGACCTCTGGGGGCATGCAGCAGCTACCGCGAGAGCTTGAGACAACTGGAGTAAGTTTCAGACCCTAGGCAATTGGACTGTATGGTCTCCACTGCCAAGAAGGGGGTCAGACATAGGGTCTGCACCCAGAGTGTGTGCCCAGAAGTCCAGTGCCAGAGAGACAGTATCTAAACTCTGCTTAGCCTTAGGAAGCAGAGGCCATGTGGGAACCATGATCATAGAATCATAGAATATCAGGATTGGAAGGGACCTCAGGAGGTCATCTAGTCCAACCCCCTGCTCAAAGCAGGACCAATCCCCAATTTATGCCACAAATCCCTAAATGGCCCTCTCAAGGATTGAACTCACAACCCTGGGTTTAGCAGGCCAATGCTCAAACCACTGAGCTATCCCTCCCCCATGATACTGCAGCTTGGTGCGTGTTCAGCAGGGGGAAGTTCTCAGGGTTGTAATAATAGTCTACTGAAATATTCTGCAATCTGAATTACACCACCTAGTAGGTTGACTCTAAGAATCTTTGGGGAGCTGGTTTCAGATGGTAAGACCCACAGAAAAGGCTACTGATCATGCTTGCAGCAGCAGGCGCTTCCTCAACTCAGAAAACCTGACACTAAACAGCTAGATTGGGACCAATGCCATTTTGGAGGAGAAAAAGAGAGTTATGAGCAAGGACTATTTGTGACTCCATTTTGTATGGGTACCATTGGTGTACACTTGGGTACGACTGGTGTATTGTAATGTTATTAAGAGAGAAGAGGGCAGCATGCTGTTAAAGGTCAGAAGGGTCAAAAAACACTCAGACTACTGGAAGCGATTCCCAAATCCCTGAGTGAGAAGTCCCATGCAGTTATCCAGCTCTTGCATGTACAAATGCCTATTTTTTGCGAAGTTTCACCTTGTACTCACATTTGAAAACTGAGATGTGGGCTCTGTGTTTTTCCTTACCTTCAGTTCTCCATAAATGAGATCAATATTTGTCAGAGTAAATTGCTGAATGTCCTTTTTGTGGCATTGCTTGTCTGAGTCACATAGAAGAATGAATTCATTTTCTATCGGTGAAACAACTTCCAAAGCAATCTTTAAAGGCTTCATTCTAAAAGAAAGGTAAATAAACATGAACAGGAGAAGCTGGCAAGAAAAGATCCTGCACATATTTCAGGGCAAAAGCACAATTTTACTGTAAACCAAAAATTAGCTAATAGACTTTGGGAGCAATTCACTCATGTCAACAGAAGTTTTACCATAGATTTAAATAGGAACAGCCCCAATTCCAAAGATTTTAATTCAAAGGTTGAAAAAAAATGTACTAGAAAACTTGGGGATACTATAAAGTGATCTTATAAAGTAGAAGTATTTTTTCACACAACACATAGTCAACCTGTGGAACTCCTTGCCAGAGGATGTAGTGAAGGTCAAATCTATAACAGGGTTCAAAACACAACTAGGTAAGTTTTCATAGGAGGATATGTCCATCAATGGCTATTAGCCAGGATGGACAGCCTCTGTTTGCCAAAATCTGGGAATGGGTGATGGGATGGATCACTTGGTGATTACCTGCTCTGTTCATTCCTTCTGGGGCACCTGGCATTGGCCACTGTCGAAAGAGAGGATACTGGGCTAGATGGAGCTTTGGTCTGACAAGTATGTCAGTTCTTATGTTCTTATAAGACAGAGATTTGTTTATTATGGTTCTTAGTGTAAGTATCTCTAATTGTCTATGGTATATTATATGTAGCATATATAGCAGGGTTTCTCAAACTTCATTGCACCACGACCCCGCTTCTGACAATAAAGTTACTACATGACCCCTGGGAGGGGAGGTCAGAGCCCAAGGCCTCCTGCCCTGGGTGAGGGGAAAGGGGGCCACAGATCAAGCCCTGTCACTCCAGGTGGAGGGAGAGGGGGCTGCAGTCCAAGCCCCATTGCCCAAGGTGGAGGTGGAGCTCAGGCTTCAGCTTCAGCCCTGGGTCCCAGCAAGTCTAATGCTGGCCCTAGCGACCCCATTAAAATGAGGCTGTGACCCTCTTTGGGGTCCCGACCAACAGTTTGAGAACCGCTAATATATAGCATATAATACTCCATAACAATATATTAAGATCATGTTAAGTTTGTACGTTTAAATTGGAAAATGCCAGGGTTCGAACATATAATCCTAACTATGCCTTACAATGCAAAATATATACTATACAATACATTCTTTAATTGTATGATGATATACTATTTCTCAAGTAACACAAAGTACAATGATATTTTATACCTGGCATTTAGAATAATCTGAAGTTCACTCCACTCTCTGTTAAGTCTGTTTTGTGTTTCAGAGATAACAGGCTTCTCTGTGTCATCCATAAGATTTTCTAACTTAGACGCAATAATTTCAAACTGTGTCCAACAAGAATTAGCTTCACTCTCTATGACCTAAAAGAAGATACATACATTTAATTCATTCAAAGGCATCATATTGTGGAAAAAAACTGGTCAATTTTGAAAATTACCTTTAGATGCATTATTATAGACAGAGCTGGAAGCACCACATATCGTGAATTTTCCATGTCAGGTGCCTCAGGCTTTTTTGTTGTTTGTTTTTTTTTTTTTTTAAGTTTCAGCCATTTTTCAGAACAAGATTAGAGAAAAAATTACATAGTTTTACCCATGTTTACAAAAATTCTTACACCCATTTCACTCAGAAGCTCCAGTGCCTCCATGCTTTGTAACGAGGATTTGAAATTTTACAGGAGGGTCAGATGTGCCTTTTACCTTCCCTTTGAAAATTCACCCAAATTTGGCCAATTTATAATCCTTTGAACTAGCTTGGTTTGCACATACTCAGTAGAAACTTGTTAGAGTTCAGCACCTAAATTCTCTGAAGATTGTGTCTGCAGCGAGTATGCTTCACACCTCACAGCTCCTACATGTGACTGGACTGTGCATGTGCCATGCTCAGAGAGTGACTGAAAATGCTCCAGCCCAGGGTGCAGGGGCTGAACAGGATTTTTCCTGCAATTGTTCCTCCTGGTTGCCAGGGGCAAGTGTGGCGCCAAGTGGAACTGAGAGCAAGGAAACTCTCCTGTGCTCTTAGTGGCCCGATTTTAGGGCCCAGGCATCACAGAGGAAGAGTAATATTACTTCTGGAGGAATTCTGCGCTACTGCGTGCGCACATAATTAATGAGCCACGCATACTTTTAATTTTTTGCGCAGAAAAAAGCTTCTGTTCAAATGCTGCTGCAGTTCTGCCTTTTGCCCACCAGAGGGCGATGTGGTGCTAGCACAGAGCAACAGCTCCCAGCCAGCCAGGGAAAAGAAAGAACCTGCCTTCTTTGCAGCGCCTGTCAGGCCAGGTCAGGAGACAGGGCCTATGGGGAGACAGGCTATGGGGTGTTGTGGGGGGGTCAGACAGGGGCTCATAAGAACTAGTAGATGAGAACAGACTGGGGCAGGGGCTGAATGGGAGTGGAGGCACAGGGCCAAAGGAGGGAGGGAGGTGCAAGGCCACATGGTGATGCGGGAGGGAGTGCAGAGCTACATAGGGACAGGGGGTGGCTGAGTGAGAGCACAGATATACATGGGGAAAGGGGGCAGGGGTACAGGGACACATAGGGAGAGGAGCTGGCTGAGTGGGGGCACAGAGACACATGGGGACTGGGGGACGGGGTACAGGACCACATGATGGAGGGGAGTGGATGTCTGAGTGGGGGTGGAGGGACACATGTGGACAGGGGGGTGCAGGACACATGGGGACAGGGACAGATGTGCCTGACTGAATGGGAGAGGCTAGGGGTCAGCCAGGGTCTGCATGGGGGAAGCTCCCTAACAATCCCTCCCTGCCCCCCGCAAAAACCTGTTCCATACTTTTCCCACCCATACCCAACAACCCTCCAAGTTCACAACCAGGCTCCTTCCCAGAAATTTACTTCCCTCTCCCTCAGCTCCTCCATTACCCCTGACTCCCCCAAGTCAGGGAAATACGGTTCTGTATTGTAGTTTAAACAAATTATTACTCAGAATTCTGTATTAATATGCCTAGTAAGGAATCTATTTGTCAAAAAACTTTTCCTGAATCTTTTTTGTTGTCTGTATTGTTACAGACATACTTGCTGACAGGTATTTTGAAATAAATGACCAAAAATAACTGAAGCTGGTGTGATTATATTACGTTATTTTGAAAAATAAAATATGCAGAATTTTGCATAATTTTAAAATATTGTGCACAGAATTTTTAATGTTTTGGCGCAGAATTCCCCCAGGAGTATAATATGGAGGAGCAGTTGACTTTGCAACTTCACTGTTCTTTTAACATAGTTTTTTGTGTGTAGTAAATATAGAGCATAACAAAATAATAATTGTTTACAAACATTTCAGATCCTCTCAAACTACAATAGTGCTGGAGTAATTTTGCACACAATGGTCCAAACTCTCCTCTCAGCTACACCGGCACAACTCCACTGCCATGTAAGGCCTCAATCTCGCAAAGAGCTGAGCCTTCCTATGACTGCTGAATGTCCTCAACTCTCACTGAAGCCAATGGCAGTTGGGACGGGCATTACCCCTCAACAGTATGCTCAGTACTTGAAAGAAAGGGCCTCAAAAGAGAGTAATTTAACCCCTCTTGCTAACATATCATACAAATTGTAGACAAGCAACATATTCTTCAAAATGATCGATATTTACCTGTAGATCTAGTAGCTTATTTTGAAGGCATAAGGTGTCTTTTATTTCATCAGTAAAAGGAGACTCTACTTCATCTCTGATTCTTTGTAAATGAAGTTCGACATTACTCCTCTGTGTATCAAAGCTAGGAAAAGATGCAATAGTTCTTAGACAGTATCAACTTTACTTTAACGGAAGACAGGAAAGGAAAAATAATTGGGGTTGTGACTTGCTGAATAATTACTTTAATTGCCATTGAAGTAATGGCAATTAAAGTAAGTTCAGCAATTTGCTCATGTAATTGTTTTTTTTACCTAAATTCCAAATTTTACATGAATAAGCATTTGTGTTTAAAATGGAGTAATTGCTCACTTAGGTACCTTATTTGTGTGTGCAAATGTCTAATTTCAGGCTCAAATATGGGTTTTTTTGTGTAAAAAATAACAAATTTCTGGAAATTTGGCCCAGAATGTTTGGCTTCATCATATTCAGGCACATACACACACCCAAAAGCAAAGCTTCCTCTAACCAAGGAAGACAGAAAAGCAGAAAAATCACTAAATCCACTAGTTTCCTTGTTACAGAGATCTAATTTACATTTAGATACTACTGTGAGTGACTGTTTAGTAAGATAAATAGATAAAACAAAATTTAGAAGAATAAGTAGAGAACAGAATTCAGAATAGCAAAAATAGTCCAGATATATGAAATTTCCAATTTACTTGTAACTTTTTAGTCTAGTATTATCTCTAAATGTGCATATTTTGCCATTTAAAAATTACCTCTCTAATAAAGCCTCTAAGGGCAAATCAGTGTCTTTCTCAAACTTCTTTGTACAGCTTTCACCGTTCTGTTGTTTCATGTCTGATTTCAAAATTACATCTGAAACTGGTCCTGATGCCTAATCAAATGTAAAAATCAATTACGTTGATAACTACATTACCTTATATTTATGCATTCTACAAAGATCAGAAGACATACATACACTGCAAAAAGAAACAATCACTTCTTCATGCGAAACACACCCAGTTTCTGAGAGAAGAAACTCAATTTATGAACATAATAATCTAGTTTAAGTGAATCTTAAGTAAAATTATAAAATACACCTCTTTCCATGGACTATGCACATGACATTTGAGCCATCACCAAAGCAGCAGATTCCATCACTATACAATGGACAGTATTTGCAGCACAGCATGAGAGAGCTTCCTCATCACAGTGGTGCATACAGCAACCTCAGCTACCTTAACAGATGTTTCCTCTATATCCTCAGCCATTGGTGCTAACACAATGGAGACTCAAGCTGAACTCTTTGTGCAGGTCACCAGCATGTTTCTGGATGTCTTGCTGATGAATACTGTGCAGCCTATGTACATCTTGGGTCACATGAATTATCATCCTCTTGGACCACACTCTAAACAAGACCTCTTCCTCTACGGCATTCCACTACCAGTAAATAGTTGTAACCCTCTACCTTAGCAATTATTTAATAAAGCTATACATATTCTTTTATTTTAATATTTCCTTAGAAGTGAACCCCTCCAGCATTTTCCATCTCTATATCCCCTCCTACTTGTTCACATCTTTTGGCTACTGACTGTAATATTCTAGGTGTGTTTCCTCCAGTGCTAGAGGCTGAAATTCAGCCCTATCAAGAAGGGAAATACAAGGACTTGAGTCCTATTTTGAGGACTTAAGTGGCCCTTGAGCTTGCCCTTTGCACTCAGAGAGAGGAAACAGACTGTAAGTTCTCTGGGGCACAGACTGTCTTTTCAATAAGAATTCGTACATTGTGAGCAAAATGGGGTCTGAGCTTTGACTGGAGTGCTTGAGTTCCACTGTGATATAGACAGACATAATAACTGCTCTCCATTTGCCCATGATCCACTCTAGATAAACCAGTGTTTGATAATGGCATGTCTTTAGCCATCTGTCTTGGATGGGTTAAACACAACAAATCCTGTGTCTTGGCAGGGGGGAAGACCAGATGACCCTTGCGGTCCCTTCTAACCCGATGAGTCTATGATCTGAATTCCATACCTCCTGAGTTGAAAGTATATCAACTGATTGGGAAGATGCTTCCTTTTCTCCATTCTCAGGAGCAAGTATAGAGCCCCTAAGATTTAAAAGAAATTTCAGCTTAACAACAACAGCAACAACTAGTGAATACAAAGAAAAAACACTGCAATCATAAAGTATATATCACAAGACAAAAAAAAACACTGCAACTCCTCCAAAGATTAATCTAACAGGACATAGACTAGTTCGTTAAAATATTTTAAAAGAACAATTACACGAGAAAATATACTCCTGGTTACAATTCTCCAACAGCAGGAGGATGATCTAGATGTCTTAGTTTTATGAAGCTATGATACATTGTGCCACAAAATACTCACCCTTGTTTAGATGCCTGACCACTTCCAACATGGGACAGCAGAGTTACATAAGCATCTGCTGCACATTTTTGAAGTTCTTCTTGCTTTTGTTCACACTCTGCAATTAGTGTCTTTGTTTCCAGGTGAGTTTCTTCTGCAGCCAGTCTTTCACACATTGCTTTAAGAACTTGTAGGCAGTTGTTTAGTTCCCCGAGGTTGCCTTCAGGAGAAAAAAAAGCCTAAATGAAGAAACAAACACATGATAAATTATAACAATGTGGTTATTTTCATACATTGTTATATTTAGCGTTCTTTTGTCACGTAAATGCACTTTCAACTGAGGCTCTCAAACCACTTTGAAAACAAAGGTGAAAAGAAAATTAAAGAAGAGATGACTGAGAAAGACATGAGTAAAAATGTAAAATGTAAACCAAAGTTTCTTACACAATGTGTGAAATTTACCCCTGGGCAGAGGACTAGCACAGGCCTATCAACTAGTAAAACACCACTTAAAGTCATGAGACTAGGTTGTGTGAAACACAAACAAGGAGTTAAACTGGGGCTTCCGTACAACCATTGTGGGCAGAGTCAGCTCTATGCATAGGACCTTAGCCATGCAACTACTACATTGAATGGGAGCTACAGTGCACGTCAAGTTTGGTTTTTTTAATTATTACATTTTGAGTAATTAAGGAATAAAAATAAAACTGACTGTCATAAATATAAAGGGAAGGGTAACAACCTTTATGTATGCAGTAATATAAAATCCCTCTTGGCAAGAGGTACAGAATCCTTTTACCTGTAAGGGGTTAATAGATTCACTTAACCTACTTGGCACCTAACCAGAAGGACCAATGGGGAAAGAAGTGGTGGGGGGATATTTTAGGGAAACAGGAACTCGAAGTGGTCCTTTTCCTGAATCTTTGTCTAATTCACTTGGTGGTGGCAGCAGTACCCATCCAAGGACAAGGAAAGATTTGTGCCTTGGGGAAGTTTTTAACCTAAGCTGGTAGAAATAAGCTTAGAGAGTCTTTCATGCAGGTCCCCACATCTGTACCCCAGAGTTCAGATTGGGGAGGGAACCCTGATACACCTGTAAGAGATGATTATAAAGTAAGGTATAAACTGAAAAAATTTAGCACCCTACTGGCAAGGAGGTGACTCTTTGAAAGCCTGCTTCCTGCAATAGTGGAACAGTCTGAAGTTAGAAAGAAAATTAAATGATAAAATGCAGAAGGATATACAATACAGTCACCAAGCAGAGAAGTTGAGGACAGCATTTTTATACAGTACCTCGTGTTCTTTTATAAGTCCCTTGGTTTTACCGATGCTAAGGAGTTTCTTCTCTTTATTTATTTGCTTACTGAGTTTTGAAAAAGTTGCATTAAATTTCCCTATTTCAATTTCCATTATGAACTGAATACATGATATGATTTCACGATGAACTACCTGCAACGTACAGAAAGCACTCTCAGTGTGATGGTCATGGGGTGACAACGGACTACAAAGCAAATAAAAACCTCTATTCTGTAACAAAAATTTGTTTTTCAAGAGACCAGGTCTGATAAGAGAATGAGTTGCTTTTTCTTATGTATATTTTCTCACCTCCCATCTTTCACGAACATCTTTGCATCTTTCCTCCACTGCCAACTTTTCATGAGCTGGTGAAATATTTTTCAATTGTTCAGCTGTTTTCAAAAACTTTTCAAGAATTCCTGTGTCCAAAATGCTAAAAGCTTCCTGCAAAAAAGCAAAACAAAACCAGAACTGATCTTCACTTATGTATATCATAAAACAGTATCATTATCATATCAAAACTATACAATAATGAATGACAAGGTACTTATTACTGGGCTGCAATGGCAAAAGGCCAGATTGTCCCAGGCCCTTGCGGTGGATGCACAGGCAGGCCAGAGCACAATTGCACTCCTGCACTTTCTGTGCCTGAAAAAGGGCCAAGGACAACTGCAGCCCCTACGCTTGGGAAACTGCAGGTACAGCTCCCACAACACCTATCGCGGGAACATTTTGTACCAACGGGGAGCGGACAAAGTAGATCAGCGGCTATCCTCCCTCCCTATGCCCAGACAATGGGGCACACCTCCTATATATGACAGGAAGCATGGAAGGGGACTGTGTCTCTGTGACGGGGCGCCTGGCCCGCCCTGGCTAAAACCATCCTAGGGAGGGGCTGCAGGGGAAACAGTCAATTAGGGTGGGGGCTGCAGGCAATTAGGGCGGGGGCTGGACTAGCCAATCGGGGCCCAGTCGGCCCATATAAAAGGAAGCTGCAAAACAGAGAGAGTTATTTTGCTGCAGGGAGCCCTAGAGAGAAGACTGGCTTCCTAGAGGCCTACAGAGGGACCAGCACCTGGGGAAAGGCAGGTGCTAGCAGGGACTGCGGGAGCTTGGGAGAGCTCCTGATGGGCTGCCAGGACTTGCAGGCTTGAGGCCCTGGGAAGAGAGCAAAGGAGCTGGAGCCAGAGGCAGGAGCAGAAGGAACTAAGGCTGCATGGAAGTGGCCCAGGGAATAGAGACAGTGAGCTGGAAAGAAGAGGCAGCAGGAAGCTGCTGTTTACAGGAGCCCTGAGCAGGGGCCCAGAGTAGTGGGTGGGCTTGGGTGGCCCCACCCCCCACTAGCCGCTGAAGGAGCGGTCTGGCTGTGGACTGCCAAGCCGATGCAAGGAGTGGCTGGACTCTTGGTGGAGGAGTCCCCCGGAAGGGGGGGAACCGGATGGTGACACAGCTGGAGGGCTGTGCCACGAAGCAGACACCGAGAGAAAGGTGCTGTAATGGGTCTGCGGGCAGAGGTGAGGATGGGAGAGCCACCACCACCCAAGGGCATACCCACTGGGACTGAACTAATTCCCAAAATGCCCAGCAGGAGGCATAGGGTGGTGAGTGACCCCGTGACAGTCTCCTTGAGGTAGAATCCCTATGAGTATTCCCAGTGCTGGTTCTGCACTGCTTTCCAGCCCAAGGCCCTCCTAAATGGTGCAATTTAGCCCAAGGCCAAGATTTTCAAAAGTGACTAATGCTTTTGGGTGCCCAACCTAAGACACTTTAAAGGGGTCTGGATTTTCCAAGGGTGGTTTCTCAGCACTTCCTGAGAATCAGGTGCCTTTAAGGAGTCTCAAGTTAGGCCCCCAAAAAACTGAGGCACTCAGCATCTATATCCACGTTTGAAAAGTTTGTCCCAGAGCTGGGGCACATGATACAGGATGAGACCAAAGACTTTTAACTGGCCAAGAAACACAACTGCGGTTCACAGCTGTACATTCTTGAGTGCCTTATAGTTGCCTGGGTATGGGAGTGATGGAGCCATATAAGAAGACAGATTGTATACAGAATAACTTATATAAACAAGGAGGTTGAATTACAGTAGCTTTGAGAACTTTCAATTTCTTTTTATATAACTCTCCATCATAACACCCCCATATTACTGTCATGATTATAAACAACATAATCTAAACTAGGTTTTACTTCCCTTCAAATCATGTCAAAGCTAGGTGCAAAAAGTTACTTGTGTGTCTGATGGCCACTTAGTCAGTCAGCTTTCAAAGTTTTGATAAGGCACTTACAATTATTACTTATTAATTACAACTAATAGCCAGATGTTTAATAAGGCATTGTTGGAAATGGAGAGACCTCCTAGCACTAGTGACATGGAGAAACAAAGTTCAGGATATCCTTTCAATAGAAAAAATGACAGATAGATAGCCTTATTTTAGGATCAAGATTTTATAATGTGTGGTTACCATTTTGGGGATTTAAACAAAATACACACAGATAACGATAATATAAAAATCCAGGTTAGGAGTAAGATTTCTTAATATTTCTACAGAAAGTTTAAGTATGTTAATAATGATAAAATAAAAAGTTTTAAACAAAAGTTGTAAGAACTGCCAAGAAACATGTGCTCTTTTCCACAACAGTGTAAAACAGAAGTCTCCAAACTGTGGGGTGCGCCCACCTATTGGGGCATGGAGGAGTGTTTGGGGGGGGGGGCATGATGGGGCCCAGGCCAGGCCCCATGGGGGGCGGGAAGGGAGTGCCACCCAGCCCCGCTCCGCTCCCAGCTCTGCTCCGGCCCCACTTCCAGACCTGACCCCAGCTCCTGGTCCCATGCCCAGCCCCACCCCCAGCCTCCAACCATGGCACCACACCTGGTTGCAGCTCTATTCCCAGACCCAGACCTGCCCCCAGCTGTGGCCCCAGCCTCAGCCCCCTTACCCATTTCTGCGTTTCCCCATCCCAGGAACCGCAGCCACACTCCCAGCCCCAGCTCGGAGCCGGGGGTGGGGGTGGGGGGGATGAACAGGGGTAAGGGGGGGGATGACCCTTAAAAATTTGGGGACCACTTGTGTAAGATTTTTTTAGTCACAAAATCTCACTATGAAATAATGTGCTCTGATAGTCAAAATCTTCATATGACACAGGTAGGAAGTAAATATTTGAACCCACCTCATTTTTTGAAATGTGCGCATCTGGGCTCACTTTTCGGCCAATGAGTTGCATAGCTTTTAAAATAGATGTTTCAAGCTCCTTCTGGGATTTTTCAAAATTGATCATGACCTCCTTTTTTGACAGAGTCTCTTCAGATTTGGGTGAGACAAGGTCTAGGTTATTCATGGTAGCCTAGGAAGAAAGCGACAATTTTTAGGGTGTGCATGAGTATTGTTAAAACAACTAAAATATTCCTTTATAACATGACTCAAGTTTCTCAGCTTTGGATATTAATTTTGAAATCTCTTCTCCTTCTGCGCCTGACAAGAGAAGAGTTGCTCAAATATTTTTAAAATATTTATATTTTACATGGACCCTAAAAGACGCTTTTCTAACCATTAAATACTACAGATAAGGATATCTGTGTACTGAATATGATAGTGATAGGGAACAAAGACCTGGAGTCTCTCTCTGACTTCTTTAATTCGTGTCTGTATCCCAGCTGTCTCAAAATCCGGGAGGGACACCTGGCTTGAAATATTACGTGTCAAAACTTGCAAGATTTCTTCTGCTGCAGCAACTTGTTCTTGGCACAAGGTTCTTCTGGCAATTAGGATCTGTTTAGATGAAACACAACAGAAGTCTTCAATATTAAATATTATGTATATCCTTTAGCTTTCGGAACTGAATTGAAAGGCAAGGATTGACTGAAAAGTAGGCAATATTTGGTTACATATGGACCACGCTTTGCAATTACAGGTCATTATCTTGCATTATCAACGTCTGGGGAGGGGGGAAGAGAAGAGTCTGGCGCCAACCAAAAAAAGAAGCAGAGAAAACAAGTTGTCAAGCCATCTAATTAATTCCATTGTGATGGGGTGTCCACTTCACACAAAACCTGAAGGGGTTAAGGTGGCTAGGTAGGCCAATTAACTGTCCACGCTGCACCTGAAGGAAGAGCCAGGGAGCAGGGATTAATTAAAGGAGGCTCAGCTGGATGGGAACAGGAGGTGACTGTATGAAGCCCAGGAGCTGAGAGCAGCTGGAGGTTCAGGGAATTAGTCTGCAATCATTCCCTGGGAGAAGGGAGCTGTGCAGCTGGCAACCCCAGAGTGTGGGGCGAGCCAGAAAGACAGCAAAGGCTCAGGGGAAAAGCAGCAAGGCAGACCTTGGTTGCTGAAGAGAGGGTCCCTGAGCTGGAACCTGGGGTAGAGGGCAGGCCTGGGTTCCCCTACCAGCCACTGGGGAAGTGGAGATCGGACTACCTGGGATAGTTCATGCTGAAAGACTTTGATACCCCAGGAGGTGAGGACTATAGTGACCTGCCTGGAGGGCCAAGTCATGAAGAGGAAGCTGCAGCTCCTGGAGTGAGAGGAGTGGAGAGAGCGCCAGAGGAGGGCACAGCATCTGGAAGGAGCTAATCCCTAAAGTGACCCGGAGGAGATGCCCCTAGCAGTGAGTGGACCCTGTGACATCCATACGCATATTTGACTTGTACTTAACTTTTGTGATTGTACTTCTATCACTACTTTATATGTTACATTTCTTTGCCTAACCTTCTATTTTAAAGTATTTTTTAAAATAAGCTTGTATACATACAGCCTAGTAACTGAACATACAAAGCGCACATCTGCATGTGCATTGTCTGATCATGAAAATGTGTACACACAGCAGTAACTGTTTCATGTGAGTAGTCCCATTAAAATAAACAGGAAGTCTCATATAAGCAAAGTTACTCACGTGTATATTTGCTTGCAGAATAGAGCCCCAAATGTGCACTCAGCTGTTCAGAAAACATGCTTGGATATTTTGAAAGCACAGCTTACACCACTGGGTTTTGATATTTATCACTGTGTGTCTTTACGAGAGCTGTTCTGATCTATGAATATTCACCTCATTTTCAAACTATCCATTACCATTCCTCTGATGATGATCTATGCTTTATTAAAAATTTCTCTAAGTGAAACAAAAACTTGATCTTGTATAATCATGGGGGACATTGTTACAATCTTATTGAAACACAACTCATAGAAATTTAAGAGCATTTTTGTCACCTTCACATTTTTAACAAGCAAATGTCACACTGAGAATGGGATTTAGTTTATATACATGCACACAATTCTGAAAATTCGTGTACACTCTTTTAACATGCCCATACCTCCTAATACTGTAGACTTTACCCAAAGCAGGAGTGCATAATCTCTAAGTAAAATAACCCTGGGACTAAAAACAAAGATCTTTGCAACTACACTGAGGACTCTTTCCCTCTTTACAGAGTGGATGTTTGAATCAATTTCCCACAGGGTCAGATACATAAAGTACAGAGCAGGCAGCTGATTCACACCCCTGCCAGATCTCTACAGGTCCCCTTTCCAGCCAAGCAGGACTGATGGGATAAAGTGCTTCCTCCCCAGGGGATAAATGCATTGCCTTTGCAGTAAATATTATCACCAGCATTCATCACACTCTCACTTCATTCATTTGCAGGGTATTAGTCAGCAGGGAGTACTGGACAGGGAGTGTGCTGGATTACTGAGGGGGCCGAAGGGTCTTTATCACACAACTGTAACCCGTTGAAGAATGGGACTGAGATCCTTCTTTAAATTGTGATTGTAATCTGGGAGTGACGATGTTTGAGGGGAAAAGCAGTTACCATGATGGGATATTCAGGACTCTGACAGGAGCCATCCTGAAAAATAATGTTAGACAACTAACCTAGTCCTAGCAACATTACAGCACCTTCTTCCCTTACTTAGCCATTTATTAATACAAAATACATCCTTATTCCTGCTTCATTTAACACAAGCCATTGAATTCATAACTCAGGTCTGAGAATCTGATGACTGGATAGATATTTTAAACTTTATATTTACATTTCTACCTGTAAAGATTGTTCCGTTGAGCTTCCCACGCATCCTTCACGTTTGATGGTCTCAAGAAGGCATTCTGTTCCCGTGGCCCAGTTTTCTACTCCTTTGAGCAGCTCTTCAATTTTCTCCACTCTGGGCAGAAGCTCAGTGGCCTGTTCAGTTACACCTGCATTCTTTTCTCTAAGCTGAGAACATGGAATATTTAGAATCTTAGCAAAGTCAGTATTTGTAAAATGCTCAGAATTTCCTTCTCCCCCCACCCTACATTGCAAGCATTTAATCAGCCTATGGGCTACTTTCTGGCTTTCACTCTGTGACCTAAGATCTCCTTAATGCCAACTGACAAGGGGGCATAATGGGGTTACAGGAATCTCCTGATTCTGGTATGCACATTCTGGGTCACCAAAGAATGGCATGTGAGGTCTCAAATGAAAGGTGGCGTCACTCTCATCATCAATATCATTGTGCAACGTATGTACAGGTGCTGTGTATAAACTGAAAATATGTTTTTAAAGTCTGTATCAAGGTACTAGTCACCAGAAAAGGTGAAAAACAGCCTATCTGTTCACATGTAACTTGAGTATTTTCTTGTTCACAGTGGATCCCCTCACCAGTCTTAACTGAATGCGAATGAAGGATTGTAAGAAAGAACTTCAGAAAGAATCTAACAGGAAAAGAAAGGCAGCAGGAGAAGAGAATCTTATCTTGAGTGTAGGACAGCACATTTGCTTCATGAAAGAGAAGTCTCAACCAGCCTTGGTTGAGAATTCTGGAGAGAAGTTTGGTTCAGATACTCTTTTTTTAGATAAGAGAGTAACTTGTCAGTTAAGTATAGGCTCTAGAAAGCATGTTATGATTTTGTTTAATATGTACCCATTTCTTTCCAATATTCTTACTCACTATTACTTGAATTTCTATTCTGTGATAAACTATTCTTGTTTTCACTATAATTATATCTAAGTGCTATGGTGATAAGCAAAGTGCTGGTCCTCAGTTGACTCTTACAGGCCGGGGAGTTCTGTCCCTGTGGGAATAGCAGGCCTGTAATTCTGTAAGTGTTCTGGGGAACAGGAGCTGAACACTGGCGAGAACTCTGAGTACTCAGGGGTTACTGTGTGCCGATCGCTACCTGTACAGAGAGAGAGAGACCTGTGAACACCTGGGAGGCCGTGCTTGTGCTGTCACATACAGTTTCAGGGAGCTGATCTACAGCAGGCAGAGACAAGACTACTTCACGCTAAGAGCAGGTAGTGATGAGGTGCCTCACAGCCGTGGGTACCCCTGGGGACCATCACATACACCCCGAGGAGCATAGGGTGGAAGCTGGGAATGAAGTGGAGATGTAGTGCCCAAAAAAGTGGGGCTGTATATTCAATAGATAAAACTACCCAAATTTAAGTGCTGATATACTGATTAGAATATAGGAGTACTCTTTACCTTTGCATTCTGAATATGTTTCTTGCTAGCCTCTGTTGATATATCTGCTGTAGCACTGCATGCAGTTGGCACTGCCTCTGCAGGAGGCTGCGAATTTCCATTACTGTCAACAACTGACTTCTTTTGCTCTTCTTGCATTCTCAGTAATCTCATCTCCTGTTAAAAGGTTGTATAGCATTTGATACTATCATTTATTTTTGATCATTTATTGGCACAACAGTATCATTAATAAATGCACTTTTTAAGGGCTCATCTAGAAAACTGAAACAAGGAGCTCTAGTATATTCTCAGCCATATACACCATTGCATTCAATGCTAATAGAGTTCTAAAGGACTTTTACAACTGGGAACCTGTTCGTATTGCTTGCTTCACCCGCTCCAAAATGGATAACACTGAATTGTATGAAAGATTATTGATCTGTAAATAACAACCGATAATTATACTGTTAAAAATACAGCTGTGCTTTTGAAATCTACATAACAAAATGATCCCATGAAAGTAAACAGAGCTGCGGTTACTTACAAACTGTGTTCTCTTTATAAATTTAGCCCATCTTGTGTTCAGTTTTTTCAGTTCTTTAGAAATATCTGATCCCACTTGCTCATTGCTGACTTCAATTAAGAAGTTTCCAGCTTCATTTAATGTACCATGCACCGAGTTCCAGTCTGCCAGAATCTCAGTGGGGACCTATAGAGATGCATTGAAAGGATTAAAGACCCACCATGCAGTTCTTTAATATATTTCCCAAAATAATAATAATAATTTGCACTTATAAGACTTCAAAGTGCTTTAAAAAGGTGAACAAGTATCTTTATGCTTAATCACAAGGAGACATTCAATCAAATACCTTTTTAGGATGTCCTTTTCGTGTTTCGTCCAACCATGTCTTCAGTAAATGAATGTTCTCCATATAAGTAGCCCAAGAACACAGAACTTTTTGTAGGATAGTGTTTACATTGTAAATATATTCTCTGCATGTAGAAATCTTAGAGTCTACCATCTTAAATAGTTTACCAGTGTCTGAAGGATCACCAGCTAGAATATTAAATACATGATAAAACAGATGTTAGAAATAGACATTAATTCATATTAATAATTTCAAAATAATATTAAGCATATTTCTCAATTCCTTGGAAACTGCCACAATAGAGAAGTGAATCCTTCCTCCTCTGGGTGCTGAAGGGGATTATTATTAACTGTTTGGAAAAACATAAACCAACTAAACAAAACCAACGTTCTGCAGAAAATAAAAGAGGGGTAGCTATGTTAGTCTGTATCCCACAAAAACAACGAGGAGTCCAGTGGCACCTTAAAGACTAACAGATTTATTTGGGCATAAGCATTCGTGGGTAAAAAACCCACTTCTTCAGATGCATGGAGAATTCTTCCATGCATCTGAAGAAGTGGGTTTTTTACCCATGAAAGCTTAGGTCTAAATAAATCTGCTAGTCTTTAAGGTGCCAATGGACTCCTCATTCTTTTATTTTTTTAAAAAAACAATCAGGAATTTAACACATTAATAATGATCCGTTTAAAGCACAACTCTTATTAAAGTACTATATTATTTGCATTCACTTACCTAAGACATTCGTGCTTATGTTTTTGTTTTTCATGTCTTCACATATTTGAAAAGCAGTTTCTAGTTGAGCTATGACTCCTCTTTCTTCAATAAAATCCTGGCCAAAGTTAAAGGGAATTGAGATAGGTAATACTGACTGACATAAAAATATGTAGAAAATTCAGTTTGTGATCAATTAATTTTTAGAACATGAACCCAGAAGATACAGGCCAAACATAAACAAAGCAAAATCAAGTTACTTTCACTGCATCCCATCCCCCACCCTTTGTATGAATTATGCCTATTATAGGGCCTGATCTTGCAAACGGTTACTTCTGTAAGTAATCCTAACTCATGCATTGAGAGTTTGTCTACACAAACACTTAGGGTATGTCGACACTAGAAGCACTGTTTTAGTGTAGACAATTACTACATTGACCTGGCACTGTCTACTCTGGCACTTAGGTCGGCTTAACCAAAAATATCGCAAAGTGTGAATTTTTCACACCCCTGAGTGATATAGCTAGCGTGACCTAAAAGCTGTCTACTTTAGGCATAGACCAGCCCTCAGTTTGCAGCAAGCTGGGGTATGACTCTACCCCACACCAACCTGCCATGGAATAACTGTCTGTGTAGACCCTGCTGAAGCACAGTAATAGTTCACTGATAAGCGTTGATCGAGTCCCATTTCAAAGAGGATTAGATCAAAGGGCATTAATAAACAGTTAATGCATGTCACCAGAGTCTATACAGTTCGTCCCCAGCAGGCTAGTGTGGGGTAGGTTCACACCCCAGTTTACTGTGAACAAATTGTTCATGTAGACAAACCCTCAGGCCATTGACTCAAAGAGGCCACAGTACTTGCCTGAGTCAGGATAAGTCATTTCAGAATTAAGTTCTCAGATCATAAACTCCTTGGGGAAGGTGTTTGTTTCCAATAAGCCTGGAAAGTGCCATGAGCACCTATGGCACTACAGAATTAATACACAGGACTTCTGGTTTGGGGGGTTTATTAAGTTCATTTTTTAGGATTTACTTTTTGCAATTTTTGAATTGTATGTAGATGTCCAAAAATCAAGGGGTTTCATGACTTTGTTACTATATACTATATGTTTCCTAGTGCACTTTAACACAGTACTGTTTCAAACAGCACTACATCTATGCACACTAGGGAACCTTTGGTGTGCACCAGCAGGATCAACATGGTCCAATTAATGAGCAACCCTTAGTGTACTTTAGAAATCACACCCCCACAGTCTGCATTACTGCTCTGTATAGACAATCTCTTAAATACAAGTAACAATTTTTGGTGTTTTTCTGATGTTTATTGAATAAACATGGATTTTTTTTAATATCAGGTATGTTTTACTGCTGCTTATCAGTTAAAACCAAAAATCAAAAGCCCAATAATATATTATAATAATAAATCTGTGTTAACAATATACCAGATGAATCATAGAATATCAGGGTTGGAAGGGACCTCAGAAGGTCATCTAGTCCAACCCCCTGCTCAAAGCAGGACCAATCCCCAATTTTTGCCCCAAATCCCTAAATGGCCCCCTCAAGGATTGAACTCACAACCCTGGGTTTAGCAGGCCAATGCTCAAACCACTGAGCTATCCCTCCCCCCAAAAACTGGAGCCAGATGAAACTGACAAAATCCAAGAAATTCAGAGTAAAGGCTACATTTCAATTTTCAACCCACCATGTTATGGGTTATTATTGCTGATGTCTTCAAGAATAGTGTGATTTTACCCAACATGTTGCCCCATCCTGCACTTCTAATGCAGGTAAAATTCTCCCTGTTTGTAATTGGAGCATTGCCTGTCTAAGGACTGTAACGTTGAGCCTCATATGTGCTGTAATAACCAGCCACAAAATGGGAGGTAAGCACAAAATGCAATCAGAGTCAACTCATCCACAACGAGGACCATAAGGATATGTGCATATTGGGAAGGAAGAGCTGCTGAGTATCACTCTCTGGGAGTAGCAGGTGGTGGCAGACGGCTTCTACATTTGGAGTCCTGCTGCTGCAGAATTGTGACCACCTGCTGTCCTGCGCAAGAGGGTTGTGAATTTGAGGCAGGGAGTGGGCTGATATTGCTGACCCTCGCATACTACAGGAGGAAAGGAGGCTAGTCAACTGCCCCCAAAGACAATGACAGAAGAGAGGTGGCCACAGATAATCACATCATCAGAAGAGAGAGATAGATGGGGGAGAAAGGGGAGTATTCAGGGCCTGTCATGGAGAAGGTATCTTGGCTCATGGCTTTTGCTCAAAATCCTGCGAAAACTCATCATTTGCATAGGATTTGGACTCACAATCAGATGAAACTCGGTGGTTTGGACTGAGTTTTGCTTTGAAGTTCTTGGTTTCAAATGAAATTGAAGCTTAAGAGTGAAATCACTCTCAGTGGATCCAACAAAAAAAAGCACCACTGAATCCAGGCCTGAGCCAAACCAGAGTGTTTTATGAAACTCTGGGAAACTGTAACTGGAAAAGAGAGACTGAAAAAGAGATGGAGGGAGGAAAGAAATGCAGCATAAGGTGTATTATTGTAAACACTATCCACACTGGCAGGGTCCATTCTAGTGTAAGATGATGGTCATAATCACATGGTCACATTTAGCACAGTGTGCATGGCATGAGTACAACAGCCTTTGATAATTTATTTTAATGAGCAAAATTAACTAGCTTCAGAAAGGGGGTTAGTCCTTCATCACTCTGTGTGCTTCTCCTTGCTGCACAGTGACAAACTGCTGGACACTGTTATCCCAAGTGCTTATATACGAATGCACAAAGCCTTGGAAACAAGCAGGGAGAACTGGAGGTCCTGGTGATGTCAAGGAATTATGACATGATTGGAATAACAGAGGCTTGGTGGGATAGCTCACATGACTGGAGTACTGTCATGGATGGTTATAAACTGTTCCGGAAGGACAGGCAGGGCAGAAAAGGTGGGGGAGTAGCACTGTATGTAAGGGAGCAGTAGGACTGCTCAGAGCTCCGGTACGAAACTGCAGAAAAACCTGAGTGTCTCTGGATTAAGTTTAGAAGTGTGAGCAACAAGAGTGATGTAGTGGTGGGAGTCTGCTATAGACCACCGGACCAGGGGGATGAGGTGGATGAGGCTTTCTTCTGGCAGCTCGCAGAAGCTACTAGATCGCACGCCCTCGTTCTCAGGGGGGACTTTAATTTTCCTGATATCTGCTGGGAGAGCAATACAGTGGTGCATAGACAATCCAGGAAGTTTTTGGAAAGCGTAGGGGACAATTTCCTGGTGCAAGTGCTAGAGGAGCCAACTAGGGGGGGCGCTTTTCTTGACCTGCTGCTCACAAACAGGGAAGAATTAGTAGGGGAAGCAAAAGTGGATGGGAATCTGGGAGGCAGTGACCATGAGTTGGTTGAGTTCAGGATCCTGACACAGGGAAGAAAGGTAAGCAGCAGGATACGGACCCTGGACTTCAGGAAAGCAGACTTCGACTCCCTCAGGGAACGGATGGGTAGGATCCCCTGGGGGTCTAACATGAAGGGGAAAGGAGTCCAGGAGAGCTGGCTGTATTTCAAGGAATCCCTGTTGAGGTTACAGGGACAAACCATCCCAATGTGTAGAAAGAATAGTAAATATGGCAGGCGACCAGCTTGGCTTAATGGTGAAACCTAGCGGATCTTAAACATAAAAAAGAAGCTTACAAGAAGTGGAAGGTTGGACATATGACCAGGGAAGAGTATAAAAATATTGCTCGGGCATGTAGGAATGAAATCAAGAGGGCCAAATTGCACCTGGAGCTGCAGCTAGCGAGAAATGTCAAGAGTAACAAGAAGGGTTTCTTCAGGTATGTTGGCAACAAGAAGAAAGCCAAGGAATGTGTGGGCCCCTTACTGAATGAGGGAGGCAACCTAGTGACAGAGGATGTGGAAAAAGCTAATGTACTCAATGCTTTTTTTGCCTCTGTCTTCACAAACAAGGTCAGCTCCCAGACTGCTGCGCTGGGCATCACAACATGGGGAATAGATGGCCAGCCCTCTGTGGAGAAAGAGGTGGTTAGGGACTATTTAGAAAAGCTGGACGTGCACAAGTCCATGGGGCCGGACGAGTTGCATTGGAGAGTGCTAAAGGAATTGGCGGCTGTGATTGCAGAGCCATTGGCCATTATCTTTGAAAACTCGTGGCGAACGGGGGAAGTCCCAGATGACTGGGAAAAGGCTAATGTAGTGCCAATCTTTAAAAAAGAGAAGAAGGAGGATCCTGGGAACTACAGGCCAGTCAGGTCACCTCAGTCCCCGGAAAAATCATGGAGCAGGTCCTCAAAGAATCAATCCTGAAGCACTTACATGAGAGGAAAGTGATCAGGAACAGTCAGCATGGATTCACCAAGGGAAGGTCATGCCTCACTAATCTAATCGCCTTCTATGATGAGATTACTGGTTCTGTGGATGAAGGGAAAGCAGTGGATGTATTGTTTCTTGACTTTAGCAAAGCTTTTGACACGGTCTCCCACAGTATTCTTGTCAGCAAGTTAAAGAACTATGGGCTGGATGAATGCACTATAAGGTGGGTAGAAAGTTGGCTAGATTGTCGGGCTCAACGGGTAGTGATCAATGGCTCCATGTCTAGTTGGCAGCCGGTGTCAAGTGGAGTGCCCCAGGGGTCGATCCTGGGGCCGGTTTTGTTCAATATCTTCATAAATGATCTGGAGGATGGTGTGGATTGCACTCTCAGCAAATTTGCAGATGATACTAAACTGGGAGGAGTGGTAGATACGCTGGAGGGCAGGGATAGGATACAGAAGGACCTAGACAAATTGGAGGATTGGGCCAAAAGAAATCTGATGAGGTTCAATAAGGATAAGTGCAGGGTCCTGCACTTAGGATGGAAGAACCCAATGCACAGCTACAGACTAGGGACCGAATGGCTAGGCAGCAGTTCTGCGGAAAAGGACCTAGGGGTGACAGTGGACAAGAAGCTGGATATGAGTCAGCAGTGTGCCCTTGTTGCCAAGAAGGCCAATGGCATTTTGGGATGTATAAGTAGGGGCATAGCGAGCAGATCGAGGGACGTGATCGTCCCCCTCTATTCGACATTGGTGAGGACTCATCTGGAGTACTGTGTCCAGTTTTGGGCCCCACACTACAAGAAGGATGTGGATAAATTGGAGAGAGTCCAGCGAAGGGCAACAAAAATGATTAGGGGTCTGGAACACATGACTTATGAGGAGAGGCTGAGGGAATTGGGATTGTTTAGCCTGCAGAAGAGAAGAATGAGGGGGGATTTGATAGCTGCTTTCAACTACCTGAAAGGTGGTTCCAGAGAGGATGGTTCTAGACTATTCTCAGTGGTAGAAGAGGACAGGACAAGGAGTAATGGTCTCAAGTTGCAGTGGGGGAGGTTTAGGTTGGATATTAGGAAAAACTTTTTCACTAGGAGGGTGGTGAAACACTGGAATGCGTTACCTAGGCAGGTGGTAGAATCTCCTTCCTTAGAAGTTTTTAAGGTCAGGCTTGACAAAGCCCTGGCTGGGATGATTTAATTGGGGACTGGTCCTGCTTTGAGCAGGGGGTTGGACTAGATGACCTTCTGGGGTCCCTTCCAACCCTGATATTCTATGATTCTATGATGATCATAAATAAAATTTTCATTCCATAGTTGTTTGCAGTGTTGTTATAGCATGTTGGTTCCAGACATGAGAGAGACAAAGTAGGCAAGGTGATGTCTTTTATTGGACCAACTTCAATTGGTGGAAGAAGGTACAAGCTTTAGAGCTACACAGAGCTCTGTACCTTTCCACCAGTAGAGGTTGGTCCAACAAAATATATTACCTCACCTACCTTGTCTCACCTTTATTGCAGTCTGAAGTGTATTTTAGTTATATGAGGCATACACATATCTACAGCAAAATGGGAAGATGAACATGGTGATAGCAAGGCCTTTTATAAAGATACAGGTTCAACCTGAAACCCACCCTCCTTTGCATAAATCTCAAATTGCCTCCAGCCACGAGAGTCCATGCTGGATGGAATTAGATCTAAGGCTGTATCCAAGAGGGCAACTACCGCTGGTTTAAATTGGAGAACAGTTGCCAAAAATATTAACTATTTTTAAGCTTACATGCCAATCTCTCAGCAATAACTCCACAGATTCCTTAGTCCCATATTTGATATCCCTGATATTTAACTTTAATGTCACTTCATCCGAGATAGCGGAGCACAGGCAGAAGTGGTATTCTAGAAGTATGCTGAAGTTTGTAGACTGGATATTGCTAAATCTGGAAAACAGTAAGAGTTTTGGAATTAAACTGGACATAATGAGGCATTCATTTACAGAGACCGACCTCTAACCTAAAAATTACCCGAATTCCAGATATCATATGTAAACACAGTTCCTACTGTTGAAGAGGAAAAAAATTTCTAAAATATGTAGGGTTAATTATTTAAATGAGTAATGATTTGGGCACCTTAATTTTTGGATGTCCAATTTAAGAAACCTTAAAAGGGGCTGATTTTCAGAAAGTTCAGAGCATTCACTGTCTGAAAATCAGGCCCTTGAAAGGTGTCTCTAGTTCAGCACACAAAATCACTGGTCACTTTCGAAAATGTAGGCTTTAAACTGCATGATGATACCCTGATCAGCATAACTGAGATGGAACAAAACAAATTTGAAGTGTTTCAGAATTTACGCAAGCTCAATATAACGGTTAATTTTTAATGAGAAGATTAAAACTAATATTCCCCTACTAACTCATCTTCTGTTTTACTTGAAACAGTCTCACAATCCTCATACACCAAACCACCACTTCCTTCCTCCAAAACCTACATCAAAACACAATTTTTTCACAAAGGTTTTCAAAATTGATCTCTGCAAAATCCTTACTCCAGTTTAAAGTCATAACAATGCCCATCTTACTACTAGCATGTGGCTGACATGCTTTGCCTGTGTTTGTACTACACAGTAATAAACTCCTTGAGGTAGGACCATGTTTTTGTATACGTTTGTAGAACACAGAGCACACTGACAGTGCTCAATAAATAATAAACTCAGAAATGGCAGAATGATGCAGTCCAGTTTTGAGCTAAGAGCAGACTTTGTCAGATGCAAGTTTTTAATTATTTAATAATACTTTGTACTTATAGTGCTTTCATCTGTAGATCTGCACATGATTTTAAAAGATGGGTAAGTATCATTATCCTTATTTCACAGATGGGGAAACAGGCACAGAGAAGTGATATGACAAGATCCTGCAGCAAGTCAGTAGCAGAGTTGGGAACAGACCATTTATGCTTGTGCCATCTAAGTGCACAACAACTGAACACAGAAAACAAGTAATTGGAGTCTTTTTCCATAATGGTGCAAAACTTCCTAAAAATAATAATTTAACTTAATATGAATGTAGTCAACTCAAGTGCCCAACAGGGTAAATCTGAGAATTGCAACCTTCTTTTCATGTCATCTAGCTTGTCAGTTGGAACCAGTGGCATATTCTTCTCATCTTTATTCTCAAAGGATTGAAGGGTGACCAAGTGACAGTCAAAATAATCCATCAAGCCCTGGAAAAAAATATTATAATTAATATATTTCACTGCTAAGTAGTGTACTTGGGAATATACAATCCACTCCCATATTACAGTGGGAGCTATTAGGTAAACACATTTACCACAGGATCTCACTTCAGTTTTTATTCAGTACAGTATAAATGCATTTCCTACATTACCCCCAAATGTGAGTATTTACCAAGCATAGTAAAAACCTCGCCATGTTTCTATATATATAGGTAATATTGCATTAAGTCAATACTACCAGTGTTTGTTTACTTTTAAAGTCACCCTCTCCACATACTGTAGTGCAATATTACGTCTTTTCAAAGTATGAAGCTCTTGCTTTGCCACACGTTACACTGACAGCAAGACCTTGTAAATAAATACCTTTATTTTTAATTGTCTGTTACTGTAAAATCACTATTTAAAAAAACATTTATCCCATTGACAATATATTAACCTTTCGATGGCAGAAGTTGGAATTTTTGTGGCAAATCTCATGGGAACATATCACAGGTGCCAGTTGCCAAAAGCAACAAATTGAACATACATAGTACCCACAAAGATTGTCTCAGAATACTGCACAACATTCCCATATGAATATTAATTACAATATGGAATGCAGCATTCCTGCAAACTACTATTCAATACTTATGCCACCTGGGAATTGAAGGTGATAAAAAGTGTATGTCACAGATGAAGGGCACAGTTATAATTACACACAAAACAACTATGTTAGAATTAATCATGTAATTAAAGACTGTATCATAATATAAATGTACAATAGGGATAAATTAAGGTTGCACAGGCAACCTTAATTCTCACACTTCTTAATATGTCTTGCAACTTTAATACTGTTCTTTGAACATATTTTTATGTGTGATTTCCTAGTTTTTTTAAAAAACTGAAAAATACCTAACACATCAAATTGACATCATATTGACAACGACATAGGTCATAGCAGTGTTGGAAATAGAGCTGATCTGAAATTTTCCAGCAGAAAGTTTTCCCATTCTGGAAAATGCTGATTTGATAAAATCAAAACATTTTGTAGGAATGTGTTGATTCTGTTGAAATTTTCAACTGGAAATTACTGAAACATGGGCAAAACAACATATTTTCCCTATCCCATTCTCAGAAATAGCCAAACCATTTTGGCTGAAATTTAAAAAAAAAAAAAAAAAAAAAAAATTACACGTGGCAGAAACCCAGCATAGAAAATTACAGCTCAAACTATTACAGTTTGGCAAAGTTTTAAGCAACTGAAAACAGGGTCTTGTATTGGGAAGTGCTGGACAACCTTAATAATAGGCAGCACTACTAGCCCAATCTGTAATAAACCCTCCTACCTTCTCAAGCTTACAGACAGGGCACATCAAATAATCAGCCAACTTGGAATATAACCCAAATGACTGGTCATAAAAGACAAAAGATGATCATTCAGGTATTCTTTTAAGAAGCTTAAAATTCAAAAGAAAAACTTAAAAATAATATCAGACTTGGGCAGTCAGTGTAAAGATTTCATTACTGGAGTAATATGTTGTGACTTCCAAATATCAGACTACATTCTGTTGTTTTTAAAGCCCCAAGCTGCCAAATACTTAAGCAAGTGCTTAACTTTAGGCACATTAAGTTCCACTCAAGTCAGTGGAATTTAGCCATGTGCTCTTCTGAACAGGGATGGACATAAGTATAGATGTAAGGATTAGTATTGCTTATTTGCTTTGCTGACCCAGGGACTAAATTAGTTGCAGGAACCATGCTCTGGGGTGGGGCTAGGGATGAGAGGTTTGGGGTGCAGTAGGGTGCTTCGGGCAGGGATTGAGGGGTTCAGAGAGTGGGAGGGGAATCAGGGCAGAGGCAGAGGTTTGGGGTGTCAGGGGGTGAGGTCTCCAGCTGGGGGTGCGAGCTCTGGGGTTGGGCTGGGGATGAGAGGTTTGGGGTGCAGAAAGGTGCTGCAGGCTGGGACCAAGGGGCTCAGAGGGTGGGAGGGGGTCAGGGGTGTGGTGCTTGGGGTGGGGGCAGCATGTGGAGTGGAGCCCCCGGCTGCCCCTACACATAGGAGCCGGAGAGGGGCCATGCCACTGCTTCCGGGAGCCACATGGAGCGGCCCCTGACCCTGCTCCCGGCTGGAGCACCAAAGTGGGGCAAGCCCCAGACCCCGCTCCCTAGCGGGAGCTCGAGAGCTGAATTAAAACGGCTGGTGGGACAGATGTGGCCCGCAGGCAGTAGTTTGCCCACCCCTGTGCTAATATGATGAAAACACATTAATTTACTCACTCCATCAAGGCTTTCTCTTACATCTCACCCCCATAAAGTCAAAAAATTTTCCTACAAAACTCTTTATTTATCTGGTTACCCTGCCATTGTTCAAAATCAACAGCTGCTACCAAAGGCATCTTTAGAAGTACATATATTCTCCAAAAGAAATCAATCCAGTGACCACATTCCCTCCCAAAAACTAACATCACTTCCATAGTAGGTGCTTTAGTGGGTCAGATTTAACAGTCTTTTTCTGTTTAACAAACCTTAAATAATATAATTTTTCCTTTGAAGAGGGCCATTGCTTTACAGTGGTCCTGCGAATCAGGTAAACCATCTGCCAGCAGATGTTCTACCTCTTGGAGCCAGACCTCGATGCTGTCTAGAGGTGGGGGTAGTGCACGGTCCAGCTTTGTTTTCCATTCATTAATCTAAAAGGCAAATACAAGTCAATGGTAAAATCTCTCTGTTTATTTCTTACCCTATTCTCAGGGGATGAGTAAGATTATTATATTTAATACTTGTTAATCTAACATTCTAACTACCTCACAGACAAATTTTGCGATCAGTAGCAAGCAGGTAGTTCCCACAGCAGTCAAATGGGAGTCATTTGGGTGCATTCAAGATCAGAATTTTCTCCCCCGCTTGCAATCTTCTTGGTGCTACAGGGAATTGAGCAGTTTTTGTCAACATACGATGACTAACAAAGTTTTGTCACAGGGAAATTTACCCAAAGTTAGTGACACCTTGACAAAAGACTTCTATCATGAATAATGTGCTCTGACTGTCTTTCCACCACTGCGGACCAAAAGTATCTGATCCACAGTAGCCACTGATCAAGCAGGGAGATACTTGGCATAGAATCATAGAATATCAGGGTTGGAAAGGACCTCACGAGGTCATCTAGTCCAACCCCCTGCTCAAAGCAGGACCAGTCCCCAACTAAATCATCCCAGCCAGGGCTTTGTCAAGCCTGACCTTAAAAACCTCTAAGGAAGGAGATTCCACCACTTCCCTAGGTAATGCATTCCAGTGCTTCACCACCCTCCTAGTGAAAACGTTTTTCCTAATATCCAACCTAAACCGCCCCCACAGCAACTTGAGACCATTACTCCTTGTTCTGTCATCTGCTACCACTGAGAACAGTCTAGATCCATCCTCTTTGGAACCCCCTTTCAGGTAGTTGAAAGCAGCTATCAAATCCTCTATAAGAATCCTCATTCTTCTCTTCCGCACACTAAACAATCCCAGTTCCCTAGCCATTCCAATCCTTAGTTCAGGGACAGTTGACATGAGCAAGCTCATTACCGAGTACTATCCAATTAACAGTCCTGCTATGGCAGAGTTGGATAATGGAGGAAGGCCACCCATGCCATGGAAAAAAAATATCTCATCAGCTACAGACTCTATTGCTCGCTCTTTTCTCTGCTGCTTCATTATTTTAACCCTAATGATGTCAAACCGAACATTTTAAGCAGAGATCAGCCCAAAACTCTGCATCTGAATGCTGCTAAGCTCAGAGGACGATCAGATCAAGATCATGCTTTGCATGCCGCTGGCAGCCCTAGGATCAGATAGGCATAAAGAGAGCCACATTTGTCATCACCCTCCTCTAGCCACAAACTCCCAACTCCACCCCCACACCTTTGCAGCCCTGCACACCAGGCCCAGCTCAACTGGACCTCAGGATCATGGCCAATACCTCAGTATAGTGATTCCTCCCCCTCCCCAAAAAAGGAGAAAGATAATTATACTACAGTATAAATTTCTGGGGTGAGCTTTATCGTCTTCATAGAATGTGTTCACATTAATAACAAACAGCAGCTAGAAATACTTCTGTAACCTGGGAGGTTAGGTTATCCCATGTTGCTCTCATCCGTTTCTGATCTTCATTTAGCTCAGGCACACTTCTTTTTGAAGACAACACTGGCAGAAAGGGTCTTTTCTCTTCATTAAACAATTCCATAAATGACAGCATTTCCTAGGGTTAAAATGGGAAGGCAATCTATAGTGGAAAACTACCACATATAATAATTCCTAGAACCAGATATTACTGTTGGAGGTGAATTTCTGACTCCCATTTACTTCAGTGGGTGGTCCAGATAAGGAATGATGGAATGATAAAACCACTGAGGTCAATGGGAATCAGGCACCATCATCTAAGGGCAGTATCTGGGCCTTACAATATAACACTGTATCTGAATTTTTATTTAATATCATGTTTATACATTATTCCCAAGCAAATGCACAGTAATATCTCTAACTTTTTCTACTGCTATAACTATTCAACTGTACTGAGAAAAATATCTTGTCTGAGACTAGGCATAGTCAACATGGGGAACTGTGAAGGATAGGAGGATATTACATGTTAGATACAAGGCCAAAGTGTGCCACACAGATGTTGCCCAACTGGGGTGGAAACATTTTAAAATCTGTTACTTTTGCATTTTGACTGTCAATGCATAGACTGTCAAGAGGGAAGTCAGACCAGCTGCAGAACATAGAGTAAATCTAGCCTGGCTGACTCTGCATGGAACTTAAATAAGAGGAAGAGAAGAAAACACTCCTCCCTGCCTATTATAATATTCAATCACTTGTTTTCAGTCAGACTTTGTATGGGTTCATGTTCTCTCAGGGGCAAATTGTGACTATCACCCCACTATTAGTGTAGAGGGCCCTGGATTCAGCAAAACCACCAGCAAGGGAAACCACTGCACAGGGACTGCAAGTCCCATACTCTTCCAGAAGTACAGCTCCATGGGGTCTCCCTGATGGATGACTGGTTTGGGGGCAGGCTACGGCAAGTGCGGTATGTGGATCCACTGGCCATTCTTCCCCTGCTCCTAAAGAGGGCAGAGAGCAACACCCATTAGGGGTTGCTGCAGCTTGAAGCTGCAATAGCACTCACTGTGTGGAGAAGGGGATAATTACCTCTCTAATGGCCCCATAAATCTCCCTTCTACATACTCGGTTATCTGGGCTGTACAAATGGAGGAAGCCATTCCCCTAAGGCATGAGTAGCAGCTAACACTTCCAGTACCCCCTTCAGTGACAACAAACTGACGCAAGACCTACAGTATTATCACCACAGTAACTGACAAGCATATATCTACATTCCTCCTGGAGAGGGAATTTTATCTTAACGCTTCCTCCATTACTTTGGTTTATTTACCAAATCCAGTGACAGATTTGGGGGGAGGGGACGGTGTTAAATTTAAATCTTCAGATTGGACAATAACTTGAAAAGCTACTTTTGGGGGGCTTATTTTAATATTTCTCTTTGCAAATACTATCATATTCAAAAATGTCATTTAATGCTACTTACTTGAAATTTTCTATAGCAAGTTTCACTTTCTGTATCAACCAACAACTTTGTTAACTTCTTCTCTTGTGCAGTCAGCCAGCTCAAGGCCTCTTTTACTTTCCCCTGGTAATTGGAGCAGAAAATTCCATTTTTGCATTCTGCAAGTCTTATTTTTAGTTTGCATTGTGTCATAAAACAACACACTAGTGAAGCCTTCCCACTCACTAAAGGTCTGTTCCAAAGCCCATTGAAATCAGTGAAAAGACTCCCACTGATTTAATGAGCTTTGGATCAGGCTGTACAAATAGATGAAAGCTAAAATCTTCAAACCTGGTGCCAGAAGTTAGTTTCCTGAATACAGTAAGGCAGCTTGAAACAAGTAGCCAGACTTCAGGGTGTTACAGGAACGTTCTATCATATGTAAATTGTTGGTTAATAGATAAAGGTGCCGGTAGATGGCATTCAAGAATATACAGCATACATCCTGGGTTTTGTAGACCCAATAGAATTCTTGCTGTGCCCTTCAAATGGCTTTCTCTGGATGCTCTTTATATCAGCTTCCAACAAGAAGGATCTGGGTTGCTCAGCACTTTTGAAAGTCAGTCTACTTCTATCTAGGTACCTAGGTATAATTTTGGGAGCTTGCATTTAGGCAACCAGGTCAGAAAATGTTGGCTGGAATATTTATGGACATCTTAACTAACAAAAAAGTGAACTTTGCAACAAAGTTTCTGTCTACACTATTAAAAAAAATCTATCATGTTGGGGATTTTGGTTACAATAAAATAGGGACACACAAGGTTAGAATAAGCTCAGTTGTGTCACTGTAGACAAGATCACACCATGTTTTATAACTATGTTACTGAATCATGCTACAGTAGGAGTGGGCAAACTTTTTGGGCCAAGGGACACATCTGGGTGGGGAAATTGTATGCACGGCCAGGGCAGGGGGTTGGGGTGCGGGGTGTGGGAAGGGGTGTGGTGTGCAGGAACGGGCTCAGGGCAAGGGATTGGGGCAGAGGAGGGGTGCGGACTATGGGAGGGAGCTCAGGGCAGCAGGTGCGGGGTGCGACAGGGGGCTCAGGGCAGGGACTTGGGGTTCACGGGGGTGCAGGGTGCAGCAGGGGCTCAGGGCAGGGACTTGGGGGGCAGGGTGCAGGCGGGGTTCGGGCTCCGGCCCGACGCCACTTACCTAAAGCGGCTCTGGGGTGGCAGCAGCGCGCGCTGGGTCCAGGGCAGGCTGCCTGCATGCCTCCCCTGGTCCCGCACCGCTCCGGGAAGCGGCCAGCACCACGTCCCTGCGCGGCCCCGGGAGTGGGGGGGGCCCACACAGGGCTCTGGGGGCTGCCCCTGCCACTCCTCCAGGTACCTCCCCCAAAGCTCCCATTGGCCGCAGTTCCCTGTTCCAATGGGAGCTGCGGGGGGCGGTGCCTGGAGGCAAGGGCAATGCACAGAGCCCTCTGCCCCCCCCAGGTGCCTCAGGGAAATGGTGCCGGCCGATTCTGAGAGCAGTGCAGGGCCTGTGGCACCAGGGGGGGCAATCCCAAGGGCCAGATCCAAAGCCCTGAGGGGCTACAGGCTTTGCAAAGGAGGTGTTGAAATTCTCAGTCAGAGTTATGAAAAGCAAAAAAGTACACGCATTTGGCTTGGTTCAATGATAAAAGAAATGACATACCTGCATGTCTTCTTCAGCTACAGGTAAACTTCTGGAATATTGCAGAAACTGAGCTACATAAGTCATGATAGATTTTTCATCTGGACTGATAACATCGACATCTGTGAGAGGTAGCACACTATTAGCTCATTCCTGCATATTTCTCAGTTTGATTGTACAATTATATTCTACAGAGCAATCATGAAAATTTAGCAAATACAAATGAATTTATTTTCAGCTTTTCAGTTAAAATTTCACTGACAAAAAACAGTATTAAATGGATTTTTTTCCTCAGGAATACTGTAATACAAAACAGCAAATTAGAAAAGAAGCGGGCAATTGTTAATATTGTCATCATGCAGCTTTATATTTTTTCTTCTAAAGGATGTTCCTGTAATTGTTGCCAAGTCAAAACTCCTATTAATTCAGGTTTCCTATGAACTATTCAGCAAAGAACCTCAGGTTAGAACATTCTTACTTTTATCATAAAGATCAGTATGTCATTTTACCCCCCAGTCATCACAGTGATTAAACATTAAAAATTCTATTTAGGTACATGTACATTGCAAACGAAACCCCCAACAGCAAGTCTCAGACTCCAGCTCAACTGACTTGGGCTCATGCTACAGGGCATAGCAGCCCAATTAGGCTGGAGCCCAAGATCTGAGACCCACTCCCCTCACAGGGCTTTAGCCTGAGTGGGAATGTCTATACTGGTAATTTTAGCCCATAGCATGAGCCCTGAGCTTAAGTCCGTAGACCCAGGCTTTAGAACTCGCTGCCATAGATTTTTTTTGCGGTGTAGACGTATCCTTTGTTATGAACAGACACTGGTTTGACAGTATCAGCATCAGACCTTATACCAAGCGTATGCAAAACAGATCATTTACCTTCAGGTTCAAGAAGTCTTGGAATATTTAATTCATGTTCTGCAATTTTAAAAGCCTCCTTCAGATTTTCTTTGTTGGTTCTACCCTTTGCTCTGTCCATGTCAACTAAATCTGGTCTTAAAGCATGGATGATAGCTAAAAAAGCCAGTCCATTCCTCCAGCTTGATTGGAAATCTGCCACTTTGATAGATCCATGCCTGCCCCAAAATCATAAAGAATAAAATGTCATGTTCTGTTTTCTCAAAATATTTAATATTCAGTTATCAGTACAATGTAAACCATGTCAGACTGGGCCTAATCCAAATCCCACTCGAGTTACTGGGAATCTTTCCAATTCTGTGGAAGCTGAGTCAGCCCCATTATGCACGGTCAATATAATCAGTCCAACAAACTTAAAAACTGAAATATTTTTCATTGCTTAGTATCATGCTGCTTTTACTTCTTGCTATGTGCTGCAATGGCACTTGGATGACCAAATTTTCTTTTTTTTATTTATTACATTTAAGGCATCTATCAATGCCTTTTACAGCACAAAAAACAACAAGCCAATAGGAGTCAGGCATCTTACTACCTGAGGCCTTTTTGAAAATCCCAGCCTTAAATTTATTACATTACTTTTGGAAAGTTGTTGTTTTTCCAAAATGTTCAACTGAATTAGGACTAGAGAAATGAAAAAAATATTTAGAGAGGGATCCCACAATTTCTACAGTGCATCTGGTGTCTAGATGATACACTGATGTACATAGAAGATTCATCAGTTACAATGAGTCCTGAGAAAACAACTCCTCAAAAAACAGTTTGTGTATAGTGGATATGATGGTATGTGAACAGGGGTTAATGCAGGGTGTCATTGATCTTTCATGATTAAAACATGAGGGTCCATTGATTTAAAAACCAATGTTGGTCTTACATATATGTTATAGCAGTAACTGATATGTTAAACCCACTCTAATCGCAATCAAATAGATTATACCTTTTCTGAATAGACAGGCAAAAGAAAGATGATTAGGAAAAAGAGAGCTTTCATTTACATGCAAACCCCATAGCCTTAATAAAACAAATGAAAAATATAGAAAATGTAAGATTCAACTCCTGACAAGTCCCGTATATACATCCAGCAGAAAGCACCTGCTTTGCAGACGAACACTCTAACCTCCCACTAACATGAATGGAAGATTAGTGGGGTGACACCAGAAAAGGTAACCTGGAGAGCTAGAAAGAAAGGGCTGAGGTTTCGGTAATATTTTTTAAAATGTATTTGTGCGAGGCAGTGGCTTTTCAAGGAAATTCAAATGTAAAGCCCTGATCTTGCAAAATCATATGCACATGATTAGCTCTCTCATTTAAGTCAATGGAATGACCTGCCGTGTGTCAAGTGAAGCAGGTGTATAAATCTCTGTTGGAGCAGAGCCTGAGCCTTCTTAACTCTATAAAAAGTCCTTAGCTCATGAAACTCTCTCTTTTGGCTTGTGCAATGCTCTGGGGGGAAAATGCATGAACTGGGATGCTGATTCTTTTCTAGGCATTCTGCTTTTTTTTTTGTTCAACAAATTCTTGGACGATTAGTGTAACTTTGTTACTAAGAGAACCAGTAAATGCTAATCCAACAGGATTAAAACTGGCAAAGCATGCAAGAATTGCAGTAGGCACATTACACAAAGAATGGAGACAGCTGATAAAAAAGAAAGCCAAACAAGTCAATTTATTTATCAGTGTTTTCTTTGTAACGTTAGCTCCAACTTCTTATATTTAAAGGACGCACGTCAACATATTTACGCCCCAAATTTGAAATCAAAGCTTTGTTAGAATTGATGTGAAATGTCAACCAGATTCTAATGTGCTACTTCTTTGTTATACCTAGTAATCAATCACTAAGAAATTAAACAGACAAAATATAGCGCCTTTATAGGGTGACAGTAAAAATAAACATGAGATACAGTTTATACGCTTTCATGGTACTTACATTGAACATTGCTCCTTCACCCACAACAGGAGGGCCTTTTTAGCAGATATCTTCCACCGTTTCTTAACTTTACCTCTTTTTCTTGCCTGTGGGCTTGCAGCTGAAGATGAGTCGACAACGCTCGAACAATCAAGAGATGGCTGATTATAACTACTACCAAGGGTCCATGCAAGTTCTTCAATCTACCAGAAACAGGGGGAGAGTTTAACAATGTAAAAATCACTGTTCACACTTGCTCAGAAGAGGCTTGTCAGAGTGGCCCAGTTTAATTCCCCAAAGATTCTGTCTGCACTGAGCATGCTCCAGTCCAGGGTTGAGAAGAACCTTCCCTGTTGCAGCTCTGGGCTGCTACAGACTGGGCCAGGCCCAGGCACCAGACCAGAGAACAGATAGCTGTCTCTCCTGTGCACATACCTTCAGGCAGAATCTGGCCCATGATTTTAAACCAGTTATAAAAAAATATTGACATGCACATCACACTGTTGTCAATCATATCCTGCTCAGCTAACAGGGACCCTAGTACCCATTTCAGAGAAGCAGCTACAATGTACAATTAGAACATATTAGATGTTTCTTCTCTGAGCCAACACTTCAGACATACATTGTGCTTATGCATAATTCATCTCATTTTGTGACCATTTTATTCCACAATTTTTTGTATGTTTTTCTCTATTAAAAATACTTTCTCACATCACTGCAATACTTACATGAAAATGTAATATAATTGTCCAAATTAGGCCAAGCACAATGGAAGGTTTTCCTTCAATAATGTCAGCAACATGAATATTTATGACCTTGATCTGGAAAAAGAGGATCACTGTTAAAGAAGGAACATGTTCAACAAACTAAACTGGTGTGAAGAGTGAATTTTAAAGTTAACTTTAATACTCACTGATTTGTTCTTTAAAAATTTCAAGGCATTTTCTATATTGCTTCTGCACTGGAACATGTTACATCCTTTCTCCCGTGGCTACAAAGTAAAGCAAAAATATTGCTCTATCAGCTGTGACAATGTTTTATTTTAGATTGTTCACCAATAAAGGTCCAAATCCTGCAAAGACTGATGTCTGATTTTGCATCCATTGACACCAATGGCATTCCATTGACTTAAATGTTGCCGGGTCAAGACCCTTGTGAGCAGTCAGCTCAAGCACAGTGCCAGTAAGTTCTTGTTGCTTTAGCCCTTGCAACAAGGACAGCTGATTCTGAATGACAGAGCCTGCAAGCCATGAGACAGTTGTTCCTGGCAGTGGAAGGTGTGACAGGATACTCACCCCCTGACTCCAGTGGGACTGCTCACATGCTTACAGTTAAGCACATCCATAAATCTTTACAGGATTTAGGCCAAAGCCAGGATTTCATTCCTTTATTTTATCTTACCAGTTGTTGACCTGAAAGTACTTCCAGCAGGTCCAAGAGCACACGACCTTCTTTGACATCTGTATATAGATCTGAGATAACGGAAGGAGGAGTATGCTGCAAAAGTAATACATTTAGATGCAAGTTATATACTGAATTCTGAAATCATCGTTGAGCAAAATACCACTGAATGCTTTGCTTCTTTTTTTAAAAAAAAGTTTTATTTTTTTGCCCTCTTTTTTGTTCCACTTACCATTTTTCTGCTTATTTCAACAGAATGATATAGAAAATAGTTTTCTTTTAAAACTGAGGGCCCCAGTTCAAGAAAGCATCCTTGTTCAGGGAAGCACTTAAGTATATGCTTAACTTAAAGTAATTAAAGCCAATTAACTTTAAGCACATGCTTAAATGCTTTCCCGAATAAGGGTGGAATGAAGCACCCACTAAAGCACTTTCCTGTACTGGGGCCAAAATTATCATGTTTCTAGCTATGCCTTTAGGGAGGCTAAAAAGAGGAGGCTAACTCAGTTTTGATGCAAAATTTCCAGTAACTAATTTTGAAAAATATGAAGGTCAGAAAAAGCAGCTGATTAATGTTCTTGCTTTTCACCAATGAAGCCTAAGGTTTGAATATTGACTCTGGAGATAAATGAAAATGACCTCAATGTTGCTTGCTATTTGCAGACTTCATAAAACCACACTGTGCTCAAGAAGGGACCAGCACTGAAACAGTTCATTCGCCACAGGTCAGGACCAAAATGCATTGACAGAGCAGATTCGTGAAAGCTTACAAGTACCTGCCTCCTCTGCAGCCATTTCTGTTAATCCTTGACTTTCACTGAATTAAAACAATGTTTTAAAAGCATTCCAGTGTAGCACAAATATACAACAATAAAACAGCCTATGATAATGCCTATATAACACCACCAAAAAAACCCCCAACCAAACAAACAAAAACACCACACAAATATATAACCACACACACCCGTCTCTGCCATGTGCATGTTATTAAACATACCTTTCCAGGCTAATTTTCCCTGTTGAACCATGAATATTTAAATTTGTTTGGTTTATTCATTCTTTTACATTTTGCTCTCCAAAGTACAGTTCTAAATTTATTCACAAACAGCAGCAACATCAAAAAAACAACAACTTTGTTTAACATCAGTTAAGGTTGCTCTCCTCCGTAAACAAATCATAAAAAATTAGGAAATGCAAAGTAAAGGATAAAAAGTTTGTGAAGTGAAGCATTCTTGAGTTAGGAAATGCCAGAACGAACATTGATCATGCAATCTTAATTCAGCCCACTTGTGCATATGCATTACGATACAGTCATTAATTACATGATCCCATATTATTATTATTATTTTACACAGAACCCTGGTTTGTTCAGGGCGTAGGATGGATCTGCTCTGGGGATGAATTAGGATTGTGTAGTGAAGGAGCCTGTTGTCTGTAGGACCCCTGCCTCATTTGCTGCAGAAGTTGGTAGGTGTGTAGTGAATGAGCCAGAGGCCGGAGGAAAACAAAGGAAGGTCTTATGGTCAGGACAATTCAATGCCACCCTGAAGGCTTGGATTCTATCCCTGCCTCTGCAACAGAGTTCCTATGTGATGCTTGGCAAGTCAATTACACCAAACCGTTCACAAAGTCACTTCTGCATGTAATTAAAGACTATATAACAATCATACCACAGGGGCACTGAATTAAGGTTCCTTGGGCGACCTTCATTCTGGCATTTCCTAATTTGATAATGCTTGACTTTGCAATTTTTTAATCCTTTTATATCCTTAACTTTGTACTTCTTATTTTGTATGGTTTGTTTACTGAGGAAGGCAATCTTAAAGAATGTTAAACAAAAACTTTTTTGTTATTGAATTTCCTGATTGCCCCGGGCAGGAGGCGGGGAGAGCAGGGGGAAGGCGCTGATCTGTGGGGTCTGCCAGTGAGCGGGAGGTGCTGGAGGGAGCGGGGGGGGGGGGCGGTGTAGGGGAGCTGATGGGGGGCTGCCAGACTGTTTAATACCTGTATTAAATTGCTTATTTAAAATTGTTTAAAATGTATATAATGCCTTTTGTCTGGCAAAAAAAAAAAAAGTTTCCCTGGAACCTAACCCCCCTATTTACATTAATTCTTATGGGGAAATTGGATTTGCTTAACATCATTTCACTTGAAGTCACATTTTTCAGGAACATAACTACAACGTTAAGTAGGGAGTTACTGTAATAGAGCACTTCCACCTTCGTTGTTTTCAATGTACATTTTATTGCCATTGTTATCTTTGTGAAGTGCCACATTTCACCACACAGTGTCATGTCGACAAATATATTCAAAGTAATTAAATTAATTTGTAGTCATATAAAACCCTTGGAAAACCAGAAGAAGCACAGAAAGGGGCTGTCATTTTGTAGCTTTGTATTCATGTAACCTTTTTTGAGGAAAGTAACAAACAATTAACCTTGAAATGAAACAGTACAAACCCAAACAGCACAACAGGAACTTATCCAAACACAGTATGCTTCCATTACAATTACTCCTGTGACCTACCATAGTCTGAGGTAAATCAGTTATCAAAGGCAGCTATTGCCATGACGATAGGATGCAGTGTTGTTGTAGTCGTGTTGGTCCCAAGATATTAGAGAGACAAGGTGGGTGAGGTAACAGCTTTTATTGGGCCAACTTTGGTGAGGGACTCTTTCATCAACAGAAGCTGGTCCAATAAAAGCTATTATCTCACCCACCTTGTCTCTCTAACAAGGGAACAGTAACTTTCCCCAAGTGTGCAAATGAACTGGGGGAGGGTGAGTGATGAGTGGTTACCTCCAATGTCACAATGTTACAGCTCACATGACAGTAGAGGGCATCAAATGTAAGGGGGGAAGCGGGGGAATCAGGCTTTTTCACTGTTCCTGTTTTCCCAAATTTCCTAAATAAACAACAATAAATCAATAAAAAATACACATTGGAGATCATTCCTCACACATATTAATTAGTGAGTGAAATTTGCTTCAAATTTCCCATGGCATGTTTACAGAAAAAAGGGTTTTGAGATACAGAACCTGAAAAGCATTTCTGATGCAACCTTAACTACAGTCTCATTATTGCAAGACAATAAGACAAAACTATGTTCCACAGACCATTTTCCTACCTTTGCCAACTGTGAATTTATCCAACTAGTGAAGGTTTTCTTCTGGATACATTCCTGCTCCACTGTGAAAAAAGAAAAATCACTTAATAAAACAATTTAATTATTTTTATTTCACTTTTTCAAAGAGAAACATGGACTCCAACTCAAATCTAAGTTCTGTCTTCAGTTATCTCAGTGGGTTTTTATACGGATTTTAATATTATTTTCTGGAATCTAACTGGTATTTTCCTCCACTCAGAAATGAAAGCATCTCCAAAAGCTCCACAACCAGAAAACACACTCTTTTTATTGTGTGTCTCAACTTATTTTTATTGTGGGCCTCAACTTATTTCTAAATGTGCCTCAAATGCTTTAGGCCTTTTGTCAGCATAAATCTACTGTTGCAATTCTAAAAGTTCAGATCTAGGGTAAAATTGTCAAAAGTGTCAAAAATCACTAAGGGTTTGTCTACACAGGTATAAAAAACCAGCAGCAGGTCCTGGTCAGCTGACTTGGGCTCACAGGTCTCAGGCTCCCAAGCTGAAAAATCATTATGCAGACATTTGGGCTCAGGCCTGAGTCCCAGCTCTGAGATCCTGTGAGGGAGGAGGGAACTCACACTCCAGCCCAAGCCCAAATGTCTACACAGCGATTTTTTAGCACCACAGCCTGAGCCCTGCAAGTCAAGGCCATGCTACCGGGCTTTTGTCCCCGTATATACATACCCCTAGGTGTCTAAGTCCCATTGACTCTGCAAGAAAACCATGAAAGCTCATGCTCAAATAAATTGGTTAGTCTCTAAGGTGCCACAAGTACTCCTTTTCTTTTTGCGAATACAGACTAACACGGCTGTTACTCTGAAACAAGAAAACCAAAAAACTCTCTTTTTTTCCCTCCCCTCCCTTTTATTTAAGAACCCCCCAAAGATCTAATTGTATTTAATTCTTCATTTTTACACAGTATAGCTAATAGGAATAGTATGTTAATTGGCATACAACTACAATTATTATCAAATGCTCTCACATGACTCACATTAAAGGTAGTGGGAGCTGCATGAACAAATCTAAAGGCATAATCTATTTTGATTTTTCTGGAGTCCCTCCCAGGCTTTAGGCATATATTTCATTCAACTTAGGTTGCTACCAACCTTCCTCTCCCCTGACAGCTTTCCCACTACCTGCAACCCATCTGATTAAAGCCATGAAATCTGAGATGCACGGTAACAGACCTATGGTAATCCAACTAGAAAGATGATTAAACCAGGCCAATTAACTTGGCCACTTAATTAGGACAAATGCTGACATGTGTATGGCACTTATCCCTCTCTCTTGGTTCCAACTTGTATGCACACTCGTGGGACATTTTGAAACTAGTAAAAAGAAAAGGAGTACTTGTGGCACCTTAGAGACTAACCAATTTATTTGAGCATGAGCTTTCGTGAGCTACAGCTCACTTCATCAGATGTTTACCGTGGAAACTGCAGCAGACTTTATATACACACAGAGAATATGAAACAATACCTCCTCCCACCCCACTGTCCTGCTGGTAATAGCTTATCTAAAGTGATCAACAGGTGGGCCATTTCCAGCACAAATCCAGGTTTTCTCACCCTCCACCCCCCACACAAATTCACTCTCCTGCTGGTGCTAGCCCATCCAAAGTGACAACTCTTTACATAATCAAGTAGGGCTATTGTTAGCTAAACTAGTGCTCTTGTTAGCTAAGATGTGTAATGTTGTATCTAGAACATTAGTTAAAACAGACTGAAAAGGGTAGGGGAGATCACACTGTACCAGCCCAGCAGAGGGAACAAACTCTATCCGCAAAGTATGATTTTCATCCAGATCGGGAAGGCCAGTAGTACGATCTCCACATCACTGACACAATGCAGGACGCTAGGAGAGGGTGCAGGCAGAGTGACCATGCAAGGGGCCCTCTGCAGCCCCAGTGCACCAGAAAGGGAGTGTCTGCTTGAGGAGTGAGCAGAGGAGGGGTTTAGGGATCTGCACTTACATAGATCCCGAGGCCCAGAACTCCTACATATAGGGGGCAGAGGAGTAATGGATATACCACCCATAGGCTGTCTGTGACCTACCCATCAGGTTGGGAATTGGTGAATTCCAAAGCCCCCCACCTCACAATTCCCAACACCATTCCCCAAACAGCCAAGCTTTGTGAGGGGACGGATGCCAGCCCAATACCTGCCTGGGAAGGGACAGGGAGAGCTGTGTCTTGAGGGCCCTCCCCTCCCTCATGTGTGAGGGGAAAGTAGAGCAAAGATGGCCTGACAGAATTGTCCAAGACCATTCTGCAGTCACTGCAGTGCCCTGTGCACAGCTCCCAACTTGTGCCTGCCCCTACACAGACTTCAACAAGAACTCCCACTATAAAGTAGAAGGTGACTGGACCTGAGAGCAATGGGCTGCTGGTAGGAGGGGCTCTGTGGGCACTGAAAACCTAGCAACCATCTTGGGGATGGAGTTATCTCCAACCATGCAATGAGTCCAGATTCTAAACCAGTAGGCAACTGGTAGAAACAAAAATGTTCGCAGAGGGGATCATGTGAAACTGAACAGCCCTTGTGCCCCAAAGCCTTCCTGCTATATGACTGCACAAATAATCCAAAAGATAAATATGAGAGAAGGTTTGTTCACTTGGCAGTGCAGGCCAAATGCAGAATTACTCTACAATGAAAATCCAGCCATTCCCCTGCAGAAAGATCCCAGAACATATGCCCACAAAAAAAGCTTTACTGCTCTGCTTGAGAAAATGAAACCCATTTCACACAAGTGTAGCAAGTGCTTTTATTATGCTCATGGAATACAGCTAACACAAATTCCCATGCCAAAGCCCCAGTCGTGCATCAGGCTTTACTAGCATCTAACTCTGCACCCATACAGAGCTCCATTAAGTGAGACTCTGTACGGACAAAGGGGCAGAGCTCAGTGCAGGATCTACACCTAAAGAAGTAGATAGTGAATTCTGGTTCATATTTCTAGATCATCTACCAAAGCCTTAATACTAAATCTGCCCAGAATTAAATATTCATATTCTGCACATCAATAATACTTTGCATGATACATCTAAACAATCTTTCTATGGTTCTCCATAACCCATCATGCTTTGTATTTAGTATTTGTAATAGTACTACCTTGACTCCACCACAGCCAAGTATGTAGCACTCTATTTTCTCTCGTGATTATATTATTGTTCACTTTTTTAAAAATGAACATTAAAACTAAATTAAAAAGGAGAGGAGACTGTGTGCATGCAGAAATAGAATATCAAAATAATTTTTATTTTGAAAAAGGGATAACATTAAAAACATAAAACACAGAAATACAGCATTTGAGGCAAATCATAATCACTACTGCTCTAGGAATTAGGTAAACAACACCAAGATATCGGATTCAAGTTAGCACATAAGCAAGCCACACCCCCTTGCTATATTTCAAGCTGCAAAAATATCATGGAGCCTTTGCCAATTATTTAACTGAAATTTGAGTGGGTGGTGGCTACTGACTGTAGCAAGCAAGCACGGCTGGTATTTCTACCATTTGAAAAGGAATGTATACCCAAGACTCAATATTTCACTGAAGCCAGTGGTTCCATCTCCCTTCTTGCCCCACCCCTAGCTCACACACACTGTGCTGTTGCTGAGCCAGAGAAGTAGCTTTTGGGCCTGATTCTGAGAGACAGTGAGGCACATTAAGCCCTTTGCACTTGTCTTTTGCCTCTATCAGGCCAGTGGCTTCTGATGTTCATGTCCAAAAGTGTTACACAATATGGGCCTGATCCTGCAAATATTTTCTCATGGGAATAGTCCTTACTTAGGCAACTAGTCTCACATGTTGAACTGGGGACAGGTAATTTAATAATCCATTTAATGGTGTCAGATATTCTCCCCCCTATGCAGGGTACATTGGCTCCCTCTACTCCCCATCCCTCCTGCTCACTCTCCTGCCAGTTGTTCCCAAGGGAAAAACCTATGGTGCAAACCCTGCAGCCTACAGCTGCCACTGTGCCCAGACATCATGAAAGCAATGCAAAGATGGGGTTAAGGAGTTCTTTCTCCTTTCTACACCCTGTGGGGCTGCGTAAGGATTGAGCACATATCTAGCCTACAGCTTGGTTTACTTTCCTGACACACAAAAAGAACGGTCATGAATCAACAACAAGCTCTATTACAAGAATAGCCAACAGCTCACAGAGCTCTTTGGATAGTAGCCAGGTGTAGTACAACATTCAGATCAGTATACACACATCTGCCCATGCACCCCACACATTCTACTCTAGACATGTTCCTAGCAGAGTGGCAGATGATTATTTCTTCATTTTTACGGTGAATGTGTATTTCCGCTAGTCTAAGACTCCAAGGCTTTAATGATTTATGAAAGCTCAAATTCTTGTATCTATCATGAGGTTCATTAAAAAGGATTTTTATTTCTAGGAGTATGAATGAGTTCTTTGTTGGCCATTTTAATAGGACTCTAAACGGCCTTGGATTTATCTTGCCCTAGTTTTCAAAAGGTAACTGATCCAGAATAAATAAAGCTATCCAAAAACTAATACAGCACTTCCTTCACCCCTGGCAAAATCAGTGCCCAAACTTACCATGCCAGAAAATGGAGCTGATGAGACATACATGCATCTGACAATATGAGAACACCTGAAAAATCTCAGATTTATTTTCTCTTGCTTTTTAAAGTCAGTCTTTAAAGAATAACTTTTGGGGGGGAACAATAATAATTAATCTGTTACATACAGCAATTGATGCTAAAGAGTAACTGTTGGACACTTACTAGTATGTCCTTACATGGACAATCACAGCCACTACTTAACAGGCTGATCAGTAAAGTCTAGGTCATCGGCATGCGATCTAGTACATAGTATAGGGCAGTGCATTGGTGAACTGTTTCAAGAGCATCCCAAAGGAAAAAGTGAGAGTCAAGGAGTTGCAATCTCCCAGCTGGTCTCCCCGCTGCTCCAGGAAAGGAATACTCTGTGATAGGTATAGATCTGTCACAGCACACACACTCAGGTATGTCTACACTGCATTGTAAGCCCAGGGTTTGAGTTCAGG